GGATGTAATAGTGGATTTAAAGGCTCTTGGTAGTGATATGAGATGCTAATGATATGAGAAGTTGTAGGTTTCAAATTCTTGAACCTATTAATAATACAAAGTTGGCACGAGTTGTCTGGCAGATTATTCTATTCTTGTCCGAGAACAAATAAAATATTGATAAACAATTAGACTGGAGTTAATCCATCTGAATAGTTTTTGCTTCTTCCTGTTTAGTGTAGATTTAGATTGACAGTCCGATCGTGACTTACTTTACTGTAACCTTTCGTTTACAGTGGCACTCTTACCATGAACTCAGGGAGAAGAAATCAACTTTCTGCATAATATGATGCTCCTAACAGTATGTTTAGCATAGCTCATCCCTTAGGGCTTGCAAGATGGTGTCTAGAGCAGAATAAATGATCAGAGCAACACCTTACCAATACTTTTCATTTCAGTGACAGGAGATTTATCATTGCGGATGGCGCTCACATCTAGGACAGTTTCCTTTTGTTGTCAGAAAAGAGAGGCATTCGAACGTCCTCATCTAGCCCTCTTCGTGGGTTTTAGGATGAGAAGAAAGATTACTAGATTATTTGACTGCTGCATTTCATGATGTGCTTTATAATAACATTAAACCTTTCATGAAAGATATTCCCACACCTTTTGACTGATGAATTTCAATTAAATTCAATCACTTTTCCAGAGATTCGTGAATACTGGATACATATTTGCTGTTCCCAGGCTGGTCCCAGAGTGTCTTTCTGATCAAGAGTACAGTAATATAGAGAAATATTGTTACAATTTAAAATAACTTGTTTTCTAATATTTTAAAATGTAATTTATTCCTGTGATGCAAATCTGAATTTTCAGCATCATTACTCCAGTCCTTGTGTGTCACAGAAATCATTCTAATATGCTGACTTGGTGAATATACACTCACCGGCCACTTTATTAGGTACCCCATGCTAGTAACGGGTTGGACCCCCTTTTGCCTTCAGAACTGCCTCAATTCTTCGTGGCATAGATTCAACAAGGTGCTGGAAGCATTCCTTTAGGGAGTTTGGTCCATATTGACATGATGGCATCACACAGTTGCCGCAGATTTGTCGGCTGCACATCCATGATGCGAATCTCCCGTTCCACCACATCCCAAAGATGCTCTATTGGGTTGAGATCTGGTGACTGTGGAGGCCATTTTAGTACAGTGAACTCATTGTCATGTTCAAGAAACCAATTTGAAATGATTAGAGCTTTGTGACATGGTGGAAGTAGCCATCAGAGGATGGGTACATGGTGGCCATAAAGGGATGGACATGGTCAGAAACAATGCTGAGGTAGGCCGTGGCATTTAAACGATGCCCAATTGGCACTAAGGGGCCTAAAGTGTGCCAGGAAAACATCCCCCACACCATTACACCACCACCACCAGCCTGCACAGTGGTAACAAGGCATGATGGTTCCATGTTCTCATTCTGTTTACGCCAAATTCTGACTCTAACATCTGAATGTCTCAACAGAAATCGAGACTCATCAGACCAGGCAACATTTTTCCAGTCTTCAACTGTTCAATTTTGGTGAGCTCTTGCAAATTGTAGCCTCTTTTTCCTATTTGTAGTGGAGATGAGTGGTACCCGGTGGAGTCTTCTGCTGTTGTAGCCCATCCGCCTCAAGGTTGTGCGTGTTGTGGCTTCACAAATGCTTTGCTGCATACCTCGGTTGTAACGAGTGGTTATTTCAGTCACTGTTGCCCTTCTATCAGCTCGAACCAGTCTGGCCATTCTCCTCTGACCTCTGGCATCAACAAGGCATTTCCGCCCACAGAACTGCCGCTCACTGGATGTTTTTTCTTTTTCGGACCATTCTCTGTAAACCCTAGAGATGGTTGTGCGTGAAAATCCCAGTAGATTAGCAGTTTCTGAAATACTCAGACCAGCCCTTCTGGCACCAACAATCATGCCACGTTCAAAGTCACTCAAATCACCTTTCTTCCCCATACTGATGCTCGGTTTGAACTGCAGGAGATTGTCTTGACCATGTCTACATGCCTAAATGCAGTGAGTTGCCGCCATGTGATTGGCTGCTTAGAAATTAAGTGTTAACGAGCAGTTGGACAGGTGTACCTAATAAAGTGGCCGGTGAGTGTATGCTGAAAACTATTTATAAAACTGCTCAATATTTTTGTGGAAACAATTTTTTTTAGTTTTTTCAGGATTCTTTGATAAATAGAAAGTTTGTGTGAAATATAAATCTTATGTAAAATTAAATGTCTGTTCTGTCACTTTTGATCAATTTAATGCATGTTTGCTAAAGAAAGGTGTTCATTTCTTTAAAAAAAAAATCTTACTGACCACAAACCTTTAAAGTATTTAGAGAAAATAAATGTGCTGTGAGAAAATAAATTATTGTAAAAAATAAATAAATAAATAAATAAATAAAATGCAATTTTCTAGGAACCCTCAGCTCATGGCATTAGCGAGGCTTAGTCGGACATGTAACATCCCTCCATTAGGCATGCAATTTTGCTGTTTTAACAGGATGAACCGAATTGCATGCCTTTTCCAGGCACAAGCTGATTAAGAATTTATTATAAGTCTGAGCCTAATTGTAATTGGACCGTGTGGAATATGAGAGTCTTGTGTGCTGTGTAATTGGGACGCTTTTCTTTAGGTATGAAAGAACAGCCATTACCAAACAGTTGTGATCATCATGTGTTCCAAGCAGGACGTGAAAGGAGTGATGTCACAGTGTTCCCTGCTGGAGTTGAGAGAGTGTGAATACTTTGATGTATTCTTGTATAATGAGACTCGGAGGTCTCAAGATGTTTCCGTGGAGAAGGATGATGTGCTTATTCACCTTTCGTTTTATTTTCCATTCTGAAACGTGGCTACTCACACAGTGTACCCACCAGGAAAAATGTCTGGCACTAATGAGTGTACACTCCAGTGAAAGACATATGCCTTCTACCAGCTTTTTAATATCTAGTCTTGACTGAGTGTTATTGCTGCCGTTCTGCATCATTGGCTGAATTTATTTCATCATGACTGGAATGAATGCAAAAAATATCTATATATATATTCACATAACAGGGTCTCCAGAGAACATTTGAGTCCAATTTCCACATATTTTTGAAAGATTATCCGAATTAAATTGCATACTCTTCATTAATAAATTTCCCTCTGCGTTTAAAGATGTTTCACAGCATGAATGTTTCAGTTTGTTATATTGTAAGTATTATTATTTGCTAAATTATTAGGTACATTTAGCAGGCACTTTTATCCCAAATGTGTTTCAAATTGATATATTTTATTATTATTATTTTTTTAATTTTTAAATTCCCTGGGACATGAATGATACATAGAAGGGATAGTTCTCCCATTTTCCTACCCTCAAGTTGTTCCAAACCTGTATGGATTTCTTTCTTCTGCTGAACATAAAAGGAGATATTTTGAAGAATGTTGGTAATAAAACAGCTGATGGGTCCCATTAACTTCCATAGTATGGAGAAAGGAGAAAGAAATGCATACAAGTTTGGAACAATTTGAGGGTGAGAAAATGATTAAATTGTGTGGCTTATTGAATAGAAATGTGATGTTACTGTTGTAAGTGCTTTAATTCATGATTTGCCTGAAGATGATAAAATGGGCCAAAAAATATCCAATAGATTTGCCTCAATGAAGGGTCCCAAATTATATCTAGGAATAATAGAAAATTATAGAAATTTGATGGGCTTTTTGGGGTATAGTAAGCAACCACCTGGCAATGTCCTGACAACCATCGACCAACGTCATGCAAAGGCACCATTCACAATTTCTTCAGAAGTTCAGAGTCTTTTAGATGTGAGCAAAACAGGGAGTGTTGTGATAATACAATAAATACAACAGCAATACAAACTTTGACAATAGATCATGTTAAAGCTGTAGATATTAGCTCTATATATCTTATTTATGGCTCTGTGTGAGAGACTATCTTTCACTGAAATATGCCTGAAATTCCAGAATATTGTGTTTTCTCTTTTCTCTTGGGTGAAACGATGTTAATCTGGCGTGCGTCTATATCAGGACCACCGCTCTGTCAAACAGTAATCACCCCGCACTTCCGTCGCTCTGGGCCAGAGTGCACTGAACCACTAATGTGAGATCGTACACCTCATTAAAACTGCCAGCGAAATATTTATCTGCCACAGCCGAAGGGGAAGTGATTCCAGAGTGGTGTATATGAGTATGTCGTCCTCCAGTGTCAATGATGGCATGCTTTTTTTTTAACGCTCTACTCAGCCATTCAATTAATGATGCTAATTACATTCATTTAACATAGTCAAGAACCTCATGGAAGGTATTGACTAAATTGAGGCTCCTTATTAGGGTAGACAAGCAGAAAATATTTCTCTTAAGACTTGCATATTGTTCTTTACTATTTGCAATCTGTTCCTCACATTGCTTATATTTACACATACGTATTTACATTTATTCATCCAAACCACTTGAATGAATCAAGCTTTCAATCTATACAATTAATTGAATTTATAATAATATATTCAGTTAAACACATAGGAATAATTAGGCAAGAAAGATATAATATTTAAATAATTATGATAAATACAAATTATGTAGAAATATGAATTATATGATACAATTCATTTACACTGTAAAAAAATGTGTTTCAGCTTAAAAAAGTAACTGTCCATGCTGCCTTAAACTTTTAAGTTTAGTCAACTTGAAATGCAAAGTTCTACTAAGTGACAACTTGAATATTTGAGTTGACGAAACGTAACATTTTAAGGCAGCACAAACACTTTAAGTTTAAACAACAGTGTGTGTGTGTGTTTTTTTTTTTATATATATATAGATTGTAGGGAGGGCATTATATATATATATAAATATAAATGATTATTATTATTAATTTGTCAAATCTATTTTTATTGAACAATTATAATTTAAGTGGCCTTGCTGAAATATTGTCACTGTCAAGATGAGATTTGGGATTGACTATAACTGAACTTTTTCTTGTGCTGTTCACAGGTCAGTGAGAACGCAAAGCAGGACCTGAAAGATGGTCTTGCTCTCTACAACACAGACAACAACATTGGGCTGAGAAATGCCTGGAATATCATCCAAGCTGAGGTACTCTTTGTGAAATTATGATTATGTTGAGAATTTTGAAAATATGTCTCTAATATACACAGCAATATCTGGAACTTAATCTAGCCTGGTTATTAATAAAATGTATCATTGTCCCGCTTTATCCCCCCCGACAGTGGAAGTGTTGTGGAGTAACCGGGTACACAGATTGGCATGAGGCTCTGAAAGAAAAGGTGGTGCCCGACCGCTGCTGTCAAGAGCATTATCAGGAGTGTGGCCGCAACTCCACCAACATGTTCTGGACACGAGTGAGTGGACACCTGCACTTAAACCAATGACAATGTTGCCATAATTCCTCAGACCTTTAATAGCCTTGACATTTGAAGTGAACTATACATATACTGCATTTCAAATGCATGACTTTCAATTTGAATCATCCTCATTTTGAATACATTCGGATTGTTAATCTTATATCCATTAAATAACGTTTCTGAAAGGACTGGAGGTAATAATTGAGAGTATTTCTTTTTTCTTTTTTTTTTCTGTTCTGTCCTTGAAAAGAGTTATTATTAATAAATGAAAGGCGATAAAAGCCATAGATTTAAGACATCTCTGTTAGGTAGCAGCTCTAAGTGCTCCTGTAAAGAGCCAGAGTCATGTACCTTTATGCATTTATTCTCACTTTTGGACACTGGGGGGCAGATTTATTAAACAGGGCAAATTAGCCTGAGAGCGCAATTCCAAAAAAGCGCAGATGGAAATGGAAAGTTCTGCTTGCGCACATTAAGGAACACAGACACAGACATATCATTTTCCATAATGACCAACACAATCTACCAGGAGCAGCGCAGATTAGCGTCTGTTTTAAGACATGCTTATTGCTTATTTTGGGCGTTATACAATGGCGCAAATACCAGTAAATTGACAAATGCAAACCTTAGTAAATCACCTTGCGTGATTCATTTAAATACTCTCTTCACATAAATTTTGCGTCTCAAAGGGAAACTCCTACAAATGCATATGCAATAAGGTCAGCCGCAAAAATAACTGTGTCCACGCTTTTTCAGCGCTAATTTTTCACTGCGTGTCTTTAGTAAATCCTGACAGTTGTTTAACGCCAAAAGAGGGTTTACTTCTTAACAGCTCAAGCTGTTAGTAAATCTGGCCTTAGATGCGTTTGTCTTTCCAATGGGAGTTGATTTAACTCATGAAAACTGATTTGAAAGAGATTGTAGGGAGGACAATGGTCTCTTGAGGGAACATTTGTTTGTGCCATTGACAATGCTGTAATCAGTAGCTGATGTTAAATTGTCACACTGTCTTTCTGCAGCTTTTAAGTTACCACAGAGGTACTAATGGAGTGAGATGAGACAATTACATTTAGTGAATCCTCAAAGTTTGTTTAAAATTCTTTCTTTTTTTTCATTAATGCAGAACAAGAAAGTTTGTGAAACAAAACAAAATTTCAAATGTCACGATTTCCAGTCCGTTGCCTTCTAGAGAGCGAATTACACAATGACACATTTGTAGTAAAGTTAGCCTGAAACCATTAGCCGTTTAATTGTTAAATTTATCTTCACCCCCAGAAGTTAAACAGCTAGCCAACATAAATTGTTTTAAATTCATAGAACAAGAGTAATTAACAACAAAAAAAACGGCTGTTTGCACAGGAATCCAAGAGTTTTGCCATATCTGAAGGTTACTACCACAGTTTTGGGTTGTGCTGGAAATGAATTTTCTTTTCAGTACCTTAGTATGACAAGCAGCCCACAACACCGCCAACTCAAAGCTGTTTTGTCTTTTTTCCGCATAGCCACCAGTATATCGCTGAATGTGCTTTTTTCCCCCAGTGACTACGCGTTGAAAATGCAGCCGCAGCAGTCGCTCGCTCTCTCATGCATGCACTCAAATTAATTCCACTGCTGGAGTTCAGCTCATTTTCTCTGAATCAGAATTAACAACAACAAATTAGAAAGTGAAACATACACAATCTGTTTGTATTAGTGCTTTCACCCAGAAGATAAATCACATCTTGTGACTTTTCTTGTCTTCCAGGGCTGCTACGAGAAAGTTGAAGAGTGGCTTGACGATAATAAGCACCTACTCGGAACCATCGGCATGTGTATCTTGGTAGTTCAGGTAAGATTGTGTGTGCTGGTGTGTTTTGCCATCACTCAGTATGTCAAACGCAGTGGTGATAATGAGCGTGCCTGTCTTGTCTGGCTCTGCTGAAACAGTGAAGCACATGTATGGAGACCCACAGACAGCTCAGAAGAAAACAGGTGAACTGCTCATTAGGGCTCACTGATACACGGAAATATAGAAAGTGAAAGTCTGTCAGTCCCACATGATATCTCGCATTGGTTCATTATAGCCCTAGAAGGAGCATGAATTCGATGTATTTGATTATCAATGCAGCCAGGTCTACTATGTACATTCTGTGGAGGTGCTTTGCATTAATGTTAGACTCAAGATTTTTCATGGAACTACACTACCGTTCAAAAGTTTGGGGTCGGTACGATTTTAAATACTTTTTAAAGAATTATCTTCTGCTAACCATGGCTGCGCTTATTTGATTAAAAATACAACAAAAATCAGTTATAGTATTAAATATTATTCCAGTGTTAATCAGCTGTTTTCTGTGTGAATATATAGTAAAGTGTAATTTATTCCTGTGATCAAAGCTGAATTTTCAGCATCACCAGTGTCAGTGTCTTCAGTGTCAAATGATCCTTCACAAATCAGTATAATATGAGGATTTGATGCTCAAGAAACATTTATTATTATTATCAATGTTGAAACAGTTGTTGGTCTGTGAGTTGTACAGTTTTTTGTGTTTTTTTTAGGATTCTTTGATGAATAGGAAGTTCAAAAGACTTTTGTAACATTATAAATGTCTTTACTGTCACTTTCGATCAAATTAATTATTCCTTGATAAATAAAAGTATTGATTTCTTTCCTCCAAAAAATAAAAATAAAATTCTCACTGACCCCAAACTTTTGAACGGTAGTGTAGGTCGAGACATATTAAGTATAGTCCAAACTTCTGCTTCGACAGTTTGTTTGACTTTATAATTTGGCATCTTTGCCACTTTTAAAGTTAGCAAACTCAATTTAAGAGTATCTCTTTCAGTTTCATCCAACAGTTTCATAATTGTACATGATTGTCAAAAGTTTACATCAGGTTTACTGTCATTAATTGCATGGTAGAAATACGAAACGTTGGATTAGCCAAGATGGTTAATCCACGAGTTATCTTAAACCCGTGGTCTGTAATTACCTGCAGTTTATTGAGGATAATAGCGCACAGGGGTCTTTACTAAGTACTTTTCTCAGGATGGACTAAGAGGTGACCGCCGGCTTGTAAGCAAACAATTGGCACCTAATCCTCCTCACGGGCTGAGCTGGGGCAAATGTCACAAGTGATTTACTTAGATCTCATCCAGCAAAAGCCAGACAAATCTGGTTATTAGTCACTAAAATGTGTGCTCTGTAAGTGCTTTATTGTTTTAAATTATGTGTGGGACCATGGCACTTTCATATATCCGATTGCACTGTTAGATGACCATTCAAATTCCATGAAATACCATTCAAAGTAATGATGCACCAATGCTGATACCGGATGCTCCTGCAAAACCTCAACGCTAAGGATTTTTTCTACTGGCCCGGTTGGGCTAGTGCTTCAATTTTTTAGATACCAGTGAAACATCACAATTTTCAAGTACAGATATTGAATAAAGTAATCAAATGTAAAATAACACTGCATAGTCTTTAATGTACAAATTAAATATTTATCCTTATCAAAGTTGCTAAAGTCATTCAGTCAAGAGCAGCGGGTGATTTTCTTTTTGTATTTTGTTGTTAGATGAACATTGAGGACAAAGACAGCTGTAGGGTTATTAAGCTGCTGTCACTTTAGGATCTGCACGTATCCAACATACTGTTACACACGCGTTTTCTGTTTTCTTCAGACTGTTTCGCTTATCAACTCACGAATATTTAATTTGTTTAATATTCTGTTAATTAGATACATTAACTTAATAGACATCTTTCTATGATATATCAATTCTGCTCTGTGTTTGCTCTGTTGTCTGTGTTTCTTTTTTACGGGCACTGTAAACTGTACACTTTGCGGTATCGGTTTTTGTTATCGGAGCATTTTTTCGAGTTCAAGTACATGAGCGCAGTATCTGGTGCATCCCTAGTTATTACTGTAATTTTTGATCAAATAGAACCCAAACCTTTGAATGGTATACAAGTTAGAATATCAGTTCCAAGTTACATTGCCCAGAAAGCTTTATAAAAACATGGTACTCGTTTAGTGTACCGAAGTTCTGTCTCTTAAAAATGCATGGATTCTGAAAGGAATAATTTCCTTACATTTTTCAAACACAGTGCATCTCTGGTTGTCAGATGTTGCTAGGGTGCCTAGAGTTCTCCAGCAGTCTCACACTGAAGTCTGTGTGAGAGTCTGCCAAGATTTACAGTTCAGTGTCTGTGTAAATTTTTAGTGTAAAGAAGCGATGTGCTACCTTTAAAGCTCAAAGATGTGAGAAAATCAGATCAGTCTGTTGCCGCCTCCTGTTCTGTTCGGCAGCTTTAAGATAATGGCTGTGGAAAGTCAGCCACCGCTGCGCATTTGATGTATCAGGATAGATCTAAAAATGAACTTTAAAGAGTATAAATTCTCAACACATTTCCGTTTACCTCCATGACACTATGCATCTTCACTAAACTTGTTTTTATTATTTTTTCTACAAAAGGGTGTCAATTTTCCCAAGAAGGTCTATAATACTAGCATGTGATCTGTTTGCTTCCATCTTTACTCACTGGACACTTACTTTACTTTTTTCAAACACCTGAGGCCTCATTTACAAAATGTTTGCGTAGAAACCGCCCTACATTTGATCTTAGGATAATTTCTCAAATGTGCGTACATGTGATTCAGAGAACGAACATACGCACAAAAAAGTGCGTACGCCTCTCTTCCAGATGTGAAGTCGCAAATGATCGTGGTTTCAGATCTCCGCCTTGTAAACGACCCTTAATTAATGTCATTAACATATAAAAGAGCACCAGTCAACGTCCAAATGCTTTACTTAAAGGGATACTCCACCCAAGAATGGAAATTCTGTCATCATTTACTCACCCTCAAGTTGTTGCAAACCTGTATGAGTTTCTTTCTTCTGCTGAACACAAAGGAAGATATTTTGAAGAACGATTGGAACCAAACAGTTGTTTGGCACCATTGACTTCCATAGTAGAAAAAAAAAATACTATGGAAGTCAATGTTGCCAAACTTTAATATAATAAAATGAAAAATAAACAAACGGCATATGGCAAAACATCTACTATAATTAAAAATAAAAAAAAGTTTTTTTTTTTTTTTTTTATCAAATGCTTTGCGTTGCTGGCAAAAATACCAATTTACAGTAAGGTTACTTTTTTAACATTATTAAATGCATTAGGTATCATAATGACCAATATGTGTACAGCATGTATTAATTTTGGTTGTTAATTTCTTAATTCATTTTTTTTTAAAGGTGAATAAATTAATTTATAAAGTAATGTAATGTGTGTATTATGAATATTTTATATATATATAAAATGAAATGAACCCTTATATTTGATCAATTTCATGCATTTGATGTTAGATATTGACCCCTTACATTTTCTAGTGTTTGATTAGGAGCACATCCAATGTTTTGTCTCAATTCAACCAAGCCATCCCGTGTTTGCTGACATAAAGCTCATGCGTGTCATTAACCTTTACATTTGGATTTTGTCATTTCAGCTCTTGGGGATGGCCTTTTCCATGACACTGTTCCATCAGATCCACAGAAGCGGGAAGAAGTATGATGCCTAACGTGGCCGTTTCTCAAGGGAGGAGCCCTAGTGCATTATGGGACAGACTCTGGAGGACAGCTCCTCCTCTTGTATCTAACTTCCACCACCTCTTCCCATTATTCCCCAGCTTACACCTTACCATCCTGTATAAACTTCAGTCATGGTCCGTCTCTCTTCCACTCTTTCTCCCCCATCTGCTCATCTGCCAAAGAGACCCGGGGACAGAGAGGAATGAGAAGACCAACTGTTGGCCAGCATCCTCCCCATGAGGCCTCTGACTTTCTCCATCTCCTCTAGAACCTTTATTTTACGCTTGAACTAACTAACGTTTGCAGGAAGGAGAATAATGACGCCAAACTGCGTGGCTTGACTAATACGTAAATTGCCCAACATACAGAGCGATGAGAAAACATCAGACTGGAAACCTTTGGGGTGGGACGAATTTAAAAAGCATCGCTCATTATCCACCTCCATCTACAGTGTAAATGACAAACAGCTACATTTTAGCATGATGCAGTTTTGTACGAGACAGAAAACTTTGTCATTTTTGGCTCAAGACTTTTGTTTTTATAAGTGACTTTGCCCCAGCCCCATAATTGTCTTTTTTTTTTTGCACCTAATGATTTGAAGAAGGCGGTACAAGTGTTCTGACTTCAGCGAGGTATGACCAGGAATCTGACTTTGTCTTTGTATGTTGCTACACAAGCTTGTTCTTGTGTTTAAAAATGTGTGATTTGAGGATGCATCGAAACGTGTCGAAAGTTTCACCCTGATGAGAACCATCACAATCTAATGTCAGTATAATACATCGAATAGGGACTGTTTTACCACAGACTATCTGATTACCCAGCCACCCACATACCTGCAAAAACATCCTATTTGTTAACCACTAAAAGGTCATTTTAACTGAACGGCTACTAAAACTCTGTAGCATTGACAATGAAGTGCAGTTTTTATGGAAGAAATAAGGGAAGGTTACAAGTAGGTAGACCCAAGCATGTTTAAAATGCCGAGCTTTGTGAGATTGACCATTTCCCCACGTTTTGCTCAATATATCCAAGTCTATACCCCAAAGAACGTTGAGACAGAGCCTGATAGCGCATTTTCCACCTTGTTCATTTATCCAGGACAGTAATATTTCAGTTTTTGGCAGACTTAAAGAGTTCAACCAAAAATGAAAATCTGTCGTCATTTACTCGCCATCATTTTTTTCCAAACCTGCAGGACTTTCGTTTTTGCGTAGAACACAAAAGGAAAAATGAGTGAAAATTTGTGATAAAAATAGTGCATATGACTTAGACTAGTGCTAGCGTTCGTTTCCTCCACAGTCGGATTCAGAAAACTTGGAATATATTGTATAAGTTTTCTGAATCTGGCTGTTGAGGAACATACTGTACAGCCCTCCACCACAGTATACATATCCAAACTTGGAGCATAAAGATGTATTTCATCAGGTTTGATGCAATTGATACTTCTTGAGTGTCTCATAACTGATTGTAACTCACAAACTTTTAATAAGCTAGTGCGATGCTGCGGAGGGCAAGATGGATTGAAATGTGGTAATTTATACAACTTAGTGATTGATGGGCGTTCTAATTCTGCCGAAATCTCTTTGACCTTTCTGATGAGTTCTGTAGGCACGTATTACACGTGGGCCAGATAATAACTTAAATTGGTGGTCTGTTCTCCTTTTGTGTCCCACGGAAGAAAATTACAGGGTACAGAATGGCATGAGCTGACAGAAATTTCCTTTTGAATGAACTATTTCTTTCAAGTAGGACGCTTGAAGTCTACTACCAATGCTAACCCAACAGAACTATGAACATAGTGTCAATACTGCTTCATTACAAGATATAAATCAAGTATTAACACATACAGTACAGAGCCCCCCAAAAAAGAACCAAATACAAGCACAGTTGTAGTGTTAGACTGTAATCCTCCAAACTATAACTCATCTTGAGAAAGAGCGTCTGCAGTGTTTGTTTCTGCACACCTCAGCTTTATGGCCTGTGTTATTTTTCTGTCTCTCTCTGCTTTTTTTCTGTCTCCATCTGTCTTTTGGTTTCAAGAATCGGGTTGGAATGAAGTGATAATGCTTCAGTATCACATAGCCTAAAGGGACTTGGTTCAAAAGAAATGCATCTTGACAATGAAGTTTTGGAGTGAAAGTGTGTTTACCAGCAGACAGTTTTTAGGGGTTTAAAATCACCGAGCAGTAGATCGTAGATCGGGCGTGATGATGGCCGCGAGACAACCAGAGTGGGGTCATGTGACGGTCTCCAATCGAGACTGTCACTGAGACTACTTAAGACTACCCCTTAAGAGCTTGGCACGTGCACATAGTTTATGTTTGACCGAGAGGGACGTAATAGAGCACTCGAGATGGAGAGAAGAATAATAACACCGATCATCCCATCAAACACTCACTGACACACAATCTTTGTTTACTGTATTTTAGAAAGATTGCTTTCTGCGAAACAGTTGGGACCAGAGGCGACGGCTACTTCTAACGTTCATCCTCTGTTGAAAGAGTGAGTGCTCGATGAGTGTAGAAACTCTGTCACTGTACAACTGCTGCTATAAGAGCCACTTGTGCTTGTTACAATAGTGGAGAAGGTGAAAGAATGAGAAACAGCCGACTCAACCTCACTCACTTCTCTGCCTGGAAGCATTTAAAGTCAGCATGAAACAAAAAATGACCCTAATCTTTTTTTTTTTTTTTTTTGTGGCTATGTGTATCCATATATACTGTATTATTTCAAATAATCACTTAAGTATTGTTTAGGAGTTCTTATAATTACTGTCATGGATAATGCAGACATTCTTATATCTAATAGTAAAATCATTCATTCAAAGGGATAGTTCACCCAAAAATTAAAAGTCCCAAACCTGTAAGACATTCGTTCATCTTCACAACACAAATGAGGATCTTTTTAATGAAAACTGAGAGCTTTCCGTCTCTCCATTGAGAGCTACACCACTTTCAAGTGCCAGAAAGGTATCATTACAGTAATCCATGCGACTCCAATGGTTTAACCTCAAATTTATGAAGTGACGCGAGTGCTTTATTTGCGCAAAAAAAACATAATTTACCACTTTATTTACAAAATATCAATCTTTAACGCGCACACATGGATTACTTTAATGATGTTTTTACTACCTTTCTGGGGCTTGAAAGTAGTAGTTGCGTAGGCTGTCAATGGCGGGACAGAAGACCCTCAGATTTCATCAAAAAGATCTTCATTTGTGTTCCGAAGATGAACGAAAGTTTGGAAAGATACAAGGGTGAGTAATTAATGATGATATTTCATATTTTTGGGTGAACTAACCCTTTAATGCTGGTTGACTAATAAAGGTTACAAATAACAATAGATCCCATACTAGTTTGCAATAATACAGTCAATTCCACATTGATAAAGTATTAGTCCCAATGTACATTTATTTTAATCAAAAGAACAAACTGTTTTACTTCTAGACGTGTCATATTATTGATGTAAAATGGGTTATCAAGGCTGTTTCCTGTTGGCTTTAAAGGATGTGTGTTATTTATGAGGCATTTGTATCCGGAGGATTGAAACCTACAGCATTTTTCAATCAGTACCACATGTTCACCATCACTAGCAAATAGAAACCATACAAACAAATTCTCTGATATGCAAGTTTGGCTGCAGTTAGGCCACAGTCAACATTATTACTATCATAAATGAAAATGTTTTTGTGTTATGCCTGGTGGTCTGGCTTCAAGAACACCACAGAGCTAGTCAATATTAGGTCTGCACTGATGCGCGCCATCTGCTCAGTGTACTATCTCTAACCCCGCCGCGCTAAACTTCATGACGTGTTCCAGCGCTCTTATCTGACTGATCTACAAACTTTAGCCACAAAATTGCATCCTGTGAACTAATCCCACATGTAAGCTTTCCAAGGTTAGGAATTGTTTGAAAAGATTTGTCTTTTTTTGGTCCTTGTTTCAATGTTTTTAATTTTAATTTACAAAAAAAGTAAATACCCACGTATATACAATACCCATTTTTTCCTTTATATTTTTCCACTGTTATAGGCTACATTGTGTATTTAAATCTGAAATTCAAGTTAAATCATATGTTGAGTTGTTAGTGTTGAATGACAGTATCATCAACAGCAGATGCAAATTGCAAATTGCATAAGCAATTTTTACTTTTTTTAATCTATTTTGTAATGCATTTGTGTCAAGCTTAATGCGTGTAACCATTTCAGTACAGATCATCTCATAAAACGTTGCAAATGTGTTTGACATCTGGGGCATATCTGTTTAATATGCAATGGAAATATTGCTATTTGCTAACTGTCTAAATGTGTCTGTCAAATATCTAAAGGTGCAAGAGAATCTTAGTGTTTGATACTCCAACACAAGGGTTGTAATGTCATTTTTAGTTGTTCTTTTTTGTACATTGTTTCATGTTGTCATTGTTTTTGTATCATATTTTCATCACTTATTGATTTCAATGGTGTGCTAAACATTAATTGATACAATTTTTGCATTATATATAAACCTTTAGTTTTTCTAAATGTTTTTTTTTTTCTTTGCCTCTTCTATTGCCACATTAGAATTAATTTATGTTGGGTTTTCATAATTCAACAAATGTGTGTGGATACTATCATACAGCACATACAAATTCACATTATAGTTTCTAGCAATTGTAAAGTAGAATTTTTCATTGTTAATGAAGTTCATTAACTATTAATTGCCCAATACTAAGGAATTATTTTCAAGGCATGGTCTCTCTCTACGTTTTATCATATTGAAGATTAAAAAATGCATACCTCCAGAACATCTAAGAACATTCTTGCACACCCGTGCCATCTGATTGTATATTTTGAGATATTTTTTCAACAGTCGTTGAAACTAATTTTGTACCCATTCAGTGTGTATTCATTTTTCCATTTTTCTTTAGTTTTTGTACTTATTGATTCAAGAACCTAAGTTGTAGATCTGAATTACATGTTGGCATTCGTTGGTACTGAATTGTGAGATTTGAATCAACAGTGTTGCAGGGGCATGGAAGCTTTTTATTGGTGATCTAAATGACCACAGCACAACTAATATAATTTTCGAAATTTTTTCTCCCATTATTAACTGACACTGCCATAAAATGATCTATTAATTTGTTGTGCTTTGGGCTAAAAAAAAGGGGGGGGATCTAATAAGTAATTCAGTTCTATAATCGCTGTCATATCTGTATTTTTGTACTGCCATCCTAACTACCACCGGTAAGCTGCATATATAAGCTGTAGAAACCTATGCTCTCGAGTGACGTGTTTAATGTAGTCCTGGTGAGTGGCAGTTATCAGATATCTTGTGAACCCGGATTTGTCCTGTGGAGTATTTTGCTACATGTAAAGCACTATAAATATATTAGGTGGTGCACTAAATTGCATTCTTTAAATCCTACTATTTTTTAAATAAAGAAACGTGTGTTGCCAAACCCCTGTGAGAATGTTGTTTATTGCCTTCTTTTATTGGCTTGACATTTTAGCAGAATATGGGCCATTTTACAAAGATTGCATTGTCTTTCTCATTTAATTCACATGTATTTAAATGTGTAGAATTAAAGCTAATATAATATCATAATGTTTCCAAATAAATTGATCAAAAATATATCATAAATAGCATAAAAATGTATAATAATTCTGTTTTTAGCCATAATACAGATAACCATATGGTCACAATAAATAAAAAATACTAAAAGTCGACGCTGCAAAGCGCTTCTTTCATACAGAAAGTTTTGTATCAGCCCTATAAAAAAGTCATTAGACATTATAGATCAATGCTGTTCTCTATTCTTGGTCGGGTCAATACTCTTATAGCTACAGTATATTTTAAAAGCTGAGTAGTGTCTGAACATGGTAATACGAGTATTATGATAGAAAATGATACAAAGGATGCGATTTTTGTGGATGGAGGGCGGAAACAAACAAATCAATGTCTTGGATCTCATAAAGTACACTGGTCTGTCTCCAAACTTTCAAAGAAAAAAAAACCTTTCAGAGCCTGTAGCAATAAACCTGTGAGAAAGACTCTCAACAACCCGATTGATTGTCCTTCGCCTCTCAGGAATAAAGGATTCAATGTGCTTTACCGATGCAGACCAGCGAAACAGCAGAGCTCCCGCTGGGAAAAGGCAGTCAGACAACCAGCAGAGTCCATACTCCTGAAACTACGGTTTCATGATGGGTCATTTATATTTAGAACAGCTTTCCAGCAGTAGAGGAGTGCTTGTGCTGCCTGCCCTGGTTTCCCAGTCCTTGATCTACCAAGAGTCTCGCAGAAGCCCTGCTAATAAAGTCATCACTTTGAACCAGCAAGCGGGCAGGTGACAGTCTGATTCACTGCAGTCTCAAGGTTTCTTTCTCTTTCTCAAAGTGTGTCTATTACCTACCTTAGACAGAGGGGAATATTGTTGAAACTAAACACTGGGAAAGCCCTGTCTGTTTTGCCTAACTGCAAATTCTTGTCCACACTGGCGATAGAAAACAATGGGAACAGAGCTTTTCAATGCATCCAAAGGCAGCTTTTATGTAACGTGGTGCTCTGGACATTTCGACAGACACTAATGCACGCGGCAAGTCAGTCCACATGTTCAACAGCTGTTGCAGTCCATTTCGGGCTACAGTTTAGCTGCGGACTGAAACATATACATGGTGGATGGCAAATCTGTTTGGCATCGCTGAATTTTTTTTCATCGTCTTCAGCCTCTAAACATCTTTTAGAATGGATCGGCAGGTGAGCCTTACCAGGACGGAAATGTTCTCTTTCGTCAACCCTTGGATTCGGTACTTCCTGTTCTTCTTCAGCTTTTTATTCTGGGTAAGTAAGGCCTTCTGACACCAGCATCCAAAATGGGTTTTGTTGAGGGAGAGGACATTTGCAGGCTGCAGAACATAAGCTCTTTGGCCTGCTTTGAAATGAATAAAACATCAGGGGGTGTAATTTAGGCTCGCTGTCGCAATTGTTCTGCTGCATCCGTAATGTTTCCTACGACATGACTCGTTTCGGAACGCTCTATTTGCATACAATTGTAAGGAACTTTATAGCTATGAAAAGTGTAAAAATGCCACTCTTTAGAATGTAATCTCAGAATATGATGCAGCGGAAGGCTTGAATCCCCCAAAGAAACGTGCAATCAAAATAAAAGCATCTGTTCTCATGCTCCTCTTCTGTTCGTAGTGTTTGTGGTGTGTTTTATCAGTGTATTGACTGTGATACAGTCTGCCTGGATCTGCCATTTAAAATCAAGAACTGCTCGCACTGCAGAAATTGCCTCACACTACGCTTTCATTCAGGACTCTCAAGCTTCCTGCAAACTTCCCACTGGATCTACTGCACAGGTTTAAAACACACAATGTTCCTTGAATGGAAAAAAAGAAGTCTACATAAACCTTACTGACCATTTCACCTTCATACAACTAGGATATAGGCTACTACACTGTTTTTTTTTTTTTTTTTTTTTTTTGTGCTTTTTTATTGATCTTGCCTCGTTCCTGTGGCTCGTGCCGAGCCGCACTCAGCGACGGGGACCGCCATTTCATCTGCGTTTCCTGCCTGGGTAAGGATCATGCAGCTCTCGCGCTCACTGACGGCGGCTGCCATCATTGCGAGCTGTTGCCCTGGTGACTCTGAGACTAATTTTTTCTCCGAGTCTGCACTTCCGCCCGCTATAGTACAGGCTATGAAGCACTTCTTACCAAAGCGCTCTAGCTTCGCAGCAGATCGCCCAAAACAGCCGTCTGCTCTAAGCTCCCAGCCACAGCCTCCGCCCGCCGCCGCTTCACAGCGCCGTCAAGCCCAGGACCAGAGACCATGCTCTCGCTCTGCCGGCCGCTGCCCCCCTCCGAGTGGGCCCCGCCAAAAGATTGAGATAAAAAAAAAATTACCCAGATAAACCCAGATAAATCACATAAACAGTGTAATTTCTGGTATTCCGGCCACAGCCGATGGTGTTATGAGTGTAATTAAAATGCGCACAGCCCAGTGTTCATTTCTACGCACAAATAAAATCGACTCATGTCAATTGTGCATTAAATGTAGTGAATGTGCCCATAACCCAGTGCCCACAAACACTACACACTGCATGTCCCACGGTTTCTGTAAAAACAAAACCAACACACATACAGTCAGCTCAGGCCGACGGTGTTTTCAGTGCAGGAAAAGTGCCCGCTGTCCCGCGCCCACATTCACTCACCGACATGTTAAGACCCACGGGGCTCTCTCTCTCAGCAAACTGCTGTAAGGGAATCGAGCGTGGCCAGGCTGCCCGCCGCGCCCCCCGCCTTAAACGCTGCAAGAACAGTGTTTACGTGACAGCACACCAAAGCTCTCCTGTCGCCACTATGTGGCGGCCAGAGCCCAGATCTCATTCTACCCCTAGGTATCCATGCAAATGTGTGGGCAAAGCTTACCGGGGTATCAGAATGGGTGTTGAACATTTTAAAAAGAGGCTATTCGCTGCAGATCGCTCGACGTCACCGCCGCTAAACTATTGAGCAAAGGGGCAATAGAGCCTTTATCTCAAGCTCAGAGCGAAGGGGGCCTATACAGCAGATATTTTCTCGTACCGAAAAAAAGACGGGGGTCTCAGACCCATTCTAGATCTAAGACAGCTGAACAAAGTGCTTGTGAAACGCCAGTTCAGAATGCTCACAACCAGGAAAATCCTCGTGCAGATTTGCCAAGGGGACTAGTATGTGACTATAGATCTGAAGGACGCGTATTTCCAAATACAAATAGCGTCACGTCCCAGGCGATTCTTGAGATTTGCCTTCGAGGGCCAGGCATATCAATACACAGTCCTAACGTTCGGCCTGCCCCTAGCACTCAGTATATTTACGATGTGCATGGACGCAGCTCTCGCACCCCTGAAACTTCGGGGCATGCGAGTTTTGAACTACTTGGACGATTGGCTGATTCTAGCTTGATCACACTCAGAGCTCATAGAACACAGGACCATATTACTCGAACATCTCGAGAATCTAGGTCTCAAAGTCAATTGGGCGAAAAGTTCGCTGTCTCCCAGTCAGAAAATATCCTTTCTGGGCACAGAACTGGATTTGCTGTCTATGACAGCGCGACTGTCGCCAGAGCGCAGACTGAACATTCAGCACATCACGCACTATAGTCCCGCTCAAAAGGTTTTAGAAAATGCTGGGTCTCATGGCCTCAGCATCATCAGTACTCCAGTTGGGTCTGCTTCGCATGCGCCCGCTGCAGTTATGGCTAAAAGCGCGAGTACCACCTCGGGCATGGGCCTCCGGTCTGTTTCACCTCAAGGTCGATCAGAAATGCGTCACAGCTCTGAAACCTTGGAGAGCAATCGACTGGTACCAGTCAGGTGTAAACCTGGGGACTTCCTCGAGTGTGAGAGTGGTGTCCACGGATGCCTCCACCTCGGGATGTGGAGCTCTGCTTGAGGGCATACCGTTCTTTGGCCATTGGTCAGAACAGGAGAAGCTCCTGCACATAAACTGTCTAGAAATGATGGTAGTCGACAACGCGCTGAGGCATTTTTGTCCCCGAATAAAAGGTCACCACGTCTTGGTCTGATCGGACAACATGTCAGTGGTGGCCTACATAAATCGCCAGGGTGGCGTCAGGTCCCGAAACCTTTACAGGCTGACGGAACGCCTCCTGGTCTGGGCTCAGCACAATCTGCGCTCATTGAGAGCAGCACATGTGCCTGGTCACCTGAATTTGGGACCAGTCAGACTGTCCAGAAACAATGTTCCAGCAGGAGAATGGTCTCTGCACCCGCAGACGGTCCTACTGCTGTGGGAGACATTCGGCAGAGCGCAGGTAGACCTGTTTTCGTCCCAAGAAAATGCTCACTGTCCGAAGTTTTTCTCCAAGAGCAGGGATGCGCTGGCCCATGTCTGGCCCCGCTGCCCACTCTATGCTTTTCCCCCTGTCTCGCTCCTGCCTCAGGTATTGGAACGAATCAGGGAAAACGGATGCTCAGTGCTACTTGTGGCTCCGCTCTGGAAAAACCAGGCTTGGTTCCCAGTTCTGATGCAGCTGACAAGCACTGCCCCATGGCCAATACCGACGAGGAAAGACCTCCTCTCTCAGGCCAAGGGCTCGATTTGTCATCCTCGCCCGGAGCTGGGGTCCCTGCCCGCATGGGCCATCAACGGGTACCCGCAAACCTCCCGGAGAGAGTGTTAAACACGATCACGCAGGCTAGAGCGCCGCCTACTAGACGGCTCTACTCCTCAAAATGGTCTGTGTTTTCTGGCTGGTGCAAAGCCCGAGGCTTTTCACCCCTAGACTGTGGGGTTATGGAAGTTCTCTCCTTCCTTCAAGAGCTACTGGGTAAGGGCAGAACCCATCCATGCTCAAAGTTTATGTGGCGGCCATAGCAGCGTTTACAAAACCCGCGATTGGCCAGTCACTGGGGAAGAACGATCTGGTCATCCGCTTCCTTAAAGGAGCTAAGAGGCTGAATCCTCCCAGACCCCCCTCAGTCCCCATGTGGGACCTTTCCACGGTTTTGGAAGCCATGAAAGGTGCCCCATTCGAGCCAATCCACTTGTCGGACATGAAACATCCGTCATTCAAGACAGTGTTTCTTATGGCTCTTGCTTCAGTGAAGCGCATAGGGGATTTACAAGCGCTCTCATTAAGCGCGACGTGTATGGAATTTGGGCCAAATTACTCGAAAGTCATACGGATACGTGCCTAAATCCCTCAACACACCGTTCAGGGCCCAGGTTATTCCCCTGTCTGCCCTGCCGGTTTACAACGAGGAAAAGGATGCGAGCTGCCTTTGCCCAGTCAGGGCATTAAGAGCTTATGTGTCTCGCTCGTCTGTTTTCAGACAGACTGATCAGCTCTTTGTTTCGTTCAGCGGATGTGCTGGGACTAGCCGCATCGAAACAGAGCCTATCCAGATGGATAGTTGATGCCATAGCGCTGGCATACACGTCTAAAGGCTTGAAGTGTCCTTTAGGTGTTAGAGCACACTCCACAAGAGGCCTCTCGTAAGAGAACGTACTCAGTTAGTAACGTAACCTCGGTTCTCTCTAGAAGAGGGAACGAGTACTGCGTATCTTTGCCGTGCCTGCAACACGCTCTGGTTCGCTTCGGCGATGAAAAAACTGATTATATCAGCCCATCGAGCTATATTTATAGGCCCAGGCCACGCCCGCTTTGGCGAAAGGTGAAGTAGTGGTCGCGAAGCGCCCCCATTGGATCTGACGTCACCAAGGGCCTCTCTTGATAGGCGGCTGCAGTTGCCGCAGGACAGCCAATCGGCACGCGAACCGCCTTGCCTATGTCTGCATGCTGCCGCAACGCGTTTTACATTAATTCAAAATTAAGGATAATTTTTGGCTTCAATATCTCGTGGAAAAGAGGTTTTCCCCTAGCGTAAGATATTACGCTGTACTCGTTCCCTCTTCTAGAGAGAACCGAGGTTACATTAGTAACCAAGTACGTTTTATGGTGATTTTGATCTAATAAATTCAGACTTGGTGGGCAGAAGACACTGAAAAATATTTCAGTGATTTCAATATTTCAGTTATTGAAGCCATAATTTTTGGCTTCAATATCTCGTGGAAAAGAGGTTTTCCCCTAGCGTAAGATATTACGCTGTACTCGTTCCCTCTTCTAGAGAGAACCGAGGTTACATTAGTAACCAAGTACGTTTTATGGTGATTTTGATCTAATAAATTCAGACTTGGTGGGCAGAAGACACTGAAAAATATTTGACTGACCCCATTTTTTTAAACGGTAGTGTATGTTATATTCTAGCTTCATGCATTCTTTTTTTATGAACACTTGAATATTATGGGTGTTTCAGTAAAAAAAAAAAAAAAAAAAACCATTTTAAACAAAAAGCTGAAAAAATCGCATTTTTGTCAAAGACCACAACATGCATAAGCAATGGCAATGCTTTTATCGTGTGTTTCTTTTTTTGCTTTTTTTTTATCCACAGAGATTCTGTACTCTTTCAGAAGATGCGTAATAGCACCACATTCCCTATAACAGTGAAAACATTGATTGCCAGAAAATTACGTCATTGCAGGGAAAGAGTTAAACGATTATAATGTAACTCATATTCTAACTGATGCTTTTATGAGTATCACAGTTTCAGCAAAACCTAATCTGTTAGTCATCTAGAATAGATGTCCAGAGACACTCTCCAAAATCTAGAATAGATGACTAGGTGACACTAACAAAGAAACAAAAAACTAGCAAAAAGTTGATTCATCATTTAAAAATGTAAATGGAATAAAAGCATCACACTTACATTTGCATAATTTGCTCGCTTTTGTCACATTATCAGCAGTTGCTGTCACTCATATTGCCTCAAATTGCCAACTCTCACTGAAAACAAATGATCTGTGGACTGTGATCAGTGTTAATTGTCTTTTCTGAGTGAGTGTTGTGTTGAACAGCACTGCCAATTCACACTAAACCAATGTTTGTGCACTGTACAACAGACGGACCTCTGGACAGCATAATCCATTAGTCTTTTGTTCCAGTCGCAATGACTGGCTGGGTTTTTCAGAAAATTACAAACCCGTGTATATGGAGTGGCTGTTTCTCCACTGCACCAAAATCCCTTATATATAAGCTGTGTGTCGGCGCTCTCAATGTATAGGCATCAACTTTTAAGGAGTGAGCTGATATGATTCAACTGCTTTTATAAAACTCAGGTGGAAGACTCTTTAGTTCCATAATGGAACTGCAGTGTCACTCAAACACACAAACCTTATACCACAGGGTGATTGCAGCAATATTATCAGCAATACCAAAAGGGTCTCAGGACCAGCCTTGCTCTGAGACTGTTCTATTTCATATAACTCCAGGAATGCAGTCTTTGTTTAACAAATAATGATAAAAGCAATAATGTATGTGGAGAAACCAATACAGTCGTGGCCAGAATTATTAGCACCCTTGGTAAATATGATCAAAGAAGGCTCTGAAAATAAATCTGCATTGTTAAACCTTTTGATATTTTCTTTAAAAGAAAGAAATAACAAAAATCGAACCTTTCATTGAAGTAAAACGAATGTGGGTGGGCGGGGTGGGGGATCACATGAAATAAATGTTTTTGGTAACACTTTACAATAAGGTTCATTGGTTCACATTAGTTAATGTATTAACTAACATGAACTAACAATGAGCAATACATTTGTTACAGTATTTATTAATCTTTGTTAATGTTAGTTAATAAAAATCCAGCTGTTTATTGTTTGTTCATGTTAGTTCACAGTGTAATGTTAACAAATACAATATTATAATATTATAATATTGTATAATATTATAATATTATAAAATAAAATATTAGTAAATGTTGAAATTAGCATTAACTAACATGAATAAATGCTGTAGAAGTATTGGTCATTCTTAGTTCATGTTATCTAAGGTAGTTAACTAATGTTAACTAATGAACCTTACTGTAAAGTGTTACCATGTTTTTTTCTCTAACATACGTTAGCCACAATTATGGTACCCCTAGAAATAAGTAAAATATCTCTGAGGTATATTTCCCTTTATATTTATATTTTTTTAGCACACCAGGGTGACTAGGAACATGGCATTGTCCAGCCATGGCTTCCTGTTTCACAAAAGTATAAATATAAGCAAACACAAAGACCAAATTCCCTTCATCATCAAAATAATATCACCAAAGAATATAGTTTTGATGTGCAGCAAAAGATTGTTGAGCTTCACAAAATAGAAAGTGGCTGTAAGAAAATCGCTAAAGCACTGAAAATTCCCATATCCACCATAAGGGCAATAATTATGAAGTTCCAATCAAGTAAAGATGTTACGAGTCTGCCTGGAAGAGGACGTGTGTATTGTCTTAATGGAGAAAAGTTGGAGTTGCCAAAGACTCTCCAAGGATCATACAATAGTTGAGTCTTGGGGTCAGAAAGCCTAAAAAAAATATCACCACAAGTTGTTTGGGAGGGTTTTCAAAAAAATCCTCTGTTCTCATCCAAAAACAAACTCCAGCATATTCAGTTGTTGTCGGACACTACTGGAAATTCAAATGGGACCAGATTCTATGGTCAGAAAAAAAAAGGCTTTTGGCCAGCAAACTGCACACAGTGACAGAAAAATACCACATATGTACGATTAAATAAACTGCTGGATCTTTAATGTTGAGGGCCTATTTTTCTGCTTGAGGTCCAGGACATCTTATTCAGAGACATGGCAAAGTCAAATATTAACAGATAATAAAATCAAAACTTGACCGCCTCTGCAAGAAATCTTATAATCAGCCATGGTTGGATCTTCCACCAGGACACTGATCCAAAACTAACAACAAAATCATCATAAAAATGGGTCACTGAGCACAAAATGAAGCTTCTGGCATGGCCATCACAGTCTCCTGACCGGAACCCCATAGAAAACTGAAGAGGAGAGTGTATTAACATGGACCTGGGAATTTGAAGGATCTGGAGAGATATGAAGGAATGGTCTCTGATCACTTGTCAGGTGTTCTCATCAGGCATTATAGGAGACTCAGAGTTGTTATCTTGGCAAAAGGAGGTTGCAAAAAGAATTGAAAAAAGGGTAATTAATAGCGGCCAATGTGTATTAAAGAAAAAAATGTGTCTGACCTACAGTATCTAACAAAAGTGAGTACACCCCTCACATTTCAGCAAACATTTTAGTATATCTTCTCAAGGGACTATACAATAGAAATGAAACTTGGATATATTTTAGAGTAGTCAATGTGCTGCTTGTATAGCAGTATATAGGCCTATTTACCGTTCTCTGAAATAACTCAACATAAAGCCATTATTCATAAAAACGAATTGGAAAAAATCCAAGTCCAGGCACTCAGTAGAATGCAAAAGTTAAAAAGCCTTTATTGTTTTAAGAACACCAACGCGTATCGGCCCACTGGCCTTCATCAGATTGTTGGTAACAAACAGACAGAATCAAGTTATACTTATAATTGCATTGATTTCAGGTGTGCCACTCTGGCACTAGCAACACAATTTATTGGCCACTAAAGGCAATAGTTCAAGTCATGTTTTATACAAGTCAATACAGCCATTATTGTCAAAATAGCAGACAACAAAAGTTAGTACACCCGAAGTGAACATGTCAAAACTGTGTTCAAAGTGTCAATATTTTGTGTGAGCACCATTGTTATCTAGCGCTGCTTTAATCCTCCTAGGCATGGAATTCACCAGAGCTGCACCAACACATTCTCATCCTTTGGCGTCATATAGGTGACGCCATATGACATTTCGTCGAAATCTTACGCACATGGCATCCTGTAGCGTCAACATAACACGCACTGTTATGGGTAGGTTTAGGTCTGGGGTAGGGTTACGGTTATGACGCCTTGGGATCTGCGTCTCATATTGACGCTAAAGGATGGCATGTGCGTCGGATTTCGACGAAATGTCAAAAGCGTCACATGTATGACGCCTTGGGATGAGAACGGGCTGGCTGCACAGGTTGTTGCTGGGATCCTCTTCCACTCCTCCACAATGACATCACGGAGCTCCTGGATGTTAGACACATGGTGCTTCTCCACCTTCCGCTTGAGGACGCCCCACAGGTGCTCAATAGTGTTCAGGTCTGGAGACATACTTGGCCACTCCATCACCTTCAGCTTCCTCAGCAAGGCAGTCGTCATCTTGGCAGTGTGTTTGGGGTCGTTATCATGCCGTTCTGCCCAGTTTCTGAAGGGAGGGCATTATGTTCTGCTTCAGAATGTCTCCATGTTTCCCTCAATGAAGCTCAGCTTCCCAGTACCAGCAGCACTCATGCAGCCCCAGACCAGGATGCTACCACCACCATACTCGACTGTAGGCAAGACACAATTTTCTTGGTACTCCTCACCAGGACGTCGCCACACATGCTGGACACCATCTGAGCCAAACAAGTTCATCTTAGTCTCATCAGACCACAGGACATGGTTCCAGTAATTCATGCTCTTGGACAGGTTGCTTTCTGCAAACTTTTTCCGGGCTTTCTTGTGAGCCAGCTTCAGAAGAGGCTTCCTTCTGGGACGACGGCCATGCAAACTGACTTGTAGCAGTGTGTGGCGTATGGTCTGAGCACTGACAAGCTGACCTTCCGCTTCTGCAACCTCTAATGCTGGCAGCACTCATGCGTCTGTTTTTTCAAGCCAGCTTCTGCACTTGACGCACAGCACGAGGACTCAACTTCTTTGATTGACCCTTGCGAGGCTTGTTCCAAGTGGAACCCAATCTTGGAAAACCTCTGTATGACCCTGGCCTGTACTGTAACTCAGTTTCAGGGTGTTACCAATCTTCGTATAGTCCTAGGCCCTCTTTGTGGAGAGCAACAATTCTAATTCTCAAATCCTTAGAGAGTTCTTCACCATGAGGTGCCATGTTAAACATTCAGTGGTCAGTAGGCCTATGAGAGAATCGTACTCAAAGCACAAACTGCTCTAATACAAGATACACAAATTTGTATGGTCCTGTCAAGCAGACAAAAACATGAACATATAGAATAGCACATGTGGCTTTGCATGGTTAAACGACGTACAGCTATTATCACTTAGGGTGTACTCACTTTTGTTGCCAGCTATTTTGACAATAATGGCTGTATGTTGAGTTATTTAAGAGGACAGTAAATATATACTGCAGCACATTGACTACTCTAAAATATATACAAGTTTCATTATTATTGTCCCTTGAGAAGACTCAAATGTTTGCTGAAATGTGAGGGGTCTACTCACTTTTGTGAGTTACTTTATATGAATGTGTTAAGATTATAAAGTAACTACGTTTCGTGACAGTGTAGTTGAATATTTCATGTTATTTATTGATGTTTATTCATTTTTTTTAGGTGTTTTCTCTCCTTATTGTAGCCATTGGGGTATATGCCAAAGTTCAAAAAGCGACAGGTATGACAACTTTTTTGTGTGTGTTCCTCAGATGTGTGTGGATCAGTTAAGAAGTTTTCTGTGTTTTTTTTCTCTCCACAGACACAGTGCGTGACACGTTCTTCATTGATCCTGCTGTGATTCTCATTGTGGTGGGGGTGGTCATGTTCTTCATCACCTTCTGTGGATGCATCGGAGCTCTGCGGGAAAATATACGGCTCCTTAAAATTGTGAGCAGAAATTTAATTACTACACATAGTTAACATAATATTCAAAGTGACTTAAAAATAAGGATTAGGCTTCATCTTTTCCAGTAGTTAAAATAGTATACACTTACCTAAAGGATTATTAGGAACACCATACTAATACTGTGTTTGACCCCCTTTCGCCTTCAGAACTGCCTTAATTCTACGTGGCATTGATTCAACAAGGTGCTGAAAGCATTCTTTAGAAATGTTGGCCCATATTGATAGGATAGCATCTTGCAGTTGATGGAGATTTGTGGCATGCACATCCAGGGCACGAAGCTCCCGTTCCACCACATCCCAAAGATGCTCTATTGGGTTGAGATCTGGTGACTGTGGAGGCCATTTTAGTACAGTGAACTCATTGTCATGTTCAAGAAACCAATTTGAAATGATTCGAGCTTTGTGACATGGTGCATTATCCTGCTGGAAGTAGCCATCAGAGGATGGGTACATGGTGGCCATAAAGGGATGGACAAGGTCAGAAACAATGCTCAGGTAGGCCGTGGCATTTAAACGATGCCCAATTGGCACTAAGGGGCCTAAAGTGTGCCAAGAAACATCCCCCACACCATTACACCACCACCACCAGCCTGCACAGTGGTAACAAGGCATGATGGATCCATGTTCTCATTCTGTTTACGCCAAATTCTGACTCTACCATCTGAATGTCTCAACAGAAATTGAGACTCATCAGACCAGGCAACATTTTTCCAGTCTTCAACTGTCCAATTTTGGTGAGCTCTTGCAAATTGTAGCCTCTTTTTCCTATTTGTAGTGGAGATGAGTGGTACCCGGTGGGGTCTTCTGCTGTTGTAGCCCATCCGCCTCAAGGTTGTGCGTGTTGTGGCTTCACAAATGCTTTGCTGCATACCTCGGTTGTAACGAGTGGTTATTTCAGTCAAAGTTGCTCTTCTATCAGCTTGAATCAGTCGGCCCATTCTCCTCTGACCTCTAGCATCAACAAGGCATTTTCGCCCACAGGACTGCCGCATACTGGATGTTTTTCCCTTTTCACACCATTCTTTGTAAACCCTAGAAATGGTTGTGCGTGAAAATCCCAGTAACTGAGCAGATTGTGAAATACTCAGACCGGCCCGTCTGGCACCAACAACCATGCCACGCTCAAAATTGCTTAAATCACCTTTCTTTCCCATTCTGACATTCAGTTTGGAGTTCAGGAGATTGTCTTGACCAGGACCACACCCCTAAATGCATTAAAGCAACTGCCATGTGATTGGTTGATTAGATAATTGCATTAATGAGAAATTGAACAGGTGTTCCTAATAATCCTTTAGGTGAGTGTATATAGCTGTATAAGGAAGACCAGGGCTAGTTGTCACATGGGGTGTATCTTGGGGACTAAAAGGTTATGATATGATATAATATGATACATGTGTCATATTTCAGGGTTATTATGATTATCAAAATTAGAATTGTTAAAAACATTTTTGTTTATTGAAATAAAGCTGAAATACAATCAAATATAAATATAGGTAATTAGATAAAAACTTAAACAATATTTAAAAATGTTGCCTTGGCAACTAAATGAAATAATGGTGCTTTTCAAGTCCTCCTGGGAAGTTCGTATTTACAAGTTGGGAAGTCGTGTTTATGACTTCAGGTCACTTTCAGATGAAAGTCACTTTCCTATAGCCCCTCCCCCCAGGCCCCCTTGTGGCTAATGGTTTTTACTGACAACATGTCCCACATTTTTCTTATTTTTCTCTCTAGGAATTATGATGGAAATGTTCAATAACTTCAGTAGCCAAGACATTTAACCCTTAAATGCATGAATGTTTTGCCAATCATTATTAAATATTCCGGTCTTTAGTGACACAGATCTGTGTTTAACACAGATGTGATGATATACAACTCTCCTGATATTACAGAAACAATTTCAGAAGAATAAAATAAAGCATATTTTGTTACCTTTTGGAGCTTGGAAGGGTTCTGTTTGAGCAGATGTTTTATATCATCATCACTGTCCTCATCAGAGCTCATTTCCCAGTAGCCTACATTCAGCATCTGGCTCATATTCGCGATCTCAAACAGATTCTCAAACCTATCATTTTCAACATCTTCAAAATCAATATTTTGATCGCTGACAGCTTCTTCACCAGATCCACCATCAAGTGACAGTGACTGATTTGATTTGATCCAGTACTTGTTCTGCAGTAAATCGCTGAGCCATTTCAAGTTTTGCTGATGATAATTCCTATTCTTTTGTTTTCTGCCTGCGATAACTATGAGTGAAACGTCACTTCATCATTGTGTATCAGACATTGCCACCTTGTGGAGTAAAGGTGAATTGCACTTATTCAGTCATCAAAGATTCAATTATTGTTGTCAATTAACATACTTACAGTTACACACCTCGGGTCGTTATAGCGACCCGATACAATTTTTTAATGGAAAGTTATTGACAATTGAAATTAATTGGAAAACAGGCATTCTTTTATAATTTTATTGTTTATAATGAATTGATTGAGAAATACTAAGTAGGTTGAGGTCTTACTTTAAAAAATGAATGAGGAGGAGGGTAGTGAATGACGTCCCGGGTCACTAAAGACCTCAGGTATACGTTAAAGTTAGGGTTTAAGTGTCAAAAAAAAAAACTACACAGCGAAGCACAAAGAGTAGTACGTGTGACAACTAGCCTCAGTATTCTCTGTACATATATCTGCTATTTATCAGTTACATTTGATCCTTTATTTAAATAGCAGTTACAAACAATGTTCATTAGTAGGCCTAAGCTAATCTTCTTTCCTGTTCCTCTCTAGTTCTCATTTAGTCTCACCCTGGTCTTTCTTACCCAAATGGCCATTGCAATCCTGGGCTTCTTCTACTCTGACCAGGTGATCTTTCACTTGAAACCATAGTTTATAAACTAGATGTGTTTTCTGCAGCACTGATATGGGATACAGGCTATACATGAAGTATTTTACTGTTACGACTAAGGGCCGTTTAAGATCAATTGTAACATTAGGCTATGGCTTTTTTTTAGGGAGGGTTAACCTCTTTTAGCAGTCATCTGTCTCTAAGTCCATCTCACGGGATATCAAGTCCATTTAAAAGCAATTCACCATTCACTTCCATTGTTCATCTTACCCGTAACAACAATTCTAGCTATAGAGTTTCCTATCGGTACTATTTCCTTAATTATTTGAGTGGAATCTTGAGGTTCTACAGTCCAGGAGAAGGTCGTGTGTATTACATCACACTGTACTTCGCTCTTCGCAGCACACACCGTTAAACGGGGAGGGCAGTTTAACGATGTCGCTTCAAGCATCTTCGCTGCTTAATGATTAAAGAGCTTTGCCACATCAAAGTGGGACCAAATGTTCCGATTCGATGGAGGCTTTCTAGGAGTCTTCCTGTTAATGACATTCAGAGGTGCTTGAACATGCCAGCGTTAGAGGAACTGACAGGGGAGATGGAGAGAGCCCCAAGAGTTCATTACCACACTAAAGCATATGCTATTAGAGCCGCCATGGTGAATTAGCGCTGTCGGCCTGTCTCCCGTAGCACAATTACATATGCATATACAACCCAGATGTAAGTGTTTGATTTTTAGGTACGTATGGAAATATATTTGGTGGCTAGATTGTATGAAGTGTCATGTTCACAGACACGCGATGCTCTGGGGAAATTTGTGAAAAAAGCCATTGTGGATTATCGAGATGACATGGACCTTCAAAACCTAATGGACTACATGCAAAAAGAGGTAGGGGTTTTATTTTGTTCAGACGGTGCAGATTTAAAATGCATCTGGCCATATGCTAAAGCATACCAGGCACCATGTGAAGTCATGTGCATTTCTCCAATCAAAAATCAGTATAGGCTACACTTGCTTTTTTACTGTCAAAATTTATTGCATTTTTGTGTCAAAATATACATTTATGGGTTGCGTGTTTTTGAAGTTTCACCAAGGCTTCATTTATTTGAACCAAAATACAGTAAAAACACTAATATTGTGAAATTTCAAATAACTTATATTTATTCCTGTGGTGGCAAAGCTGAATCTTCAGCATCATTACTCCAGTCTTCGGTGTCACATGATGAAATCATTTTAATATGCTGATTGGTTAAAAAACGATTGTGCTGCCTAATTTTTTTGGAAACCTTGACACTTTTTTTTATAGGTTTTTTTTATTACAGTACTTATTAGATTTTTTTTCAGTCTTTTGATCAATTTAATGCATCTGAATAAAATTATTAATTTCTTATCATTTCTATATCATCTGGACCAATGCTTTAGTACTTTTTGTCATTTGCGTAGCTTGTCTCAGCTTAGACATTCTGAGGAAAAAAAAGCAACTTTTAATTTTGCATATTTTTAACTCTGCATATTTTACCCTAACCATAGTGCTGAGATTGGTAAATATGGTAATGTGAACACATGCATGGCTCTCAAAATCTTTCTTTAGATTATGTGCCTTCCTCTTCGTACTCCTCACAATGAAAATTGTCATGGGTCCAGCAGATGGGAGATGAATATGTGGTCTGAGAGACAGTGTCTAAAAATAATATTTTATCTCCCTTCCTTCCTTTCTGCTCCTTGCAGTTCAAATGCTGTGGCTGGAACAACTACACCGACTGGTCCTGGAACCTCTACTTCAACTGCACTCCGTCAAACCCCAGCACTGAGAGGTGTTCAGTTCCCTTCTCATGCTGCACTCCTCTACCAGAAGAGGTGAGATTAAACCAGCTATACACAGACCGATCTTTAATCTGCAGTTATGAATAAATGAAAATGGACATAGAAATAAGCAGATATGAGATCTGTGTGAAGCGAGGATTCACACGCCGCTTTATGAGATGCTTTGCACTGGTGCGACTGAAGCTCTAAATCATTATAATTACATTTTAACTTTACAATATTATTTTATAATACACTAGTTTCACCCCTTTAAACTAAAAACATTCTCTCAAATGTTCATGGCGGCATCAGATGTACTGTAATGGTATAATCCCCTTGGAAAATCTTATATTGGGAGAATAAAAATAACACATACTGTATATCATTTAAGTTTGGAGTCGGTCAAATATTTTAATGTTTTTAAGAAGTCTCTTGTGCTCACCAAGGCTGCATTTATTTAATCAAATACAGTAAAAACAGTAAAATTGTGAAACATTTCACAATATATTTTCATATATTTAAAATATTATTTATTCCTGTATTGCAAAGCTGAATTTTCAGCAACTCAAGTCTCTTCAGAAATTATTATAATATGTGACCCTGGATCACAAAACCAGTCACAAGTAGCACGGGTATATTTGTGGCAATAGCCAACAATACATTGTATGGGTCAAAATTATCGATTTTTCTTTTATGCCAAAAATCATTAGGATATTAAGTAAAGATCATGTACCATGATAGTTTGTAAATTTTCTACCGTAAATATATAAAACATTTCTTTTTGTGATTTATTAATTTTTAGATTTTTTCGCAGACATACAGTAAATGGACAACTTTAAAGGCGATTTTATCAATGTTTCGATTTTTTTGCACCCTCAGATTCCAGATTTTCAAATAGCTCGGCCAAATATTGTCATATCCTAACATGTAACGCTTATTCGTTCAGCTTTCAGATGATGTATGAATCTCAATTTCAAAAAATGTACCCATGTGACTGGTTTTGTGGTCCAGGGTCACATATGCTGATTTGGTATTCAAAAAGCATTAGTTATTATTATTAATGTTAAAACCGTTGTGCTGCTTAATATTTTTTGTGGAAACCATGATACTCTCACGCTGAGTGGCTGTAATGAAGCGCACGGCGATGGAGAATTCAAAGCAGTCTTTAATATACACACTCCAAAGGGAAGATGCAGGAGATAATCTGATGAAAAAACTCACAACCACTATAACAGAAACCAGACTGAACAAAGAACTGAGAAAAACGAAGGGCTTAAAGTCGGCATTAAATCAAATTTGACCCTATTTACTTTGTTAGCGCACATTACTAGTCTTGTGGTGAACGTGTTATCTGTGCAAGTTGATAAAAAACGGTGATGACGTGTTTGACGGATTGAGTAGAACATCCCCTTCAACTGTCAGTCTTCTGAGAGCTTTGACATCAAGCTGAATGGAACACCCACTTTTCTTGATCCAATCAATTCCCAGCGGGAAAAAAACAAGCCACACCCTCTATTTTTCTCACCCAGCAAGTTCCGCTTCACGGTGACTTTAAATACACAGGCTGCGTCCGAAACTGCGTACTCTCTTGAGTAGGTTCTTATTTTGAATAACTAATTACTCCACGACCGCTAAAAAAGTATGTTCTATATAGTATGAATGTAATCTGGATGTAGGCCTTGTACATTTGCCATGTTGTCATTATCATGTGACCTACCAGTGTCAGTTACATCACTTCACTGCCATTCACAAATCCTCTCCCATGGCCTCATGGAATAGTGAAGTGTCCATCATATACACACTTCAAAATACCACCGGAAGTGTGGAACCCGTAGGTTATCCGGGTACTTTTTGCCTACTCTTTTATGAGTACTGTGAATTCGGACATAATTAACAGAACTAAGAACAGGTGATGAACTAATTAGTAACCAAGGAAAGTAACTGGGAAAATGGGAACAAAGGAAACAGGTAAGAGATAAACCAGAACAGAACAACCACGTGACATATAAATCTTTTTTGAAAATCCTTTTGAAATTAAAAGCATCCTGTATCACTCAAAGCCTACACTGAAATTGGAGACCTAAAGCATACATACAAATGATTTGCTGGAAAGTTTCACTACTATAGCTCATATAGTAGCTATTTCTTAGTTTGTACTTTCATAAAAATAACAAAAAATTCTAAGAAATCAGAATTTTCACCTAGTGGATGATGATAAAAACCTGTAGTGAAAAAAAAAAAAATCCACTATGGACCCAAGCCAATAAGCTAATAGGACGCAAAACATCATAGAGATTTACTGGTCCATGTTAAAAGAGCCCACCTTCAATTAACCCCCCACCCCCAAATATATCCTAGCAACATGCTAACAACCACTCAGAACGCTTTAGCCACTGCAAAACACAGGCAACCACCTAAAACACTCTAGCATCAAGGTGGCGAGCGTTGCACATGCAGGCAAAAACCATGTTAACTGTATGTTATACAGTTCAGTTATACAGTGATCCTTCATTTTGATCCTTTATTTCAACACAATCCAACCCTTTTTGTTCTCAGTCTTTGCAGTGTAGCATTAGCGCAAAGGCAAAGTTGTATTCTTTTTCATCTCATCAGCTCAGCAAAACTGTATGCGCTCATTGGTTTATTGCACTCTGCAAAAAAGTGCCATGAAAGACGGATTCAGTGTCCTTTGGGCCTTCATCTTTAACGATGATGGCCTGCGCCGCTAATTACAACCCCTGTTATAAAAGCTTTGTGAAATTAAACAGATTGGGTTTACCAAATGTATCAGTAATTCAAAGTTTCAATTTCTACACAGTTGTCATAGCAGCAATTTGAGAAGAATTGATGTGTTCTGAATTGCTTTCTTGCCTCTCAAGGCAGCAAATGACCGAGCGGTGCCATTTTGGCATGACGTCCAAAGCATTTCTTGGCTGAGATGCTAAATGTGTGCTTCAGTTCAATCCGTGAGACGTGTCTAAATGCTGATAAGATACTCAAACAGAACATAGATCACCGGTATAGAGCGACTCCTTGGCAGACCTAAATATTATGGTCTCTGTTCCCTTGGCAAATGTCTACGGTGATTGCTGGGTAAACACACTCTAAACAGGTCAGAGAGAACGAAATGCAATTATTTCAAACAAAAACAGAAGGAAATTGAGGAACTATGCTACATTTATGATGCAGAGGGAGAAACGCTGTTTGGTTTATGGGTTTAATTGTCTTACAGTATTCAAACGTGTTGTTTGAAGCAAAAGGAATGATTCTGTGATTCATCCAAACAGCTGTTCACATGGAGACAATGGCACTTCTCTATGGCAGCATCTGGGCAGATGATATGAAAATGAATCTTGGCATTATTAATGGTGACCTGTTCAGGGATGCATTTGGTTTGTTTAACCATCAACACAAAATATACTTTTGGAAATGCTGTTGAAAGTGGTATTTTTTCCCCGTTCAGACACAAAAACGATCTTTCATGTGTAGGTTTTTTGTCAGTTATCAGTGATGAATACTGAAAGCTGTGTAAAATCTCGGTAGAAAGATCTTTATGATTAGACCACACGATGTTAAGTAAATTCCTGGTGCAAACACTCGATTGAAAACGGCATATGTCTACAGATTTGACCGTGACCTGCATATACACCAGCAACCCACAAAACAAAAGGGAATTCAACACCCGCAGGTTGTCAGAAAGCATGGTGAAATGCTCACACTAAAGTTGTAAAAAGCTGAAGGGGAAATGACTGGCCCTGACCCATTATATAACGTAGGATGCAGTCGAGTCGAAAGATCCAGCTGGTCTGGGTAGGTGTCAAAAACTGCCTATGGTTGTAAAATACCAGACTAAAGGAACGAGAAAAATCATCAACAATAGAATCAAAAGCACCAAGAACCTGTACAATGTTACTTCATTTACATGTGTACCTCTTGTCGGGACACCTTTATGCAGCTGCTATTGTGTGCAGGTGTTTTTACTGTGCTAGGGTATTTTGGGTGATTGTTATATGGTTGCTTTACTAGCTCTGAATCTCCCCAGATAATATTCTGGTCCCTAGACAGATGGCAAAATATGCTTAGTATTAATGGAGGTGCTTATTTGAGCAAAACTACTAATTAATCACGTTTGCATTTGTATACTATGGATTTAAAATGAGATGCATTAAGCAAACATGACAAGGATGGGGCTAAAACATTACTGCCCCCTGCTGCTTAAAGACTAGTAACATCTGAAGAGACAAAGCAGTAACGACAAAAACATCTTCTCTTTTACTCTTTCAGACTGTGCTCAACACCATGTGTGGCTTTGGGGTTCAGACACAGAACTATGTGGACGCCACTAAATCTATCTATCCGGTGGGCTGTGCAGACAGAGCTGCAATATGGATTGAATCTCACCTGATGTTAGTTGGGGCGCTGACTCTGGGTCTCGCTTTACCACAGGTAACATTCAGTTTCGCAAAACGCTTGGGATCTTCTAATCATGGGCGCTGATTGGTCAGTAGCCTACAGCAGAAACGACTCGGTTACTAACGTAACCTCGGTTCCCTGAGAGGAGGGAACGAGTATTGCGTAAGCTTACGCTATGGGAAAACTCCTTTTCTCGAGAAATATTGAAGTCTTTATGTAAAACGCATTGCAGCTGCACAGCATACAGCAATGAGCGAGGCAGCTCGGTCATTGGCTGTGCTGCGGCAACTTGCACGAACCAATGACGGGGCGACTCTGAACCCGCTTCCAATGAGCGTGCTTCGCGCCCACGCGCGTCAGAGCCCGCCAAGATGGGCGTGGCCAAGGGCTATATATTGGGCGCCCCGTCGTCTGAGTTCTTTAGGTTCAATCGACTGAAGCAAACTGACCAAGCACAAGCACGGCAGATTACGCAATACTCGTTCCCTCCTCTCAGGGAACCGAGGTTACGTTAGTAACCGAGTCGTTCCCTTTCGAGAGGTTCCTCCTATTGCGTAAGCTTACGCTATGGGAACGCCATGTAAAACGCCGTGCGTGCTGACTTCGCTCTATTAAGCCGGAGGCAGATGTCTGAGCCTTCGAGCAAAGTAATTATCCAACGAGCCAGCCGAAGGCGGGCTTTATAAAAGGACAACTTGGAACGGCCCGATGGGCGTCCAGAGACACACACACAAGCACATTTTCATGTACTGTTATGTATGAAAATTCCTCTACATCAGTCAAAGACGGATTCTATGAGGGAGGAGACAATGCTCAGCATGTACACACCTCAGCCTATGCATAGTTAGACCGACAGTATGTTAGAGTGCAATGAGGGGACCTGTAGGTTATAAAACCTGATAAATGTGGACGGTGAGGCCCAGCCTGCAGCCGCACAAATATCTTGAATGGGTATCCCACTCGACCACGCCCACGAGGAAGCCATGCCTCTCGTAGAGTGAGCTCTGATGCCCAAGGGGCACTGAAGGCCCTTGGCTTCATAAGCCAGCCCTATAGCATCAACTATCCAGCGCGATATTCTTTGCTTTGACACAGCCAGACCTTTAGTGCGGCCGCCAAAGCATACGAACAACTGCTCTGTCTGTCTGAACAGGGCAGAACGTTCCAAATATACTCTGAGTGCCCTGACCGGGCAGAGTAAATTAGCGTCACTTTCGTCTGCTGGGGACGATAGCGCGGCCAAAGATATCACCTGTGCTCTGAAGGGAGTAGAGACCACCTTAGGAATATACCCGTGTTTTGGCCTGAGGACAACCCTGCTGTCCCCTCATAGCCTCTTTCTTTTGCGCCGTCCACAGAGGAGAGCGACAAAGAAAAAGAAGGCTTCAGGCGAGCAGAGTGCGGGGCTTTCCACGACTTCGTGAGTTCGTCGTGAACTTCCGGGAAGAAGGGGGAGGGTCTTTGTCGAGGGGCCTGTCGGCGCCCCTGCAGGAACCACTCGTCCAGTCGGCTGCGGGCGGGTTCTTCCGGGGAAGACCAATCGAGCCCGAGGTCTTCCACGGCCTTAGAGAGAATGCGGACGATCTCAGAGTCCATGCTGGAGCCCGTGCTCGTGCCCGCTAATGTCGATGGCGCGGGGTCGAAGGACGAGCCCGGCCAATCGTCGGATGCAGCATCACAGGAAAAACTGTCATCCTTATCATCGTCATCCCGACGCGCCAAACGAGACGAGCCCCATCGCTCCGCTGGAGGGGTGCTGGTCCGCCTGTGTGAACTGGACTGGCGGCGGGGAGTCTTCGGGTGGTGGTGAAGCACGCGGGGATTGGCCCGGCGTGACATCACTGCAAACCGCGTGCTCCGGCGGCCTCTGTGAGCGGCGTATTTTTCTTTCGCGGCTCGACTAGAGGAGATGGCAGCACGGAAGAGGTGGGCTCTTTCGCGGTGAAAACGGCGAAGCGAGCGCGCAGCTCGGTGAGGCCCAGGGCGTCACACTCGGGACATCCGCCTCGAGTAAGGGCAGCCTCTGCGTGGTCCGGTCCCAAGCAGCGGGCGCAGATGATGTGACGATCCCCGTCCTGAAGAGGGCCTCGACACGAGGCGCAGGAAGGCATTTGAAACAACGCCTTGTGAAATTTGCTCTTTTAGAAAAAGTGTCGCGGGGGCGAACACTGATAGCTTTGAAAAAGGATATAGATGGTGCGCGCCGGATGGCTTAGCAGAAGGGCGATCGAAGGCGGCTGAAGGCGCCGGCGTCCTCGAAGCAGTCCTGCTGTAGGCTTGTCGACGGCGGCGGCGTAAAGACTCCAACAAATCCGGAGGATCCAGCGAAGAGAAGGTTCTTTGCTGAAGGAGATTAAATCTAAAGAACTCAGACGACGGGGCGCCCAATATATAGCCCTTGGCCACGCCCATCTTGGCGGGCTCTGACGCGCGTGGGCGCGAAGCACGCTCATTGGAAGCGGGTTCAGAGTCGCCCCGTCATTGGTTCGTGCAAGTTGCCGCAGCACAGCCAATGACCGAGCTGCCTCGCTCATTGCTGTATGCTGTGCAGCTGCAATGCGTTTTACATAAAGACTTCAATATTTCTCGAGAAAAGGAGTTTTCCCATAGCGTAAGCTTACGCAATAGGAGGAACCTCTCGAAAGGGAACAAGCATTGTACTGAATAGGGTGGTGCAGCTGTGATGTTAAAACCTGGAAGACTCATTTTCAGTGGTTCCCTCAAAAATTTAAGGTCTGTGGTAAACATATGTTGATGATACTTGGACGTTTTGTTCTACATCGTGAATTACACACACTCTCACACCCCAAACATTTTTTATCTAGTTACTTATTAGAAATGTTTATTTTTTATATAGGCCTATAACAGATTCAAAATTCACTTTTTTGAGATGGGTGTGTGTAATTTACCCCATTATAAAAAAGTCATGAAAATCTCGAGGAAACCTGGTGAATTACTCTTCCGAGTTTTGACGTCACGGCAGCTTTGTTAATCACCTTTTTTTTTTTTTATTGAACTGAAATAATGAGCAAATACATCATGTATGTTTGTGACCTTTTTAATAATTTATATATTTGAGGGTGGGTGTGTGTAATTTACCCCATTATAAAAAAGTCATGAAAATCTCGAGGAAACCACTGGCGAATTACTCTTCCGAGTTTTGACGTCACGGCAGCTTTGTTAATCACCTTTTTTTGTTTGAATTGAACTGAAATAATGAGCAAATGCATCATAATGTATGTTTGTGGCCTTTTTAATAATTTATATATTTGAGGATAGGCTTAGATACAGACAACCTGAATTATACACATATCCCCTTTTAAGATTGTGGTCCTTTTGAAATGAGTGTATGCTTATTCCATATAATTCAATGCAATGTGCTGCATTTCCATCATTTTTCAGTGGGTGTTGGGCAGAAACTGAATTATGATCCTCTCTCCACACACACCGCTGTCCTGACACAGTCCTTCTGTTTGATCTACAGATCGCAGGCATCGTTCTGTCTCAGATCCTCATTTCTGAGATCCAGAAAGAGATCGGATCCGTCTTGTAGAGGCAGGAGACAGTCACAGCATACCTGCAGTTCCACCAAACTCTCTCACACACTGAAGTGATGCTTTCATTCTGCACCGACTGCCCTCACACTTACAGCACATTTTCCTCTCAGTTTCATTTCACTCTGCCTCGGAGCATTTTCTTATTCATTTTCTATTTTGGTTTACATTTTGTTGTTATTTGATAAAAAAACAAACAAAAAAGTTTGTTTGTAAAGCTTGTGGAATTGTTTGTTATTTCCTCATTACAAATTCAAATAGTCTAGAGGCATATTTGTAAGTACATTTTTATTGAATAATCAGTCATTTGTTAAATGCCTAGAGAGAAAATGCTGCTCAGACTTGAATAATATGTCATACAAAATATCTTTCCAAGGGATTTCTTGCACACTTCCATTTAATTTATGTCATGCAATGGAAGAGGCTAGACGAACATTTAGACAGAGTCGGAGAAGTGAACCAATTAAACTTTGTTCAGTGCAAACTATTGGGCTGTACACAGGGCTCTCTGATCTGATGTCTGTAGTTAAATGAGTTCGGAAAGCGGCCTGTAATTAAACCACCAGAGAACAGGGTGTAAAGCGCTTTGGGAATAGGGTCTGGATTTAAACATGTAAGGAGTGGGCTCTCTGGATCAGACGGTCTGTGAGCAGGGAGTTTGGCCGCACTGCGTCTCTCTCAGTCAGCATGCATCTAGGGACAAAACACAACAGCACCTGCTTCCTTAGAAAGAGTCCAAGAAAATACACGCAGGACAACACTGCCGTCTAAATCAGGCATTTTAAAGATATTTACATGCACTTCATTTTATGTGCAACCTGTGTAGAACAGGTGGGAGTTTGAAATTTGGAAGAATTTCGATTTATGAGCATTGCATACTAATGAAATGCAACATGTAAATTTCTGTTTGAAACTGAATTACACACAAATACCTGGCATCCGTGCACAGCACATCAATTGACATGCAGTTCATCTTTAATGGAAACCCTGTGGCCTTGTATAGCAGTTTTACTGATTACTATATGAAAATGTGCTGCCAACTGTGCACTTTCAATCTGTTGTGTGCCTTTGTTCACAACCAGTTCATTGAATGCTTTTTCTTTTCTTTTTGAAAGGTATTTGGCCATGGCTTCTGATGTATTATTCTATTCAGTTAACAAAAGTTGTTTATCAGCCTGGAAAGGCATCTGTGTTTACAACACAGATTAGTAGATAGCCACAAGAAGAAAAAAAATATTAATCAGGAAAAATTCAAACAAATCTTAAAGATTTGAAGATTTACTTCTAGATTCTGCCAGGGGAATGACAACTTAACATGCTTACAATGGAAGTTACCAGGGCAAATTATGCTAATGTGGCAATTGTCAGCTTGCATCCTACACTGTCTATAGAGCTTAAGCTGTAAACCTAACAACAGCTTTAAAGTGCAGCATAAGAGCACGAAAGACAACAAATGAGCTATTTGAAAACCATTTTCCACTTAGAGGGTTAGAACAGCGTTTACCTGGCAAATCGTTGGTGTTCTTTGTCTCCCGACTTCATGGCAGCATGAATAAGGAGCTGATTGAAAACATCTCTCTGCATAGAAACAAATAAGGAGGTTGTTTATAGTGGAAACACTGCTTATCTAATACATACTGCAGTGAAGCGGCGAAAGACCTGTGCGTCACTGCCCCCTATCTCTACAAAGCGGTCTCTGATGGGTTTAAGCAGCTCCACGGCCTGGTTGTAGTTTCCCTGGTCATACTCCAGCAGAGCCTGACACATGGGCAGCCCCACACGCTCAGCTATCTGGAACTGATGGTTTTCTGCTGGGTCTCTGAGGGAGGAAAACAGAGGCATATGACTAATGCTAAAATGGACATTTCTGTCATCACTTATTCATTCGTATGTCACTCCAAATATGACTTATATAGTGGCCAGGGGATGGTAAACAAAATGTTTTACTAGATAAGGAAAACATTATTCAAAACATCTTATTTTGTGTTAAAGTAAGAAAATGATATTGTTTCAGAAGCTTTTTTCCTTGTTTAGACCTGGGGCCTCATTTATAAAATCCATCCTACATTTGATATCACGATAATTTCTCAAAAGCATGTACGTGTGATTTAGAGAAGGAACGTTTGCACACAAAAAGTGCGTCCACTCTTTACCAGAAGTAAAAATGTATAAATCGCAAATAAGCATGAAATTGTGAGCAGCTGAATGGTTTCAGATCACCACCTTATTGATGTCATCTAAAAGAGCACCAGTCAACGGCCAAATGCTTCAGAAAGGTACGGCAAGAATGGCTTAGATTTCCAAATACCTGCAGTAATCCGACTCTCTGCCACAAGGAAAAGTTTGTAGGTCTTCTTCTTGGTACCCTGACGTAGTGCTAAGCACTTTTCCACGTCAAAGTCTGTTTTGATAGATATGAACGTTGGCATGGATTTTACACTAAAATCCACGCCACGGTTCATATTTATAAAAACAGTCTTTGACGTGGAAAAGTGCTTAGCACTACGTCAGGGTCTAAGAAGGTTTTGAAAGCCCCAGGGGTTTTCAAACTGGGGGACTGCAAGAGATTAAACCACGAAAAGGTTAAAGATAAGACAAAAAAGAAGAAAAAATATGATTATTATTATTATTATGTAAAAGGTTCATTTACAGATTTATTTAGAAATTATATACATATTAATACGGTTTCATTCTGCTTTATAAAAACTGTTCAGATAGCCATCAATAGCCATAGTTGTGTTTTGTTTGTTGTTTCCATTCAGGTTTTATCCATCTAACAGTAGTCGAATGGTGAGTAGAAAAAAATAGTGTCAACATAATAGAAACAAAATATTTTCCAGATAATATTTTACACATACTTATAATATTTGAGATTTTTCACAGTGTAAATCTATGCAGCACATGAAAATATATAATTCCCTTTTATATTTTAGGTGGTCTGTGGTATCAAAAAGTTTGAAAATGCCTGGTTTAGACAACAAATTCGGCTAGGTTTTTGTGTGTGTGTGTGTGTGTTTGTGTGTACAATTGTTACTTAAAGCCTAAAGAACATAAGTGGATAACGAAAAACATTATGCTCTTTGAGAAAACACTGCTTTCTTTGAACAGATGCTGAGCTGAAAATACAGCTTCCAGAGGATTCCTCTCCATCATGTTATCTGACAAGAAATGTATTTTCGCGCTTGAATTTACTTTCAATACACTTTGTGTTCCTTCTGTACAACCTTTACCGGACGTTTGTTTTGGCCATAATCACAAATCGGAATAAATATGCATGCAGCGCATCCGCCTTGAGGATGCCATTCTTCCCCAGAGCAGGGACATTTATAAGAAATCTCATACAGAGCCTGAAGACATGCTACATCTGTCCACAACTCAGCTTCCACAAACTCCCAGCCGTGAGCAGAACCTGGCTGTAATGTAATCTCTTGAGTGGGTTGTGTAATGCGTGCGGCTCACTTAGCTAGTTCCTGCAGACTCTCCAGCAGGCGCTGAGTGGTGGCGCTCTCCTTGCTTCCCAGGGAAACCATGAGGAAGTGCAGGTCATTGAAAAGTAATGTGTGGTCCTCTGTATGTGGCTGGGTCACCTGCAGCACCTCTCTGTAGCGGTCCTTCACGCTCACACCTGCCGAGAAAACATTTTATACACACAAACACAGAGTTGCGCTACTTTTTGGGCTTTTCAGCACAACGACATGCCTCTTATTCATTAATCAAACATTTCCAGTTACACATCCCACTATCCCAGCTCATCTGTGTTTCTGAACCATGCCTACCGGCAGCTACACCAGCCAGAAAGCAAAGGGACGCTACACTGGCCGCTGCCAGCACCCCTCCAGCCGGTGCCTTCCGGTCATGCTAGACTTCACAATCCATTCACTTTCATTATATGCATGTGTATACGGGACAGCAAAAGTTCATGTTTGCTTACCAAAATTCAAGTGAACTCTGTCCTGTGAATTTATCTAGTACAAAAACATTTGAGCTCATAAGATTAATTCATAAATAGAAGACATAAACTTAGTTAAAAGCGGCAATGGTTTGCAGGGTTTCAACTAATTTTGTAAGCTTGCATGCTTTAGAATGGACCTCAGAGGCTACTATATTAATAACACAAATTAATATAATACTTTTTCTAAACAAGCATGATTACCTACTATAATCATGTTTGATTAACTAAACAGGGCAAATTAGCGTGATATTAGCGAGATCTACAGAGGATGGCATCTCGCTGTCACTTCACTCTGCCCTCTCTCACGTATGTGAGAATGCTGTTCATAGATTACAGCACAGCATTCAATACCATTGTGCCTCTTAAGCTTGCGGTGAAGCTCAGGGAACTGGGTCTTGACACCGCCCTGTGCGGATGGATCTTAGACTTTCTGACGGGTAGATCTCAGGTGGTGCGGATGGGCAACATAACCTCTACCTCACTTATCCTCAGCACTGGCTCCCCCCAGGGCTGCGTGCTGAGTCCCCTCCTGTAACCTCTTTTTACCCATGACTGTGTAGCTACACACTCCTCCAACACCATTAAGTATGCAGATGATACCACTGTTATAGGCCTGATCTCTGATGATGACGAGTCGGCCTATAGAGACGAGATACGATCATTGTCTCTCTGGTGCCAGGAGAACAATCTGCAACTCAGATAATTGTGGACTTCAGGAGGAAGCGGCGAGGAGAATATGCTCCCAGTTTCATCAATGAGTCTGTAGTTGAGAGAGTCAATAACATAAAGTTCCTTGGGGTTAACATTAGTGATGACCTGACTTGGTCCATCCACTCTAATATGGTGGTTAAGGAGGCCAGAAAACGGCTCTTTTTCCTCCGACGGTTGAGGAGATTCGGTATGGACGCAAGAATACTGTCCAATTTTTACAGATGTACTATTGAGAGTATCCTGACCGGATGTGTCACCGCATGGCACGGCAGCTGTACCTCCCACGATCGTAAGGCATTACAGAGGGTTATTAAAACAGCAGAGCGCATAACGGGGTCTGACCTGCCACCCATGCAGGATCTTCACAACGAGAGGTGCAAGAGGAGAACAAAAAGGATAATTTCTGATCCTAGTCACCCGGGCCATCGATTGTTCAGCAAGCTGCCATCGGGCAGGAGGCTCAGAAGCATCCAGACCAAGACCAACAGGTTCAGGCACAGCTTCTTCCCCCTAGCCGTTAGACTATATAACTCGTAATGCACTTCCTTCATTCTGCACCAAACACAGGCTTTCTTTTTATTTTACAATTGCTACTTAGCTAACTGGACTTTAGCTTATTATTTGTATATTATTTGCATGTATCTATGGCTATTATATTTATTTTATTGTTAGTATATTTATTTACCTATGTGGATGTGATAGGATGTTTTTATCGGCAACGTTGGGGGGTGGGATCTAAGCATTTCATTACATAACTTGTTATTGTAATGACAAATAAACTACCTTGAACCTTGATACTGCAATAACGTAAATGCGCGTATGGGAGTGGAAATTCTGCGGATGATATACTGATAATGTGAAAACTAAAGAACACAGTGCAAGTGCAAAATGCTTTAGAACATGTTTTTTATTAAATAATGGCACAAATACCAGTAAATTGATTTCCGCAAACCTTAGTAAATTACGTTGCATCATTTATTTGAATACTCTCCTCCCATAAATGTTGTGTCTCAAAGGAAACTCCTACAAATGCAATAAAGGTTATCACTAATTTTTCAATAAATGTCTTTAGTAAACCCTGACAGTAGTTTTAGAATGCCAATAATATTTATATTAATATTTCTGTAAAGCTGCTTTAAAATATAAATTGTGAAAAGCATTCTAAAAGCTGACTATACTGTAGTTTCAGCAAATACTTTAAATATATCCTTGAAAAGAGATCATGGAGATGATCCATCATGCCTTGTTACCACTGTGCAGGCTGGTGGTGGTGGTGTAATGGTGTGGGGGATGTTTTCTTGGCACACTTTAGGCCCCTTAGTGCCAATTGGGCATCGTTTAAATGCCACGGCCTACCTGAGCATTGTTTCTGACCATGTCCATCCCTTTATGGCCACTATGTACCCATCCTCTGATGGCTACTTCCAGCAGGATAATGCACTATGTCACATAACTCGAATCATTTCAAATTGGTTTCTTGAACATGACAATGAGTTCACTGTACTAAAATGGCCCCCACAGTCACCAGATCTCAACCCAATAGAGCTTCTTTGGGATGTGGTGGAACGGGAGCTTCGTGCCCTGGATGTGCATCCCACAAATCTCCATCAACTGCAAGATGCTATCCTATCAATATGGGCCAACATTTCTAAAGAATGCTTTCAGCACCTTGTTGAATCAATGCCACGTAGAATTAAGGCAGTTCTGAAGGCGAAAGGGGGTCAAACACAATATTAGTATGGTGTTCCTAATAATCCTTTAGGTGAGTGTATATATATATATATATATATATATAGATCTCTATTATTAGCCATCCCCCAGCCATCTGCCGTATTCACCAGTCAAGTTCTTTATCCAAAAATACACTTATTTCCGAGGTTCAGAAACTTGCCTAACACCAGTCTTCACATGATGTCTAACACATGATCTTCACACCACATCAGGGCTTTTCAACACAGCAGATTCACGTTTTATTCCAGTGCAGATTTCAGACAAAACCTGCCTTGATTAAACTGTTAAAAGCAAATGTGTTTAGATGAAAAACAGAAATGGACTCAACAGTAACATTTCTCTACTCCTGCTCAGAGATGGTGAGGTTTTATTGTTTTCAATCTGTATTTTAAGACTTAATGAAATCTCACCCTCCAGCTCTAGCCTGTAGAGCAATGAACAAGCATCAACGGTGTCCAGCATGGCTCCAGACTTCACACAGCGCAGATAAACCTGGAGAAAGATTTTAAATGTCCAATGACCAGTCATTTCTATTCCACATCTAGGTAACAATGTCATAACTTTCATTGTCATTGTTACATTATATAATAGGTTGTATAATGAGTATAATGACAGATCATGAAACTAATTCATACTGTATACACCATATGTATACTCATCTCTAATCAAACGGTTTGACAATTTCAGCTACGTCCATTACTGACAGGTGCATAAAATCAAGCATATGGCTGTGCAATCAACATTTTAAGTATAATTGGGTGTATTTATTCTGTTTTAGCATGGTTGGCACAAAGAGGGGTCAACAACTAAATGTTTTACTTGAAGAATTTGAATGACATGCACAAAGATCAGACCTGAACACCACTGGAATTAATTTAAAGGGGTCATGATATGCATTTCTGCCTTTCCAGAACTGTGGAAGATGATATAAAAGCAAAGGGGAGACCCAACTCCATATTAACATTACATTTTGTTCTGGTGTCTACAAACCTCTAACCATGTAGATTCATTATATACTCTACATTAACTACTGCTCTTTATATAACTGAGCTTTTAAGTTATGTAATCTTTGTTAATGGCTTTGAAAGTTATCACAGTGTTATTTACATTTTTAACAACTTTCTAAATATAAAGCATTCTAGTTAAGAGTTTCTTCGCTGTGCCTTCATGGAGACTAAAGGCACCTGCTGAGGTGAATGGAAACATATTCTATTGTCACTTCAACCCTTCTATATAAAGAATGATCGGTTATTAAATGAATGGATTAACTCTAATTTTAGTTTGATAGCTTTCAATATTCTAATTTCTATATACTGATGGTCTGTTGACAGTGTGTACCTGCACATAATAATTGAATGATTTATATACTCTATATTCAAGAGAGTGTAGTCAGGAAACAACTTGGCTTGACACCCATATGCTCCTGTCTAAATCAATTCAACTTTCACCATCTTAAATCCGTCACATTCCATATGGAACACAAGACAGGATTTACACTTCTCCCCTGGTGTGACTAATTACATTCACCACATGTCTACATGATTTAAGTTCTGTGGGAGTACCACAGGTGGTATCAGATGGAAATATCTTGGATATATACTGAATATTTTACCATATTCACGCACCAAGATATTTACATGGTACTCCAAGCACTTTAAAGAATACCATGATACATTGTAGAAAAACAAAACAAAACATGGTATTACAATGCAAACCACAGTAGTACCACGCCACTTCTTAAATGCATTGTCAAGGACACTCCTTGAGACTCATAAGCACAGTAGTGAACTGACCTGCTCATCAAAAATATTCAAAGCTGCTTCATAATTCCCCTGTGGAAGAAATAAAAAAAAATCCATGAAAGACACATGAATAAAAGTAAATTGTGTTCTTTTTGTAGTGGATGTAATTGTGTTGCCTCTCTTTTTCTTACCTTCTCAATGTGAAATAGTGCCCAGTGCCAGTAATTATGGCACGCCAACATGTCGGACACCTTTAAGGGAGAAATAAGACATCATATGACCTGATTTTTTGTTTTGTTTTTACCATACACAATGTGCTGCACATGTTTATACAATCTTTCTGAAACTGACTATCCAGTCTTTCTCTGTAGAGGCCATGAACTTTAGCCCCTTGTCCATCTCTGCCTTCATCTCATGGACATGAGCCACAGCATGGACACTCCAACCGTCCTGAGGAGTCAAAGCCAGACCCTGCAGGAATAATCCATTATAATAATGGTACTTTCCGTTAATAAGAAATTATGAAAAAAAAACAGCATTTTATATAGCATAAATATAGTTCAGTATTGTTTTAAATATTAAATTAAGTAATCAATAAAAAAAAAAATTCTGTGTGGGGAACTATAAAATATACAGTACACTGGACATGTGGACGTTTTCACCAGTTTTGCAAGACAAGCACAACACATTTACTGTGTCTGCTGCATTAAAAACAGGTTTATCACATATATATTTAAATTATAATTAATAATGCATGTTTAATAGACTAATTAGTCATTTTTTACATTATAGTGCCATAACATTGGAAAGTAGTGAGCAACACTAATGAATGACAAATTAAAGCTGCAGTCCGCAGTTTTTCCTCTTTGTCGCCATCCCTGTTCGAATTCTGCAATTGCAGTCATTCGCGGAATTATCAACTTTACGTGAGTTGTACTTCAACACCCTCAACACGGCACAGCGCGGATGAACACAATGTTTGAGGAGAGTGTGCTGCTGTCAGTCACAGCGCCGGTGCGGATACTGGCATTCAGAATCACAGATTATTATTTTTGGAAGTATGACCAACATAAAAATTTTCAACGGAAAATGTCATCTGAACTAGTAACATCCACTTTTGTTCTGGTTCTGACATTGCAGTAAATCGCGCTGATTAAATCTAAAAAATCGCTTATCATATCACGCAAAACCGTGCAAATTATACTTGTTAATGTTAACAACGTCAGCATTGCATGACTACATGTAATGTCCTTCCGATATGTATCCTTTAATTGTTTTCGCATGTAGCAACTCCGAAGTCCGAACGAAGTCTTTTGCATTTTACAGCGGATGAATCTCTAGTTGTCACTGGTGATTGTCGTTTGAACCTTTCTGGATCCGCCATCAAATTGCTAAGTTTAATTATATCAAGTGCTGTGAGAAAAGGCTATAAATCTCCACCTCCAACATCCTCACACGCAACACAGCCTACTAGCCGAGACTCCTTCTTTATGTGTACAGATGTGACGTAATGACGCAAAGACATGCTCGAATCTCCCGCGGAAATCCACCAGTACCACTGGAATTAAAAACATTATTACAAGCTTACCGCTTTGAATCGAGCTACGGCAAGCAGAGAGTTTTGAACACTGGCTGGTTATGTATTTTCTCAAATATGTATTTTGGATCATTTTTAACCCAAAAAAAGCTACAGACTGCAGCTTTAAATATGCAATTAAAAAAATACTACCTCTTTTGCCATTTTTTCAGCTTCGTCATAGAAATTAGTCTCAAGAAGCCCAAAGGAATACATCCCTTTAAGATAACTGGAAAACACATGCAATGAAAACATTTACTTAGAATAAATTAAACATTTAAAGGGATAGTTCACCAAAAAATTAAGTTTTTCCAAGCCTGTATGAGTGTCTTTATTCAGCTGAACACAAAAGATATTCTGAAGAATATGGCTAACCAAACAGTTGTTGGGCACCACCACTGACTTCCATAGTATTTTTTTTCTCTCCATACCGAAGTCGATGGGGTCCCACAACTGTTTGGTTACCCATATTCTTCAAAATATCTTCTTTTGGGTTCAGCAGAAGAAAACAATTCATACAAGTTTAGAAAAACTTGAGGGGGAGTGATTCTCATTTTTTGGACTTTAATTTTAATTTCAGGACTTTTAACTTCTAAAAGAGTTTTTGTCATGTGGACCAAGTTGGGTTTTGAAAGATATCTTAGATATGAAAAACTGAACCTGGTAAAAGGAAAAATTAAATAAAATAATTATTAAAGAAAAAAAAGATTTCAGTCAAAAGTGATATTACTAAAAGGTGCTCTATGTATTTTTTAGCGGCCTCTAGCGGTGATGTTTCAGATTGCAACAAGAGCGCTCGTGCTCGTGTGGGATCTCAAGTGCGAGCATTCACTACCGGCCACACGGAGACTTTCAACACAACGGCGAAAGCATCACACAACATGCTGGAAACTCATGTAAACTCCCACTGCAACGTTACAATAATAGGCTACTTTTATCAGCTTGACGTTGAACTTATGCTCCATGCTCGTACCATGATAACGTTACATTGACTGCATTTAGCCGACATGTGATGTTATCTAGCATAAGGTATTTCACTAACTATTCGTGTATCTTTCACAATCAGCAATGTCAACATAGGTGAATCTATAATATAATGAAAACGGTGAACTAGACTGAACAATGTCAGTGTAACAGTTAGACAGTATGAAGTAACATTACTGTACTGAACGTGTCTGGAAATGTTTATTATAAACAATATGATAGTAGTGGGATGAGTGACGTTAGACAGATCTAGTACATAAAATAAGTTACATTCTAAAGCACCTACTTTTTGTTATCCTGGAACAGTCTTTTGTATTAATTTCATGTCTCATGTAGTTTACCTTGCTATTTCATTAGAATTTACTAATAATTCAAAAGCTCTGCCGATGTTGATCCGTGTTTTCGTCCTGAGTCGATCAGAATCACGTTTGGCCTGACGAGCTTCAGCAGATAAAACTTTTTTTTGTTTTTTATATTTTTGTGGTGTTTGTGTTGGAGTCTGTGTTGTGCTGGAGGCAGGTCGTTTTGGGTGTTATCAGACTCCATGTCGTCAGCTGCAGTGCCGTCGCATAGACTGTATATAAGGAGAGAGGCTCGGGAGTGCGCATGCACATCCGATGGATTTCGCGGTAAATCCGACCCGGAGACTTCACATATAAATATGAATATTGGCCTTCAGAGGTAATAGCAAAACCCGACAAGTAGATCATTGTAATGTGTGATTACAACCCCTTCACACACAGGCAATAAAAAAGGATTCATTTTAGAAGAAAAGCTACATAGAGCACCTTTAAAATTAATCATCACATGGTAAAATAATTTTAAGCCAGCATTCAGATTGGCATCGGTGGAGCACGAGCACCTGCCTGTACAATGGCATATGCGGTTTCCAATAGGGCAGCACTCTGGCCACCGAGTCCCTCATCTGAATCTGTTCACCCAGGTAGAAGAATCCATCATGGGCAAACTTCAGTGCCAACATGTCTGTGGGATGATCAGCCAGAATACTCTCCCAAACCTCACAGGCCTTGTGCAGGGCTCTGAAACACACCATTTAATGTACTTCCTTTATTAAAAAGACATTTTTACATAGTATAACAGTGTTATTTTAGTATTATTTATCTAATATTAAAGTATTTAGCTTGAGTAATTTTACTTTTTTTTAATATACCTTAATGTAATTTACCTAAGGTAACATTTCTAATTAAGTTTTTTTTTTCTTATATTTACTGTACATCTCAGATTTATTGGAATTATCACAAAAAAAAATGTGTTAATGATAACAACTGTATTACAGCCATTGGTATTTTGAGAGGATCCTTTTCAGATGAGATTTTTTTGTTGTTTTACCAGCTAAAAGCCAAGCTGAGGACATAAATGATTGGGAAACTTCTGTAAAAAGGCTGCTTTATTCAAGAACTTCAATCAAGCTAAAACTTAGTTTCATATGACAGTCACACTGTTTATAGCCCAAGGATACAGTAGAGGAAACATGAATCTTAAAAGAACAAATTCAGAACTGCTTGTTGGCCAAAGGCAACCTTGCTTAAAATTAATCACAAAAAAAACAAACCCACTCCTTTTTAGAGTGGGCACATGTGAGACATTCGTAATGTCATCAGATGAATCTTCTCATGCAGCTCTTAGTCCGTTTCATGTGAACTCACCCTTTAGAGAAGAGCTCCATGGCTTTCACATGGTTTCTCTCTCTGGACGTGAGCTCCTTACAGTTCGCCAGCTCCACAGTCTTCCTCACAGCGCTGGCCAATCTCTCATCCCGCAGGACTGAACTTCCTGTGCCCACCAACTCCAGCCCAGTAGAGATCACATGACCCATAACTGCAGCACAGTGGACACACTAATGAGGACTTGTCATGGATGGATTGAATAAACCTGAAGGGGTTTATCTTGCGATAATGACCAGCTGATTGTACATTATCACACTTATTACACAGTTACTTACCAAATAAATAAATAGACATTATTGATTTTGAGATAAAATTTTATAATGTGAGAAGACGTGGAAGATTGTTTCCGCCATAGAATAAAAATGTAACACCAACATTTTCTCTCACATTACTGACTTTTTTTTCTCACAATGGAGAGTTTATATCTTGCAAATCCTACTTTACAACTAGTTTATCTCACAATTTTGAGCAAAAAGTCTGAACTGCGAAGACATAAAGTGCAATTCTGACTTTATTTCTTGCAATTCCAGGTTTATAACTTGTAATTCATACTTTTTTTCTCAGAATTAAGAGTTTATATCTCACAATTTCGAGTTTATATCTGGCAATTCTGAGAAAAACAAATCTGATTTTATTTCTCGCAATTCCAAAACTCACAATTCTTTCTTTTCTTTGCTCACAATTGCGAGTTTATATCTCACAATTCTGACTTCTTTTCTTGCAATTCCGAGTTTAGATATAAACTCAGATTTGCGAGATATAAACTCGGAATTGTTAGATATAAAGACAGAATTGTGAGATATAAACTCACAACTGTAAGGGGAAAGTCAGGATTGTGACATAAAAAGTTGCAATTATATTTTTTATTTTATTTTTGGTGGCGGAAAAAAGCTTCCATTGCAGACCGACACTGACTGATATAATAAAAAAAGTGACAGCAGAATACAATTTACCAATAAAGAGCCAAGTATTCCAGAAGACATTTAAAACAACCTTTTTACATTGACATGTTTACCAAGAAAGACTACAATGCTCAGTGTTGCAATCACGTACCAAAGTCCGGGTCTGCAGCTTTGACAGCTGTAATACAGCCTTCTATTCCTCCAAGTGTCTCATCATTACGCCAGGTCACATACTGATTAACAGACAGTAACATTCAGGTTAGTTATATGCAGAAGAAGAAAAAAACACAGTTATCAAAATCAGTGTATTGATGTGTGTACCTGAGACAGTATAGCATCATATAGTTTACAGGCCTCATTGCTGCTAGTGGACAGCATCAGACCCTCTGATTTCCATGCCTAACACATGCACACCAGAGAATATATAAGCAGTGTAACTGAGATTTGATGGCCAAGTAAGATTGCTTGAATTGGTTTTGTGCCACCAAAGCCATATTCAATACAATATATAATGGAATATACTGTGCAGAACATTAGATCAGTTGCATCAATTTAATATTGTAAACAAGGAGAATTGAATCTGTTATGAATTCGCAAACTGAAGCCTATTTTCACTGTCAATGCAGTTCTTATAGCGTGCTGTTGTTTTGTTTTTGTATTAGGCCTACTGTTACATTGTGTTGTTTAAGTATTGTTTACAAAGTTTTGTCCTGCCTGTAACATGCACTGCATGTGATATAACATTTCGTTCTACTGTTGAGTTGTTTAATGAAGCAAACTCAAACAAACTAAACCTTAATCCCCAGGTCAAAAGGTTTACACTTTTATAGAGACATTTCTCAAGATAGATTTACAGTTGACCATTGCGCTTTTATCTCGAGAACCCCATAAAAAGTCACCTACTCAATAACTCGAGAAACCCTTAGGCCTATGCACTATATTGAAAACAATTTTCTAACTTACCTTGCAATCTCTGAAACTAGCGGCGTTCATTCTCACAGGCGGTACAAGTGACAAGTGACGACGATTCAGGGACCTTTGGATTCGGATCTTATGATGTATCGGTTGAACCGGTTCATAAAACCAGTTTGAATGATTTGTTGACAAATCGTTTCTTGTTTAACTTAATTAAATAATTAACTGATTTATTGAATCAAGAGCCCTTTTCGAACAATGCCGACTCGCAATGTTATCAATATATTATTAGCCAAGTGACGCATTGTTCTATAGATTCTAAATCGCATTTAACAGCGACAAACTGAACTGGGGCATATTCAACAACAAAACCCTTTACTAATTAAATTATCTATAATGTTTTACTAGAACATTTAGAACGACATGCCATAATGTCAGGAAATACGTGATGACGTACAAGAATGCAGTGAATCATTTTTTTGAACCAGCTCATTAAAACGAACCGTTCAAAGGAACCGATTCACAGAAATGAGTCTTCCCCACCACCATTGTGTCTGTCTGAAAAGTAAAAGTAAATTGTTTACATAGAGGCGTCAGTGCAAAAGTCAGGAGTGGGTTGTTGTGTTGCATAAAACTAAAGAACATATGCCCGTTCCCCGTTTCCAAATGTCAAAATTTACTACAGTTTCCCTTTTATATGCACTTCTAAAATCTGAAGATAATTGCTTAATGCATTTTAAAAGATTTGCATAGAGGATTTGATTCTAAAGCAAATTCCAGTACTTGTAAAGTAGTACATTAATGAAGGTAGCGTTAAGTCAAACACAGGCCAACATTGTAATGCTTTAAAGATGGATAAATAGTTAATTATTGTGGTATTTTTTTCTTTCATCCTATGAAAATATATGCAACAAAGAATAATAAATCAATCCATAATGTAAATAGATGAGAAAAAAATCAGAAATAATATGCAAACATCACATAATTGGTTAGATTTCGAAAGCTGGCCAACAGCAAAGTGTAATATTACATTTCTTGAATAAATCCTGCATATGAAGTGAAGTTGAATTAATTTCAACTTCCAAAAGAGTGTAAAATGGTAAACCCATTGTAATAAATGAAAAAATGAAATTAATGAGTCTTCATTTTTAACAACTGCATTGTTTATTGCCTCTGCATACATTCAACACTCTATATGCAAATTAGCAACATAAAGCATTTTCAAGACCCAACATATTTTTTTAAAAATTAGGATTGATTTACTTTACATATAATACATTTTTCACACGTTAATAAATACAATAAAATCTGTCAAACATTTTACAGTCTAACTATTGTTGACCACGTGTTTTCATTCACAGTTATCTGTACTTACAAGTCAAACAAACAAAGCAAGAAACAAAATCTGTGCCCATCTATACAGCTGAACAGTGACTAAAATGAAATGTACACTTAGGGAAAAAAAGGCATGTTCATTTGCAATACCGATGTTTCCTGTTCCAAATCGAGCATGACTACGAGCCCCTGCTGTTAATCAGCACTGGTGTCGGTCGACAGTGCTGAAACGTTTTCATGTGATATAAAAATTTTTACAAAGACAATTATAAATAAAACACTCTGCAAACATAAGTAAACTCTGTGGATGTGAGGAGCCGTTGCATGAAAAGTTAAAAAAGGCATGTTGCTCCAAACCTGGAGAAAGTGAAAAAAAACAACACCAAACCTTGGTGCCTGATAATTAAATGTGAATATGGGCACAATCTCAATCTGATTTGATACTGTTAACTGTTCCAGAAACCACTGACCAACCAACAAAATGCATAATGCATTTGATTGTATATCAATGTATATTGTGTGTATATGTATTCTTATGAACTATCTGCATTGAGGAAGTTTATATACTAATATATACTCCACTGCTTTATGTAAACTATAGTACAAGTATCAGATATTCATGGATGATAAATGATTGTAAACTGTTTTTAGGATATATGTGTGGTAACGCCACTCAAGACATCAGTGAAGTATGTAACAAAGAACTTTTCGCTCCCAGCGTACACCAATATCTATAATATCAGGTGGCTACTGACGAATTCGAAAATTTTACAATTGTCAATGCTACAAACACAACATGTGCCGGTCGCTGAGGGTGTTCTGTGACAATTACAGAAGTCCATCACATGCTTATCTGTGAACCACACAAGACTTCATTCATCTGTTGAATGGAGGTCTGATGCTTATAGTGCGTTATATTAAACAGGAGTGGAGTGCGATTGCACAGAAACAGCTGAACTTTTTCAGTCAGTAGTCAAGGTAGAAAATGCATTATAGGAAATCAAGTCCAAACACCTGTCGTCGCTGAAAACGTAACAGTTGATTGACCAGGCATTCTGGGAAAAACAAGACTGGCTTTATGTAGGATCATTAGTCTCAAGACTTCCTCAACATCAGCAGGATAGATATGTCACCTTTCAAGACCAAAAGAAAAAAAAATTCCCCAAATTGATCCATTCTCTCTTTCTGACCGAGAGAACGTCTTGGATGGAACCAATGTCTTGGCTGCCGAGGAACAAAACGCCCTGAGTCGTGCCAGGAGAACTCGTAAACATCATCATCGTGCTCGTGAGTGGATTTGTAAACGTCGTGTTGACATGCCCAAAAAAACGAGGGGGGAGACAGACCGAATCTTTCTGCAATTTTTTACATTCCCTGCGGTGGAACTGGGAAACGCTGGCGGTCAGAACCATGTCATCGTTGTTAATGCTAAGCCCAGTTGAGGCTGAATCCCTTGGAGAGCATCACAGACTCCAGGTCTTTATCCTCCTCTTTCTCCCTAAGTCTCTGCTCCTCCAACAGGGCCACCAGAGAATCTCTTTGCTCGACGACCTCTAACATCTCATTCAGAATCTGCTTCTCCTCCGCCAGCTCTTCCTCGGTCTTCAGATGGTCTGTAGAGGGTGAAACACTGATTTAAGTTCATTTAAAAATAACACCACCCTACATCAAATTTGCTGAATGAAATTCAATACTTGTTACTAACTAATTTTGGTGTGCGGATTCCAAAAATAGTCTGTTTTGCTCTAGTACGTCACACATTTTTACAAATATGTGCATATAGCATTGCTATTTTCAAAAACCATATGTAAAAGCGCCGACATACTTCAAGCGAAATCGAAGAACGAACTGATGGGACGTAATTTCGAACACAATCAGGCCAAAACTAACCCTTTCCGGAAAAGTTCGCTTCGGCTGGTAAACACCTCTGTTCCATGATTACGTAATAGGTAGGTGTGCACGGAGGCTCCGCCTTCTTTCACATGGAAATCTTTTCCATTTAATTTCTCCTCAAGAGTCTGTTGCGATCAGACTTCCGTGAGTGAAAAGATGAACACACTGGAGGAGCTGCTTTATAGTAGACAATTAAGTTGTACTTCTGGTTAAACGACACTGATACCGTTTTTCATGTTTAATACGGTTAAAGCCGCTTGATTTTAAGCAATCTATTGTATAAATTACTATATATATAAAAACGTGACTTTACTAGAGTGCTGAATTGCAGAGCTCGTGCAAATATGATCAGATGCTTTTCTTATGCTTTATTAAAAAACGCTTGCCGTTTTCTCAATTTTGTTTGTTATTTTGTTACCGAGAGGAAAGAGGTTACACATTTACATATGCATCTAACGGTCGCTCTCAGCAGTGTGGGCGGCGCCAGATGTTTGATAACAGTATATCGCTGCTCACGTATTCCGAACTTCGTTTTACCCCAAATTAACGAACAACGAAAAAGAACCATGAGTATATCGGGGCCTTAAGGTGAACACGTCTTATATCATCCCGTAAATCACCAGAAAAACTGCCACAAATGCATGATTCCCATCTTGCTCTAAGCCAGGTTACAACTATTTGTTCAATACTCAGCTGATTTTCACATATATGACATTGTATGCCTAATCCGAATTATGGCCATTGACAGAAGAAAATGCAAACATGATCAGATGCTTTCTGCTACATCTGTGGGTGTTCTACTACATCCAAACAGAAAATACATTTTTGCAAATCATCAGAAATATTTGCAGGGCTGTGTAATGCATATCATTTTGTTGGTGTTCAAATATGATTAGGTCTATACTGGAGAGCAAAGTACCATCTACTGCCATGCGTTCTCGTAGTTCCTGTTGCAGTCGACTCTGTCTGTCCTCCAACTCCAGCTCACGAGCACTGCAGAGAGAAAGGATGGAGTAGAATTAAATGGGAGAAGAGGGCAATGGCTGTTAAGCTATAGAGTTTTTATAAGGCACTTTGAAAAATCGTTGATGTTCAAAGATATTGGATTCTTTGATGCCCCACATGGACATCAAGAAACCATCTGCCATTACAGCACCATAATGTCCACACAAACACAAGGTTTTAGATGAGCAGATGCGCCTTTAAGCAGAGCACTTTGAGAAGAACATGCGAAAGTTAAAATCTTCTTTTATCTGGACGATGAGTTGTTTCTGGTATTAAACTTCTTACACTGTTATTAAAATACTGGCCAGTAATTATATTCATATTATGGTTGCTAAATTGCCAATTCTAAAAGTGTATGCTAGTTTGTCTAAATAAATTAAAAGTAATACATTGATTTTAAATCAAACGATTTAAATGCTACACATGAAATCAGGCATCACAAATTATAGTGTACAGAATAAAAAAAAATGGATATTCATTCTGAGATTTGCTAAAAATTACATTTACCGTAACTGAGTTTTTAAATTATTAGTGTATTAATGATTAACTGAAATGAGCATTTCTACATTTAGAAAATGTAAAAAAAAGCATGCACAATTACATACATGCATACAATACTAACCGGTGACAAATGCGATACAGACTAAAACTGCAAAACTATTAAGACCCTCTTCTAACGGAGAACCAACAAACTGTTTTTTTCTTGATGAAAATGTCCCTTTGTAATTTGAATTTTGCTGATGAAACTGTTCTTTTGCCTGAATGTATGGGCCATTTGGTGCTAATCTTTACAAACACAGGTGCACAGTTGATTGCATCCGAGGCACAGTCAATATGTAATTGCACCTTGTATTCACACAAATGTAAATTGAACAAAACAGAATGTAATAAAAGCATCTGGCAAAATCTTTCAGCACAATGCCGTTGCCTACAGCATATCTGCCTGTTAGAGATCATCAGTTGATCTTGTTTAGAAAGGTATTTGTTCCTTTTGTACAACGAATAAAAACATCCAGACTCTAGACAATACACTTCAATATGCTCATTTTACATTTGAAAACAATAAGATTTCCCTTCATTAATATAGAAGTTTTTATTTTTATATTGTATTTTTATTGTTTTAATAAACATAAGCTCTAATATATTTTACACAGTCAAAATTTGACATGGTTCGAAAAACATTCTTAATGTGGCTCCGACTTCACTTGAGCATTAACATGTGCCATCCACAGAGGTTTGCATGAAACATAAGCAACAGGACTGAAGCTTAATCTGAGTGTCTACTCACAATATCATCAGCTCCGATTCATAGCGCACCAAGGCATTCTTCTCCTGGACCAGTTTAAACCATTCCTGCATCAGCTTTGGATCGTCCTTTTTACCCATTCCTGCAAGAAGCACATTGGAGAAGCATGAGGAACCTGGCAGTTAACCACCCACTGACACACAGACCTGACACAGACACCCACACAGCAAATGCGATGACAGCCAAGCCAGGATGTCTTTGTCAGGGCAAGAGTAGGGTGGGAATGTGGAAGACCATGATGAGGTCGAGGCTGCCGGGGCTCACAGAGGATGGCGTGGAGGTGCGACTTCTGATTGGACAGCATTTCATGATCAATGCTGATCAGACAGGACTTCTGAGGCATTTGGTCTTTTTCAAGGCAGTGGATATTGCTTCAAACTTTAAAACCTTTTTTTTTTTTTTTTCAGGACTATCTTTTTAAAGTAATAATGCAAGGCAATGTCAAAGGTATATGTCAAAAAGAGTGAACATCTAAATTCATCTTAACTTTACCTTTGTGGGTCCGTAGCTTGCTCCAAGGAGGCTTCCCCCAAAAAGTTACCCAATTTTACACCATTTTATCCCAATATCATGGCAATAAATAAGGCATGTCATAAAGAAATGTTCCAGTTTTAATAAAAGTTTGGAACCGAGTTGGTGGCAAATTACCACAATAAATAATTTACTCTTCTTTCAAATTTAAAATTATAAGACAGTAAAATAAGGCCTGTATCTTTGTTAAAGAATTATGCTATATATATATATATATCAAATCACTATAGACTACTGTACAAAAGATTCGAGTTACTAAGACTTTTTAAAAAGAAATTAATACTTTTAATTTACAGCAATGACTCAAAAGTGACCGTAAAGAACATTTACTTCCATTGTAAGTGACTTACCACAACCACATTTTTTGCATGTTATGAAAACAAAAAAGAACAAGTCAAAATCATTTTCTGTGGTAATCGGCACTACGCAGCAAAAGGCTGCCGATTAAGCTTGTATTGAACCTGGAACATTCCTTTAAAAAGTCCTCTGGGTCAGGCTCATGACTCAATATTCTTTACTTGCACTGTGACTGCAGTTAGACGTTAGACTGCATGAGGTAAAAGAAAAGCCTCATGGTATGCGCTGAAGTCCATGATCAATGCAGAATACTGTCACCGACTGAATATGGGAACAACTGTGCATGTCTGCCCATGCTAGTAGTCCCAGATGTCTATGAATACCCTGTCTCCCATCCCTACACACACATAAAAACACAAGTGAAGCCAAGCACTGAGATGAGCCATCGCATGGTAAACCTGGATGCAGCATGATGTACTTAGCTGACGGAGAGGCGGCTCTAGCAACATAAAAGGAAAAAAGACAGTACACACATACATCGAATGGCTGTGCTCGCGGTTGCTGGCCTTGGCTGTTTTAAACACACAGAGGCAAAGTAGAGGTCCTCAGACACAACAGTTAGAGACAGGGACAACAGAGGACAGGGAGGCTAAACTTATCCAGTGGGACGCACTGTGAGTGGCCTCCCCCACACTCAGCCCCATGCTTTCCCAAGAGGAACAGAGAAAGAAGAACCACAATTAGAACAGTCGTATAACAACCACGCTAACGTCGTGCCAAAAGGGCACTGTTATACACAGGCATAGTTACACACACACCAGATTACAAACCGACAGACACACCACAATGTTGCAGAACATTTGTATTTTGTGCTACTGCATTTAAAGTCAACGATGAAATCTCATTCGAAACCATTGGAATTCTATATTGTGATATTTCCATTTCAAGCAGAAACGATATTTATTGAGAAAACTGAATCACAAAATCATTAAGTCGTATAAATCATAGTTTTAATTAAGTACATAGTATAAATTAAATATAAAATGATTATTATTATTACTCTATTAACCAGCAATAAAACGAACACTAAAAAATTTAACGTGTTTATTAAAGCATTAGCTGATGTCAAGTTTTTTGTTTTTGTTTTTTTGCATTAATGAATTACTAGCCAAACGTAGTCAAAAAAACATTTTTCCCAACATAGTGGCCTCTATCATGCTATACGAAAAAGAAAAAACATACATTTTAATTACATTTAATACATTTTAATGCAAGACTACCAAGGAATCAAATGTAAGAGTTCTTAAATTAATACTGTACGCATATAAAGAACAAACTTACCAATTCTCAAAATACATTGTATTATTTAAACAGTACTCAGTACTCCATACTAAAGATATCAAAATAGTGTAAACATGACATGTAACATCTTAAAACATCTAACAGTGCTTAGTAAAAGTTCAAATCTAACATGCATAACCGGATGTAATGTGAGTGTTAAAATGACATGTCAAATGACTGAATGGCTGTTTGAAATATTTAAATAGCCTACTGTTCAGAAATAGAAAGTAGCACAGCCTGCTTTATTTACGGGGTTATGGCTGCATTTCTGCTGTTCCTTAAGCTCCATCTACTGTCAGAGAGTGAATATGCATTTTCATTCAGTGCTTCTCCTCCATGTTGGGCTTGTTTACATTAGAGAGCGGATGCCTCTTTAAGACAGCGCACAATGTTGTAAAGAGTAAAAAGTATTCTTAAAATGCATTCTGGTAAAAAATATAAATTAGCTTTCATTCCCATAGTACCTCATTTAGACGTCTTGAGGCATAAATTGTTCAGCTTCATTTCTGTCATAAACATCTCTTGAGTACCGGTATTAAATTTCCACTCTCTCATTTTGCTCGAATTTGCCCGTTCTCTTCTCCCAAGTGACTCACCCCCCCGTCTCATCTCTGGTAAAGCGCACACTGTGATGTACTACATAAAAAAGACGTGTGTAACACACTGGGTAGGCTACTACCAAAGACTTGGTGCTACACAGCCTAAAAACATTTTTCAATCAGATCGCCTTCAATTTTAATGCCTAGCAGAAAAAATGCAAATATTTAATAGCCTTAAAATCAGGAGATTCTAATTTCAGACTTTTAAGACTTTTAATGCCCTGTGGGGAACCCTGCAAGGGTTATGAATAATGTTCATAATAAGACCAGGAGTCTGTAATAAAAAAAAAATTGATTTCATGTTGACTTTAAATTTGAGCGTAATGGTGTGACAAAGACATCAGAAAAACTACCACGTTTGGAGACCTCACTTTCCTGTTGTGTTCCCCTTACACATGCTATCCTTCACAGCAAATCATTAGTGATATGGAAACTCATGAACACACAGTGAATATAGTCTATGGATTACCATGATACAGCTCTATAAAGGAGCTGTGTGGTTGGGACACGTATTTGACAGTTTTAGAACTCGGTAAGAGCAAATGACAATCATGCTGTTATTTAAATTCACACAGTCAGCAGAGCAGTTTCCCCCAAAATACACACTAATGACCTGTCATCATATCAGGTCGGCTCTAACGTACTAATTAGAAACGTATTTCAAGCTATATTCATCCTCTTTATAATGTTTAAAGCAAGGTAAAAATAAAAGTAGAATCGTGATTAATAAAGGAAACCAAAAATGAAGCTTTAACTTCTGTTGATTCTGCTGAGGGCTGGGCGATATACCAAACATTTACCACATATTTAGTATTTTTTTGCTGATCTAGAATTTTATTAGCATCTAATCCTCTGTAACAAAAATGCGGATAGTGTGGTCAAGTTTGATTCATTCACCCGAGTCGGTTCTTTCAAACTGCCCGATTTAAACACTGATCCAACTGATTATTTGGGTTAACTTTTCAGAGCAATCCTTACATGGCACATAAGTTTTAAAATGTAATGCATAATATTCATGAATTCTTTCTAAAATTCTAAAAGTCCACACTAGAGGCTTAATAACTACTAGCAAGTTTGTAACTAACTTTGTACTTTATTAGGTCGTAAGCTCTCCGTAAAGTAATGCATAGTCGTATAATATGATGTTACCTTCAATGATCCAATAGCAGCCTTCAAATACGTGAGCAGAAGTTGTGTTGCCATGTTTATCCTTCACTCCAACTTCTTTTGCCAAACGGTAAGTTTACATTAAATATAATACTACTTTATCATGAATAACTTAAGTGGTTTTATATGTAAATAACATTCAAAAACTGTATTTGAAACTAAATCAATAAATAAATACTGATAGTATTTTTACATAAATTACATTTATTGATTATGTCTAATTTGATCTGACATGCACAACACAGAGGCGCACTATTAAGGATGGGTTCGGGATGAAGAGCCGCTAACAAAGTCATATTTTCACAATGTTCTCTCTCTTAAAATGTAAGTGTAAATGTCAGCGTTATCGTGAGTCTAAAGAATTGAAGTCTGTCAGGTAAAACAAGAGCTTTTTGATGCAGTTCAGTCAGTTTGCTATTTTATTCCAACCTTTACTCCTGATAGGAGGCTTCAGTAAATATTTAATATATATGCAGAGTTACGCTTCAACTAAGTTTAATGGTGCAATGCGAAACTATTTAGTGGTGCTTAAGTTGTAAATTAGTGCCAATTTCCGTCAAAACTAGGCTATGTTGTAACTTACGCACAGCTGGTGCAACGGTCTCTGTTTATTATGTTGGTGCATGTAAATAAAATGAAAAAGTTACTTCTTGCTTAAATGTATCTACTTGCCAAATATTGCTATTTGGTAAAACTGAAAAATATCGTCCAGCCCTACTACTGTTACAAATTTGTACATCAGAAGCATTGACGCAATCTGCTGGGGGAAACCCACTAAGCCTGGACACACACGGGCAGCGGAGAGAAGTAGATTTGTAGTCGGAGGGCAAAAGCAATACTCCACAGGTCCAGTGGGTTGTCAAAGTAACGCCGCTGGCCATGTTGTTATGAAAACAGCTGGCCGGCAGCAAACATGACAGGGTTTACGTTACCTTTAGGGGCACAGCAGGGGCAGAGGTACAGGGCTCTTCGGCGAGGGGTCCCGACATAGGGCTCAACTTCCACAAGACAGGAAAGGAATGTGAGAGAGAGAGAGAGAGAGAGAGAGAGAGAGAGAGAGAGAGAGAGAGAGAGAGAGAGAGAGAGAGAGAGAGAGAGAGAGAGAGAGAGAGAGAGAGAGAGAGAGAGAGAGAGAGAGAGAGAGAGAGAGAGGTGACCAGAAGAGTGAAGTCAAGAAAGAGGAGAGAAAGAAAGAGATGTGGAAGAGAAAAAAGTGAGGAGCGAAATCAAAAAGAGAAAGAACTCTGGGGAGAAACTAAAAGCAGCAGTGTGATGTGACATAGTGGGAGGAAATGACAAGGGACAGAGCGCAAACATGAATGAACTGAGAAAGAGAGGTGAAATATTGCTTCTCTTTGAACTTTTCCTTTTGTGCACTACTGAGGGCAAATAAGTGGCGACTCAAAAGCAAACCTAATGTCTGCATAGGCTTCATCAAAGAAGTACAGTATGCAGCTGTTGGTCTCCTGAAAGTGGGTTCTATTCGTTCAGAAAACTTAGGTGGAATTATTATATCATCTTAGGGGATTGGTCAGGGTGCAAAATATATTTCTCAATCCTCACACTACGTCTGATATGGAAATCAGCAATCTATTCAGCAGGTGTCAATCCAGCCACAAGAGAGAAAAAAACAAAAACAAAAAAACAAGCGTCAAATGCACTTGAGAAGAATGACTGGCACCAGAGTAAAGGATTTCGCCAATGATGCATGGGAGCAAATGAAAAGGCAGATACTTGTACAATTCTTTGAGCTCTGCCATGCCAGGGTGACAGAATGGTTTTTAAAATGCTGAAACAATTGGATGACGGATGTTGGGCAATTCACAACAAGGGACTATCACAGAGGAGTTTGTCAGCGCAATCCTTGAAAGCCAGACTGCGACCTTGTCTGCATTCAGAAGCGGGTAAAACTAATCAGCACTAATACAACCTTGTCTTATGTGAAGAATGAGGAGATTTTTTTTCCTTAGTTGCCTATTTGCCTTATACGTCATCTACACTTTGTGTAAATAAACAGACATTAAAGGGTTTTTTTTTTCACTGAAAGGATTTGTTTAAATCTAACATGCAAATCTAACATGAGCACTCCTCTTAAACCTCATCATCTCATATCGCTGGCTCGTCCTCTGCAGTTATGGGAAGAATTGGGGAACTAATTATCCATGAAAAGCAACAAGCTCGCATTCTTATGCAGACATGCATGGTAACGACCCGCGGGGAAACCAGGCCATAAACAAACCGCACACTGATGCAAAGTTACACAGAAATCTCAAAACGGCTTTCTGAAGTTTTTAATTGGTTACAAAAATGGGGACAACTGTATTGTTTTGGAAATGACGACCAAGTGTTACAGCCAAGAGATGTCTTACTGACAGTAATTATGCAAAGTGATTTTGAGCTAGGATTACGAGAAATCCACCAACTGTTAGCAGGTCTGCCAACAACTAGATTGTGATGAGAAAAACTCACTTTTGCAGGACAATCAATCCAAGTGCACAGCTCGCATGTTTGCCACTTAATCTCTGTGCAACTGTTAATAAAACAAAATAAAAAGTAGCCACAAGCAGCAAGTATGGGGTTGCAGCATTACAATTCCAAAACAGAAATCTAACGAACTTTAGCAAGTTTAACTCGTTTTTGGATTTCAAATGCTTTTCCATCATCTTGAGCCAGTTTACCAGAACATTTATAAAATGTGGATATGTTGTACTTACCTTAGTTTCCTAATTAAACGATTGTTGATACACTTAAAATAATAAGATGCCTTTCAAGAACTTATTGGCATGCTATGTTTAAGAAACACCTTGTTGCATTGAAAAAGATTCATAAGATGGTTAAACAATGCCTCAATGTCCTTTGAAAACAATGGGTAATTTATTCACCATAACCACGCTATCTCCTGCCTGCGTGTGTGTGTGATTTCGGCATGGCTTGCCTGTAACTTCACCGTGTGATCAATGAAACACAAGACAATACACTCATTCAAACAAGCACACAATATATCCACAGTGTGAGATGTAAGGTTTGGGAATACAGTGAAAGACGCACCACACATGATGGAATCAATCGCAATGAGGTACAAACACTGGGATCTTTCGGGGTCCGGGCCCCCTTATGCAACTGAGCAGGTATGGGAGGGAAATATGAAAACTAAAATGTTGGCGAGTAAAGCAGACAGGGATTGGCTATACAAAAAGGCTAGAGGGGAGGGGCTTAATCAGGATTTCAAGCTAGCTACATCTGTTTGCTTAAGCATTTTGGATTTGTTCTGCTACATATTAGTGGAACATTTTTAGTTTGCAAACTAAGATCAAAACTGAAAGCAAATTGAATGCCAATGCAATGTGGGAAAACATTGTGTTTTGTTTGGCTCAGATTTGAATAATACACAAATATATTAAATTATTAAATAAAATGTTTATGTTTACAATTTATTAATATATTTAAATAAAAAAATGAAATGATCATTAAAAAAATTTAATCGTGAAATATTTTTTAAAAAGTATGTAATATTTATATATAATACATTTAAAAAAAATACAGGAAATAAAATACAAAATACTACATACAAGAATAGACATTTCATATATATATATACAAATTATATATAATTAATATTAGAAATTGCAGGGGCAAATGTGAGAGAATTTAGGCGGAAGGGGGTAAATAAGAGAAGACAGGCTTCAGTAAGTACAGGGGGAAAAGAGAGGGCGTTAGTTGTTAGTCCATTTCAAGCAACAGATTTGAAATACATACCGCCCAGATGCAAATCCAGGATCTCACTGTAATTAGACTCTCCCCAATAGTCTACAATAAGGATATATTAGAAACATGTTACTGCACACACAGGCACAGCCAGTAGCTTCAAGTCATGCATATGTTGCACACAAACACACACGCAGCAAGGTATGCCGAATATACATTTACCACAACTTGTTATTTGGCATGTAAACAAATGTAGTTAATTGAATTTATATTGCATGTCCCGTAATGGTAAATGGGCACATAGATTTGTTGCACCGCTGTGTTCCGCCACAAGGGCAGCACAGACTCTGGAGTGCGAGTATGTTTTCGCATCTAAAACAGCTTTTTTTTTTTTATTCCTGTCAGTCATTGGTAACACCATTTCGATGTTCACAAGCCATACACATTGTCTGTAGTATAAAGGGTTAAAATGCTTGAATACGTTTTTCTCCCTCATATGACTTGTTACACTATTCTGATGGTCCACTTTAGATTTTCTAACTATAAGTAACTTTGTAACTACATGTCAACTTATTCTACTAACCCGAACCCAACACCTAACAGTCTACCAATACTCTAATGAGAGTTAGTTGACATGTAGTTGCAAATATACTTATAGTTAGTAGAATGTCTAAAGTGGAATATCGAAATAAAGTGTAACCGAGTAATCTGTATATGAGGAAGAAAACTTGTTATTCAATGCATCTCGAGCATTTTAACCCTTTATACTACGGCTTGTGATCCTTTGTTACGCTGAACAACAAAACATGAATATAAAGCATTTAGAAGACAATTTCCAAGAAAAGGTGTTTTAAGTTTGACAAAATGGAACGGAATAGATTCAAAATTACATCCTCCATCATTCATAGTGGATTACATCCAGTGAGGCGGCACACAAATCTATGCTTGGCGTGATCGGACTGACTGGGCATGCAATTGAGACACTCATGAGGAGAGACGAGTAGAGACAATGCTCGGCATGAGGATGGCATGATCCGCTGGGATGACTACAACACCTACTAGAGTTATCACAATGGATACCTGAGCGTCTCTTACGCTGTTTTGGACTAACACTAGAACCTTTATACAACCCTTAGAGAGAGTAAAGGATAAAAAGAGATTAAGAAACACTAGATATAAAAGATGGAATGGAGAAGGAGAGAGAGGAAACAATAATTGCAAAATCATTATTTTTTTCTACTGCCTGTAACTACCCTACTGATTCACAAACCATACATTTTGTACAATTTAATTTGTTACAGCTAGAGTTACTTGAAATTATTAACATAATTTGTTCACATTTTGCAAAAGGAAACAATTATCTTTGAATCCAATAATGAAAAAGATTCTAGCAATTCATTTAGCTGTTACTGTAGCACGTATTGAATGGAAAGTATTTGATAGCCCCTTGTCATGTGCAATTCAATGCAGAAAACACATACAATAATGTTAATGGGACTGACAAAACATTAGTTCTGCAATATCTATATTTGATATGTTAGAAGTAATTTGATTTAAGGCTTTTCAAGTGAATAAGGTTTTTTTTAAAAGATAATTTATAGAGGTAGCTGGGGCAGATTTCCATTTGTATGTCAGGTACAAATACTTGGAATTGACAGATTTCTTTTTTTTAATTTATTTTTTATGTAAAAATGTGTCCAAGAAGGCAAAAAAATAAAATGCTTGCAGCTGGAGAGCTCAAAAAGCAATCTTGGCGAATAAATAATTTAGAGCTGAGCATGACTAGGGGAAAAAATTACATTTACTACAAAAATGTCAATGACTTTTTCAAGGTTTTATTAATTATCATGGCCTATTTCAAGCCTGCAAATCACAATTGTAACATTCCCTGATATTTCCAGGTTTTCCATAATCACAGGAACCCTGATTGAAATGCTAATGCTATATCTCAAGCCTGACAGAATGAAACAAATTTAGTAATGAGATACAAGCTTCTAGCAAGGTTTGTATAAATAAAAAAGCGGATCCTGTGCATCAGAATACTAACCCAAGTTCACGAAATGGCTTTTAATCAAAAGGCAAAGGATGCATAAACACAATTTCACTTTTAATTTCTGCACTGTAGTTTGAAGCTTGAAGCTAGAAACAACAGCAAGTAGCGCTCTGACATAAAGGTCAAAGAATAGCTACATAGAAAAGCATGAGTTATGAAGATCTGCTCCAAGGCTTTAACCCAGGGGTCTCAAACTCAACTTAACTGGGGGCCGCTGGAGGTAGAGTCTGGGTCAGGATGGGCCGCATCAAGTATTCCACAAAAAAAGACTATTCAAGTATTCCAAAAAAGGAGCACAACTGATCCAATCTTCTCAATCTTTATTATTAACGTTTCTTCTGAACTGTTCCTCTGAATTTGAACATTCCTTTCTGTACATGATTGGTTCTTCATGAGCTGTCTTTCTGACAGTTAAAGTTCATTTTTACAAACTTTCTTTGTCTATAACACATATTTGTGATATTTATATTTGCTTATGTCCTTTTTATTTTCTTTATACAACACATTAATGATATTGAATGTTTTTTGTTTTTTTTGGAAGGCACATTTCCTTTTATTATACTTAGAAAAACAATTATTGCTTTTGAAATACAAATATTTGCAGTCATGTCTGCCCGTCTTATTGAATTCTTTCTACACATGTATAGTGTCTCAAATTACTGACTGCACAAATCAAAGCAAACCATCTTATCAACCTGTTGGACACATATTACAAGCTCAAAATGATTATTCTCACATTGTTTTAGAGCAGGGGTCTCCAACACGTCGCTCGCGAGCTATCAGTAGCTCGTGGCCTGATTGGTGGTAGCTCGACAAGGGGCCGTTCACATATCGCGCTCACATATTTTGCTCGCTCAAGTTCGTTATTTCAAATGTAGGCGCGCGGCAAGCGCGCTCATAATTGAAGCGACGCGCTCATTTTTTCCAGGCGCAGTATGTTTGTACTTCGCGGTTGTCTCTGACAACTATTGACAACAAACCCACCGTGTCACGAGACTATCTATGGTAGCCCATAAGGGATAAAAATTATTCTTTTTTTTTTTTTAAACGCGACACACGCAACGACGGGCCGCACTAACATTAAACTTTAATGTCAAGTAGGGGGCCACAAAATATCACCCTGCGGGCCGCAAATGGCCCGCGGGCCGCGAGTTTGAGACCACTGCTTTAACCCTTCAGCAGAGCATCTGAGGAACCATTTTGATCAACAAAAAAAAAAGTGAGACAAAGAGAGAAATACCTGCTTCCCCTCGCAGCGCCTTTTCCACCGCGACACCTCTCTCCTCTAACTGCCTCTGTTTCTCTTCCACCTGCTCCAGTTGCCTCTGAATGATCTGATGAATCAAAAAGCAGCTTTGGTTGACAACACACTCTATTATTCTGCATGATAATGGCTGAAATTCAACTTTGACAAACTCATGCAAAAAAAGTCATTAATATGCTTTCACCTGGGCTCTGTGGAGCCTCTTGAGCTCCTCTTGCTTGGCCTGCCTGCGTGCAGCTTTTTGTACTCTTCTTGTCAGCTTGGCGTTGAGTTCCTCCTCCGTGTACGTCTTCTGCAAAAGGAAATTAAAAGTCAGAACATGCGCTCCTGTAACCTGTATCCGGGTCAGTTGAAGGCGGATCCTTGTCTGGTGTCTCATGGACGTCTATGGCAGGAGTTTGTGTAATATATTACTACAGCAGAATCTAAAACAGAGCAAAATGTCAAAGCTAATCCACTACTAGGCTGAAATACTTCTGACTTACAATTCTAAAGCACCTCTATATGCGATTTTGGCAATAGAAATCAAAAGTTTATATCACAGTACAAGTAACTTTTTTATCACAGTATTGGTACTGTATATACCTCAATATATATATTACAATATAGATTTTTTGCTGTAAATAAACTAATAAATGACATATGTATTATAACCAAATTTTTTTGTAAATCCAGTGAAAGAAAGAAGTATATTAAGTATATAATTATGACCGTAATCACATTATGGGTAAAAAAACAACAACCTCAAAACAGTATTAAACATTACAAAATGGAGAGTTGACTCAAGCTCTAAATTTGCAAACTAGATAGATTAGACAGTCAAGATATAGCTAGACCACAAATCTTTAAAATATTGATTTGTTACACAAATGCATCATTTACAAAACAGACAGTACTGTGACTAATGTCACAAGCTCTTGTTGTCTGTGCATTTCATCACAATTGCACAAAGCCAAAGTGTAAGATAGACCAAAGTGTAAGATAGACAGACCAAAAAAAAAAAGTGACTCTGGAGATGCTTCATGAAAGTCAGGTAAAAGCTATGAAATGAGAAAAACGAGTTGCATATGAACCAGTGAGGTACACAGTATAGAAAACGGTATGCTGAAAACAGCCAGAAAGCCATTTGAGAATGTCATGTGATGCAGTTACATCCTCCAGCAGAAAGGGGGTGCTTTAGCCTTCACCATGCTGCAGAAAACTGTTAGTAATAAAACAAAGCAATCTCTGGACCAACAATAACAGACAGGGGTTAGGCATGACGGTGTGATACAACATGCGTAAAATAGGTAGACCAATGGGAATGAATGAACACACTACCTTTGTGGCATACGATCTCTTGAACGCCAATGCATGAGGTACATAAACAGACTTAGAAAAATAAATTGGAAAAAAAGGAAAACAAACAAAACAAAAAATATGCGATTAGATGGGTTAATGTACAATTAAATCAAATCAGGATTCTACGACAACACACAAACACAAACATTTAAGGACATTGGGATGAGTGCATAAGTACAAATTAATGTGATTGTGTTTTGTGCAACACAATTATACTCTGGGTCCAAAATTAACATTTACCAGCCAACATTTTTTTCCACAACCTCGTGTGGCAACCCAGACAGTATGTAAAATAATCATCACATTAACCAACAAAACTGGTAAAAAATGGCAAGCAAATATCAATGGCCAAAATTTTTTCCATTGGCAGGTGTGGTAAAAAGTTAATTTTGGACCTTTTGGACTACAAGATTACTCTAAAAGATTTGCTAGAGGGTAAGAGCACAAACAACTACCCCCCCCCCACCCCCCCCCCCCCCCCCCACTAAATAAAATAATAATTTGGACAAACAGAATACTTAAATTATATATATATATATATATATATATATATATATACAATTTATATAAAAAAAAAAAATCACGAAACAGTTTCATATCCACTAGACTAGTTAAGAAAGATGAACACTGCACTCCAAAAGTGCCTTTTTAATTCTATGAATTCTGGTGAACACTATGACTTCTTGTTCTATACATCTAGCTCAAGTCTCTCTCTATTCACCTTCACACAAACGCACAAGAATGCTCGATTTCGTACAGGTTTCGAATGAAACACAATGCTGAACAATATTTTTTTATGTTTTAAAAATATATATATTTACTGTTTTTTTTTTTTTTTTCGGCATAGTGTTGCATTCGTGTTCCGTCTGAAAACCGGTAGTTATTGTGCAATACATAATCACTGAAATACCTCTTCCTCTTTTCCTTTCTCCTGTTCCATATCCTGCATTTTCACCCTCTTTTTCTCATTCTCCCTCTCTTTTGACCTTTCCTTGCCCTTTTCTGTCACTCGTCCTTTTTCCATAGCCCTGTCCTTTTCCTTTTCTTTGGATTTTTCATCTTTAATCGTCTCTTTTTTCAAATCTGACACCAAGTCAAACAGGTCCACATGGCGCTGAGAACAGTAAAAAATGTCATTAAAATTCGAGAAGCTTCAGAAAGAAAACAATAGACTCAAATGAGAAAAAAAAGAGGATCTTTAAATATCATATAGACTTACATCACTCTTGGACTTCTGAGAGGATCTTTCCAGAACATCGTCACAGGAGAGATCAGACTCCTCAGAAAAGCTGAGATTTCTCCTCAGACGTAAATCTACATCAGTAAATTAAAGAGAACTTTGCATAAGAAAATCACCAGTTGAAAGAGACTGAGAAAACATGTGCCAGTTAAACTAAACTAAGCAAAATTCTGCAAGATTTTAACATAACCCATGAGGATCTGTAGTGAGCCGTACGCGTTTATGTCACAAGCTTCAAAGTGGATTAAAGTTTTTGACATGCGCACAGCACACTGCACGGATATACAGATTTTCCCGCTCTTGGCGCATACTAACCATCCACCTTTCTCTGTTTTAAAAAGCACACTTAGTATTTATCTATTTTGGGTCCTAATTCGGAGACAACGATCACACAAAGCTTTGTGCCATGATGCTTATATTCATGGGTGCACATCATTTTTTTGGTCTGGTTCTCAAGGGAGCACCTGGAGATGCTTTACACGGCACACTTATCCTACAAGCTGTCGACATCACTTTCCTCCTGACTGCTCTCCTCACAATAACACTATTTGTTCACAGTAGAAATTAAATATAGCTTCAACTTTGTTAAAGCTGTATTTTATTTTATTAACATTAATGATACAGACTACAACAGGAATATTAAGGCTGCTGTCACTTTAAGAGACCGAATATACTGACACACATCAGGTTTCTTTTTCGACTGTTCACTTATGACATAACCGCGAGAATGCTTGCCGAGACGGGTATTTTGACATAATTTTGTTTGAATAATTTAAATGATTAAATTGACAAGACAAAACGCGTCCAAATGATAAACTTTCACTCTATGACGGTTAAACTTAGCAGTTAAACCGTGAATCACATGGGTGCCGAACCGTGGGGCCTGGTCCGTACAGATCAACTGCGATCCATTGTACCCCTAATAATCAATTAAGACACTTATCATCAGCATTGCTATCTTACCAGAGATGGAGAAAAATCCTATTCCAGTAAGTAAACGTGTACCTGTCCCCAAAAATGTAAAAAAAAAAAATGTTGCTACTCAAAAGCATTTCCCTCCACGTTTTCATTTATTTTTACCACGCATGTGCATCCCGGTAATATTTTACGCAATATACTTTCATGCTTATTACATGTACCACAATGTTACATGTTATCTTAGCAACATGGTAACGGTGAACTCCATTGAAACTACTTTTAAAGTGAATCTACCGTGCTGAGTGTTTCAGATCGGTCACTTATGAGGTTCGATGCCAGTTAGGATGCTGGCTTAGAAAGGAGCTGCCTTCGTAGGTTTCATACTAGATTGTAGAATAAGAGCTAGGATAGACACTAATGCATTTTGACAGGGATGAAAAAATCTGAATGAAAAAAATCCAGCTGACCTGAGGACCTGTCCAGAGGTGATTCTTTCTTCTTCCCTGAGTCTACAGTTGTAGAGCTTGAGGGTGTGCTTGGGCATGATTTGTTGTCTTTTTTCTTTTTGTCCTTCTTGTAGCCAGAGAACACCGCCTTCCACAGGGACTTGTGCTTGGGTGGCGTTTCTTCAGTGCCAGATAGTCTTTCATTTTTGGCTTTCTTTTCCTTTTTGTTCTTGCGTGGAGAAAACAGTGAGCTGCGTTTCTTGCTTTTGCCTCCTGTGGAGCTCTCTGAAGATGTGACTGAACTGTCCAAGGTCTTCCTGGCCGGTGTAGTTAAGAAACGGTCAGGGAGTATGTCTGTCTGCTTTTTGGACTCCAAGGCCTTCACCGCAGAGTCCTTGGGGGCATTTAATTGCTTTTTGTTTTTTCCTGTTGTCTCGGGAACATTCCAGGCTACTTTTGCCACAGCACCCTTGGCAGCCTCTGTTTCTTTCATCTTACTAAGCTGCTTGGCCATAGCATCTTTCAGAGCTTGGCTTTTCACAGACTTTTCCCGTGCCCTCATTCGCTCTTCTGCGATCTCCTTGGCTTCAGGAGAAAAATGTTGGGGATTTTTTGCTGTCCGGGAAACTCCTTCAGTAATGCTGGGCTTGCCATTTTCCATTGCCAGTGCCAGGTGGAAAGGAGGCTTGTCTCGGTTGACCTTGCTGGTTGGCGGGGTGTAAAATCTTTCCAGACCACTTGTATCTGGAGTGCGGTCATCGTATGTGTCTTCAACATCGTCAGCAAATGGTATCTCTTCTACGCACTCCACAAAAGACTTCCTTACTTCTTCGCGCCGTGGTTTATTCGGTTCCTTTACCCTCATCACAACAGGTGGGTTAGTTCTACGGGTCGGCACTGGAGCCATAACTGATTGTGGTTGACGGGGACTAACTGGAGTCTTAGGTTTAGGAGGCATAGTCTCAGATTTGGGTTCCTCAGTACCTTCAAGGAGGTTGTCCCAGGAAGCCTGAGGCCTTTTGTTTTGGAGAGCAGCTGGCTCCTCATTAGGTGGGGGTGGTGGGGGACTGGAAGGAGGTGTGAGCATGGTAGAATCAGAGTTGTTGTAGCTGTCACTAGTTGCTGTCTGACTGGTAGTCACACTTCCATTAAGACCCAACCCTGAACTGCTGCTCAAGTCTTTCTTCTCAGAACTATTGCTCTTAGGTTCCACTGGAGATATAACCTGACCCTCCAAGGTAATATTGATCCTGCGTATGATAGAACGTCCCGTGAAAGTAGGCTTCTGCTCTTCAGACAAGTCCTCTGGGGTGTAAGACCTGGGAGATGATGATTCAGGCGTTGGAGCTTTCACAATGCTCTTCTCACCCGTTATTTTGCTTCGATCTAGAGGTGAGAGTCCTAAACTTTTTCTGATCTCTGCACTCTTCATCCAGAACTCTTCAATGAGGTCTGTTTTCTTGACGGGGGTTTCCTCAGGTGCTGAATCATTCAAAGGTTCATTGTTTCGGTTCTCAGAAGCAGGTTTAGCCAAAGGAGTGGAAGTGACTGCTGGTACTGGCTGCGTTCTGACAGGGGAGCTTGTGGAGAGGGGTGAGGGTGGCTCATGGCAGGGTTGTGATTGGGTACACATTGGAGACAAAGGATTACCTGTTGGAGAACAAGCACAAGGCTGGACAGGTGATTTGGGAGATGGCATCTCTGGTTGTGGAACAGGTTGGGAGCAGATGGGCGATAGAGCAACAATTTGAGCAACAGGAGAATGGGGTCTTTTAGCATCAGGACTCTGAGGTGGGGGAATGTTCAGTTTGGCATTACCAGGTAGATAGGGCTCAGGGAAGAAACGTGCACCTGGAGATTTAACTAGTATTACAGGAGAAACTTCTTTCACCTGTATAAAGAGAAAAATAATGGCAGAATTTTATAGTATACAGTGGCTTTTGCTGCTACTTTAAATACAGAGCAAACAAGTGAGCCCAATACATTTAGATCTCGCAACCCTGTATTACCTCCTCTATGGGTAAAGCAGGTTTTTGGATTGGAGACAGCACAACGTCCACAATCAATTCCCTTGGATTTGCAGATGTTTTCTCTGCAAGGAAAAATAAAATTGGCTCAAATATTGATGGACATCGAAAATCCCCTTGAGTTGAGATTTTAATCATCAAAGTCTGAATAATTATGAAGCAAGACATTGATGCAATATGTTCAGAGACGCAAGTCATGCAAGGACATGAACATTTGCAAATGATTGGTCTCAAACAAAAATGGAAAAGGCATGAAATTATATGATTATGATTAGGTTATGATTACCAGTGTTGAAAACATGTCCCTGGCTCTCTGGTTTGCCCATATCCACTGGAAGCGTCACCACTTCATCTATGCAATGTGAACGAGCTTCAGCCTCTGCATCTGAGGGAATGTCCTCTGTGACATTAGAAATTAAAATAGTGTGAAAGTCTGTTCAAAATATATGGAAATACATTTTAAAAAGTAAGATTTTTGCAAAAGCAAGCAAATTCTGTATACATTTCTGTTGACAGTGTATTACAAATACTTTAAGTTGTCAACCCTGTTACCATCATATTTCCCCCTTTTGAATAATTTAAAATAAATTACCAAAAAGGTAAGCGACAAAGTAAAGTCAAAGTAACTTCATCTCATGTTTGTCAGTAGGAGACAGACAACCTTAAAATATCAAGTCTGTTAACCTAATTTTATTTACTAAATCGAGACACAAGGGCTGGTATTGCCAATTAAACTGTAAAACATGTAACACCTTAACCTTTCTAAAGGCGTAATAAAATCACAACAAAAAATGGCATGTGGATTTGACAAACCTTGATCTATTTCGGTACCCGGCTCAAAGTCAGGACTGCCTGCTTCTGCGTCGTCATCCTCTTCACAAGGCTCTGGGATGACAGGAGAAGAATAAGATGAATAAGTTGGGCAAAAGAAAAAAAAAAAAGTAAAAAAAAAAAAAAAAAAAAGTAAAAACTATTCAACTATACTTATGAATATTAGAAAATCTTCCATGTACAGGTGTTAGCAGCACAAAACAGTTTTGTGGCTAAATTATGAAATAAGTGTGCAAAAAAAGAAGCAAAGAATGTATCAATCATATAGCTAACAAATGTTAGTCTTTAGGGAACTTTAACTTAAACACAATGAGAGTACATGACAAAATGTTGAAATAAACAAATGTTATTAGTAGTTAAACACATGCAAGTATGCAAGTTTACACAGTCAAATGGCTTGGGCTCAAAATCAGCAGCTGTTGAGAAGGGTTGGGATGTGGGTGAGTAAAGAGTTGTGAATAAAAAGCAATAGCACCAAACTGAACATTACACACAAATAAATATGAAGACTTAACTGGAACACCCTCTTCCACTCACCACCATTTTTGTCAGCAAATTATATTCATTAATGTTAATATTTGCACAAAAGTTTTGCCTATTACCAGCAAAACTTTAAACCATAGCCAAGTTTTGTTTGTTTGTTTTTTCACAAGCTTCAGAATCGTATGCAACCATTTTCATTCTATTTCTGTTTTGTATGCTCAAGGTTGTCATATGAGTTTTTTTGGCGTGTCCACTCTCTGAACCATGAAAATATCTAGAAATGTTTTTAGTTCTTTTTGGCTCCGTAGCCTTGTGCTGTAGATGAAGTGCTCCGTGTGTCCTCCAGAGATGCACCACAGACATCCTGGGACAACAAATTTAGAGTGTACGAATTCTTTTAACATTCTGTACACTGTTTTCTTTTTTATTAAAGGACATTTCATAATTTGTATTATTTCAGAAGAATACTTAATAAACCATGTTGGATTCATACATTAGTCAGTGTGTGTTTGGATCAAGCTGAATTATAAAAATCACACCAGACGCTGTCTCACGACTGCAGCAGCATGCGGTAGTGTCGACTTTGATTGCATGTTGAAACGTCACATGCAAATACGTGTTAAAAAATGATTGCAGTGGTGTTAAGTGTTCAAAAGTCCTGCCATGCACTAATGTGTGTTTCAGTTGGCACTAATATAAGCTTTTTCCTCTCTACCTTCAGACATCGAGTCCAGCCAGGCTCTGACAGCCTCATGACGTATGGATTTGTGGGAGGGGGCTACAATTAAATCAATGGAAAATGGAAATGGGAACAGGTACATGAAATGCATAGTCACAACAAAATACAAAAATACATTCATTCATGAATAAATCAAAGAGATCAACAGAAAAATGGGCATGTACTTAGTTAGCAATGCCCCAATATCCACAATGTTGTTAAAAGGAGACATAAGGACACAAAAAATATAGGAGAACAAATAACTCAACGAGAGAAAGGTCAACATATTGTCAACAATAACAAACAGTGATATAAATAAAAGTATCAAAGCAAGATAAAAGAATACAGAAAGCAGCATAAGCAGCAAGCAAAAGACTTGTGGATGAAAGGAAGAGGACAGAAGTTGTCCAACTGACCAGATAAATTCACATCAAAAGCGATCACACATGCAAATCAGACACAAATCCCACAACACCTGGTAACATTCATCTAGAGTTCACCACTATTAAAATTCTGGTTGATGCTAATAATCATTTTCATGTTATTTTAAAATGTAACAAAAAAAAGGCTACAAGTGGATTTGGGCATCACGCCATTACAATGTACAACATGAAAAATGGATATTCATTCTGAGATTAACAAAAATTTCATTTAATCAGTGTTTTTAAAGATTAACTAAGTTAGAAGGTTAATATTTAATATAATATAATATTTAGGTTAATATAACACGAGGACAAATATTTGCGATGCATGTTAATACCAGGTGTAAATGGGACCATCTACCACCCCCAAAAAGCCACCGGGCCCAGGTATGACTCCTCCACATGGGGTTACCTGTGGAAGAGGTGGGCTGTGTGAGCTGGGTGTTCAGCGAGGGCTGAGAGCCTAAGGGTGACAGCGAGGGGCCCTCCACCACCCTTCCAGCCTGTTTGGATGTCCAGTGTTTGTCCATCTGGTTGTCCAGAGGGTCTACTGGATGAATAGCTTGCTGGATGTGCAGGTTCCCAGCTGCATGGTGGCATTACCAGTAGCCATTAAGGTGACAAGATCATTTTGTAGGATTAATTGGTGAGCCCATTAGCAGGTCAGGAACAGAAAATCCAATTTGTTTGAAAAGTAAAAAGGGCCAGGTCACGAAAAAGTCCCCATAGGCAGCAATGTGAGCAGAGAGTGAGATTCAGCAGCAATAAATGGCCAGACAGAAACAGTAAAGACAAAAAAGATAGGAGAACATTATAGTTTAGAATAGACTGTGTAAAGTGCAAAGTTAGTAAATACTTTCATGGAGGAGCCTTTGCATGCTACTTTTTTTTAAATTACAGCAATAAAAAAAAGTTTTAAAAAAAGCACCATCTCACCATAATTTGTGTTAATGTTATGGCTATATGTAACTACTGTCTGTACTCCCCCCGGTGGTAAAGGGAAAGAATTGCACCCCTTTTGGGGACTTCCTGAAGGTAGCCATCTTAAGCAGGAAGTGATGTGGCAAGGGGAGGGGAAGGGAGACAGTTTTTTGACCTACATTACATCACACTGCTTGTTTTGGAGCACAGAGTTTTGTTTTTAAGTTTTCACCTTTTTGTTACAATAAAGCTCAAGTCTTGTTAAAACAGGTGTAGCGTCAAACATACTTTCCCTCATGGAAGTGGCTTAAGAAGGCAAGGAAGCCATTACATTAAGCCATTAACGTGGGTGCTTTCACACTTGATCTACTGGTGTGAATTTGAGTAAACTTGATCAGAGTTCAGTTTATTTAGTCAGCATGACACTGTTGAATCTAGGATAAACATTGTGCCATGAATTAACAAGTTATAAGGCCTTTTTTTTGTCCACAAATCACCAACATTAACGATGGATTTAATGTAGTTAACTGTAACCATGGTATTGTGGCAGAAATAGTCAAATGTTTATACATTATTCATTACATGGTTCGTACATCCTTTTGGAGAGTTAGAATTTAGCACTTTCAAATGACTTTCAAGCGCTTCATTCTTTTTACAGCACTTCAAAGCTCTAAATATTATCTAAATTGAAATTTGATTTGGTTACACTTCATTTTAAGGTATCCATGTTACAGTGTAATTATGCATTTAAATATTGCGTAATAATAATTAACTACATTACTATAAGGCTAAGGGTTGGTTTAGGGTTAGTTGCATGTAATAATGCATAATTAATAGTTATTACTACAGTAACTACATGTAAAGCCCAATTTATACTTCTGCGTCGAAATCACGCCGTAGCTACGTCGTAGCCTGTGTGTAGCACACATCCCTTTCGGCGTACCCTGACATGCACCTCTCCAAAAATATAACAACGCGTCAATTCTAGATGGACCGCAAGCGCTGTGATTGGTCTGCTAGAACCCCTCCTTCGGGTGTCACTCTGCATGTGTAATTGCACATCAACGCGACAACGACCCAGAAGTAAATGAAAACCAACGCGTAGCCTACAGCGTAGAGGCTCCGGCGTAGGTCCGACGCAGAAGTATAAATCAGCCTTAACGTGTAACAAGGACACTTAAATAAAGTGTTACCTGTTATTTTTTATGTGATGACCAAAAATAAGATTTTTTTTAAATCCCTATAAAAATTTGGTTTTTACATATTACTGTTGTTGATAAAAATTAATTTTATTTGCATCTCAAGCTCAGTGCTTTACTGTAAGGAAATAAACATGTAATACCATTAGTTACTGCACTTATTAATGCAAAATAATAGTAATTTTATGATTAAATGACCTTTATAATTAAAAATCCCCCCCAAATCAAGTGCTGGTGCCACCATCTATAGAACTTAGTGGCACCGGTGCTATTGCTCTCAATATTAGTCTGGAGCCCTGTAATGATGATATAATTTGCACATTATAGTAGGCCTTTAATTCATTTCTCATACCTTGTTGCAGAAATGTCATGCACTCTTGCATACATTCTTTGCATCTCTTGCATTACATTTTCGGCAGAAGAAATTGCTGTGTCTGTTAATGGGATAGTTCACCCAAAAATGTAAAAAAAAAAAAAAAAAAAAAAAAAAAAAAAGAACACAAAGAGTGTAATTTACTCACTCCCATGTCATTCCAAACATACAAAGGGAGTCAATATTAACCAAAATGGTTTGGTTACCCACATTCTTCAAAATATCTTTATGTTCCACAAAAGAAAGCCATACAATTTTGGGGTGAACTATCTCTTTGAGGTTCGGTAAAAACTAAAAACAGTAAAAACATTAACAAAACAAGGAAGCTGGCATCCCTGTTACCCAGATCATCTTCTCTCCCTGTTACCAAGCTCAGATTCAAACCGCTCATCTGTTCAAACATTTTCAAATCATTCCAAGACAAGTGTGAAAACACCCTGATAAAATCTCATTCAAAACACCTTAGTGGTGTGAATGCACGACATTTCAACTCAAATTAACATTTTAACAGAAAAAAAGAGCAATTAACATTTAAGTTCATGGTAAAAGCTCCATAGCCGTATAAAATCTAAAAAAAATCAAGAGCCAATTAAAAGAGAAAAGCAGGAGAAATTAGCAAATTGAGTTAGCTCAACAATTCTTCATTTACAGATGAAGTTACCAGGTATCAGTATGTGCTTAAAGCCAAACGCATCCACAAGCATCACTACCTTTAAATTTACCCGTATCCTCTTCATTTGCAAGATTCTCCAACCAAAGACCTGACTGAAGCTCCCTCTCCCAGGGCAAATACTCTCCCGCTGTCATCCCATACAATTACCCCAGCACACGCACATACACAAAGACAAACGATGGAAAGACGGAGCAGAGGATAAAGAGACAAGTGACAAGTAAAAGATGGGGAGAAAAATACAATATTCACAGTACAGGATGACACACAGAACAAGGAACCTCTAATAACATTCGGATACAGGAGTACTGAGGACTTCAACATCAGCCACAGTACCACCAAACTAGCCTAGTGAATCTATAGTGCCATGGTGAAATAATTTGTAAACCTAAGGATTCTGCCTTCAGAACATATATTCTGATTGATGAACAAATGGTTCTTATGAGTTGGATGAACAATAACAAATTCAAAGTTGGGTTTAATCACTCTATTGAATGCTCCAGGGAATCCGTCAGATTGGGTACTGAATTAATATCTGATTCACAGCAAGTTATCAAGACTTTCATTAATAGGGCTGGGTACCGAGTTCGGTACTTTTTAGGTACCGACCGAATTGCCTCGATACTACCGAGTATCGAAACATGTCTTGTTTTTCGGTACCACATTTCGGTACCTAAGTGGTTAATCTCGTCAACGTCAGTGAAACAATAAGCATGCAGCATGATTGGCTGTGGCGGAAAAACACTAGATTACGCGGCTGCCCAGAGACGCGGCTCGTCGCACGTGAGGCTGCAGTGTGTGTGTGTAAGCGTGCGTCCCAACCCAGATAGATAGAAAATATGTGGAAATTATCCAAAGTGTACCTATGTCATGTGCCAGACTCGATGCCAGATGCACGCGATGCAATATTTTCGACAAGATCATTGCTGCCAAGACCGGCAACACGGTAAATCTAGGCACTGAAGCGCACAAAATACACTTGAGAGTAATGGTGTTCACATCGAACGCGAATAGAGCGTCAAATACGCGTCTATCGCGTCTAGTTCGACGCTTGAATCTTCAGCTCGAGTTCAAATTTTTCAACTTGCGCGGAAGACGTTCGCGGCAAACGCGTCACCCAATTCGCGTCATTCGCAACGCCCGGCGCGAATGATGCGTCTATTCGCGTCTTTGCATTGACTATGTATGTAATCTACTCGCACAAATAATTAAATTCGCGTTCGGTGTGAACACACCATTAGTTCACACTTGTTCATTAATAAACAATTAAAATATCTCCTTGCTATTGTTTCCACATCCATAATCATTAGGCTACTTTTGCCAGTGCTTTGCTGCAAGCTTCACGTGCAGGTATATATCCCGCCCCCCAGTAGCCTATATTTAATTTAATTCACATTTATTTGTATAGCATTTTTCACAATACATATCGTTTCAAAGCAGCTTTACAGAAAATGCATGTCTAAATTACAATTTAGAGTGATCTGTTATCAGAGGTGACAGTGTAATGCATTTCAATTAATTTTCATTCAGTTTCATCGTTAATTAATGCATTAAGTTAAAGCAGAAACAATGAGCTCATTGAAGTAAAGAATACATGTTGTTAAATGATTAGGAAACATAGAAAACTTTAGCATTGGTGCTTTTTTACATACTCAAAATATGAGTGTAAAAAAGTCAACAAACTGAAAAAAAAATTAGGTAATGTTATATTGTTAAACCTGGTTACATAAAATTGGTATCGAAAAAAGTATCGTTCAGGAACCGGTATCGAAGTCAAGGTATCGGTATCGGTATCGGTACCGAACATTTTGTTACGATACCCAGCCCTATTCATTAATATCTGCCCATAACTAGTGATAACTATTACCATATGTGTACTTTAGATTTGTGAGCAGGGCTCCAGACTAACTTTTTTTTACTAGGAGCGCTGTTGCCCCTGACTGAAAATTTTAGGAGCACAAGCAGAAAATTTAGGGGCACACCTTAAATCAGCTTGCAATGCAATTATTCAAATTTCCCCCAAAATAACTGTAATACTGACAAATTCTTTAATAATAAAGAGACTTAACGTACAGATATTACGATATGCAGTTTTATTTTAAGTTCACAGGGCTCCAGACTCAAATTTGAGGGCAGCATCACCTCAAATAAGAACTCACACTGAAAAAAAAAAAAAAAAAAAAAAAAAAAAATCTGGTAGCACTGGGGCTGACAATAAATCACTAAGCTTAATTTAGGGTGTAGATGAAATTAACTTTTGTTATTATTATTATTCATAATGTCTTAATATTAATTAAAAAACAAAAGGAGTGAAAAAATGTATATTAAGGATTGAACATAGCCAATAAACATCCTACTGTTTACAATGGTATTTTTTTTAAAATAAGTGTTTAAATAAGAGTTATCCAACATCTTAAAATTTTTAGTTTTAGGATAATCTTTGAAGGATGAACAAAAAATGTGTTGGTCATCACATAAAAAAAATACATAAAAAAAAAGCATTTATATATGATATTATAGTTTTGAAGTGCTAGAAAAGATGTGTAGGCTGCGTTTGACTATTTCTGTCACATTATCATATTTATGGTTAGAGTTACTTACTACATTAGCCTAAATCCATGGTGAATGTTGCTGATTTGTGGACTGAAAGCCTTCTATAAGTTTTTCTCCTGGTTTCCACGTCAGCGCTGTTTGATCTGATATCTATGGTTTATAACAGAGCTCTGCGCCGAATCGGAATGTTTCTCACTGGATCTCATAGCGATGATGTTATTAATTCTGAGGCGAATTCAATGGATTTCTTCACTGGATCTCCTAGTAACAGTGTCGCGTGAGCGAGATCGGCCCGCGACTGGCAAGTTCGGGTCTTTATTTTACTGTCAATGGTTCGGGGGGCTGCTCCATTGATATAACTTACATAAGAAAGGTTATGCGCTGCTCTGTCTATTATTCGTAATTAACGGTCCATGAAGCATAAATGAGTAGCGTATTTTCGTTCCACTTTCATTTTGTTTGCATTCGCTGCTTGGTAACGAGTCGAAAGATCGCTCATTGCTCAGACGCACGCTTGTGATATTTGTCTCCGTCTCCTTCCCACAGACACGCGCGCTCTCTATTCTTGTCACACTCACTCATTCCGGATTCAATGACGCGCCCCTTCCACGCTTTATGCGTTTAACGTGAGGCAAATTTACTGGTCGCACATGTGCGACTGGATGTAAAATTCAGGCGCACACTCTCAAATTTTAGTCGCAAAATGCGACCATTTGGTCGCAGTCTGGAGCCCTGGTGAGTCATGGTTGTTTAGTTTATAGTAGGCCTATGTCTTAACCTATTATTTTATTGATTGATTGATTGTTTGATTGGCTGTTGATTCATTCATTTTATAAATAATTATATTTGGACTTATGCAATATGACAGTATAATACAAGTACCAAAAAGTACTACATATTGATGTCTAAAAATATAATACCATGGCACTATAGAATCCTTGATTTCAGATTGGTTGACAGATGTTCCTGTGTTTCAATAATTCAAAGGGCCATTGTCAAATAGTCCTTACCTATTTGTTAGCTTTCACCATGTAAACTACTTTTGACTCATTTCAAAAGTATGTGTTGAAGAAAGTTATAAAAGGTTCTTTTTATGAAAGAGAAATACAAGACACAGTTGGATGAGGAAAACTAGTTAATTTGCCAGAGATGCCATAAACATAAGAAAATGCAAAAGGTTGAAAAGGCGAATAACAGGAGCATAGTATAAACAAGTTTAGAATCTCTGAATGAAGTCTCACTGATGAGATATAGCAGTGTAAAAAAAATATATATATATATATATATATATATATATATATATATATATATATATATCAGGGGCTGAAGCTCTGAGGTTAGAGCAATCTCTCGGGAAATCTTTTGTCTTACATTTTTCATCAGAAAAAGTCTTACTCAAAGAGAAAATGTAATTTCAGAAGTTCTCTGTGAATATGAGACAGCAGACAACCCTGGTGAACATATAATATCTAATCAGGGGAGCTAGACGCCACATACATAAAAATGATATGAAGTGGAAAGAGGAAATGAGACTCAGCAGAGCAAACACATTACAGTCTTTCTAGTCGTTTAGAATTATCTGCTAAACAGAAAAAGAATAGAAGCTACTTCAAGATTGCCTTCTAAAATCAAATGGACCGCCTTCAAACGGGCCTTTCTGTCCAGGACATCCATCTGCGGCCATTATTCATTGTGTAGAGACACTTTGATCACCTTCACAAGCACAATGAAGCCAACAGCACAAACACGATGCTTACCATCACTCGATTCCTCCTCTTCCTCGTCTTCATCTTCATCATCTTCCTCCTCCTCTTCATCCTCGTCCATCTCTCCATCACCGTAATGAAGGCCATCTTCGTCTTCAGCTGCACCAGGGTCGCTTTCTCCCTTTAATTTAGTGTGGAGCTTCACCGCCTCTTTCCAGGGCACCCCACCCAGATCGGACGGGCCGGTCGCTTCCGGTTCTTCATCCTCTTCCTCCATATCAGACTCTGAGCTGCTGCAGGCACAGAAGACATGGATGTGTTAAAAATCAACAAATGGCGCCTGGCTGCTCTTTTTACTCGCAAATAAACACCCAAAGCAAGTTACCTACACTATCGTTTAAAAGACTGGGACAGGTTACATGAAAAGAAGGAGGGGAACGAGACACCGCGTCTTAGATCAACACTATGCGAAACGCCATCAGCGTGACCGTGTCACCAGCCAATTAAATTGGAGTGTGTACACATGTGCTTCAGACACCAGTGCCAGTGATGCTGATGACGTTCCCCATAGCGATATATAAATATATTTACATGCCATTACATTATGCTGTTGTTTTCTGTCACATTTGATACATTTTAAGCATACTCGTATTAAGTAAGTAATCATTTATTTAAAAATATATATCTTCATGACCCCAAACTTTTGAAAGGTAGTGTACACTAGATCTAAAATAACAAGAATAGGGAGGACAGTTATAATATAGACATAATATGTCACTTTATTTTATTCATAAGGGATTCATTGGATCATGAAAATGGTCTCTAAATAAGGTCACTATATCTCTATACATGGTCTCTATGTCTCTCTATAGACTTCAGGACACTTGCCTGCATATTTAAAAATGTTTTGATTTCAAGCCAGAACATTAAAAATTCAACAACGGTATAAAAAAAAACTGGCAACACAATGTCCTCAAATTGTAGTTAAGAGACTCAGAGGCTGTCCTTGTTACTCCAAGTCACTTTCCATGAACAAATTACCATCTGCCAAATTTAAATGCCAACTCATATCTATCATATGAGACTGGAAGTAAAAAACAAGGAAAAGTTTAATAAAAAAAAGAAAATACACTTTGGCCACACATTTTGATTACAGCAGAATTATAGTAGTAAAGTAAGTACTAATGAACGAACCCTGTTTTAATTTGTAACATGTAATGGCCGAGAATTATTTTCATTAATACTGGTGCTCACGTTATCAGTGGTGATAGTAACCGCACAGCAACACCCTAGCACAGTGTAACCAGCATGACGTAAAGAAGAGAGAGATACCTGGATCCCTCCTCGATGTCGGTGGGTTTGTCCAGCACACTGCTGAGGTTGTGCTCGGCCTGTGTCTCCTCGGGCACCTCCTCCAGCTCCTCCTCTCTCATCATAGACAGACGGTAGTTCTCCAGCTCGATCCTTTCTGGAGTCCCTTTAAGACGTTTGGCCACGCTGGGCTCTGTAACCCCGTTCACCTCTGTCACTGTGATGGACAGAAAAAAAAAAAAAATGTAGTTAATGTAAATAGTTCATATTTAACAGAGAGGGAGAGGCTCAGGGCTGGTGTGTAGGGGTGACATTGTAGAAATTAGCATACTATTAGCATATTAATTGTGATGATGCTCATAAATTCTTAATTTTGTTGGTGCAAAAAGCATTAGGTGGTAATACAAAGATGTATAAATCCATTTTAGTTTATCATCTCCCATAGTAACTCTTATCTAGACGTACTGTCTATCCACCCCACCTCATCGAATTTCTACATATCGATGTTCACTTGCACTCAGACAAATAAAACAAACACAGTCAAAGTTCTCTTTAATTTTTATTTACACAAGCAATGTGTTCTTCATTATTCAACATATATACTAGATTTAAATATCACGTTGTCAGTAAAATACCCTTAAATACATCCTTAAATAATAAATACAATGATTACCTTGCCTTTTTTCCCTTCCTATAAAGCACCTCGTAAAAATATATTTTTAAATATTAAAGAACTTTGTTTTAACATTAATGAACAGGTAGACATGTGTAAAACTAATATGTCTATCCAGTTAAGTAAATCCCAAAACCCAAATCAAGCCAGTGAGAACATTTTGTGCGTGTAATTTAACACAAATCATGACTGTGGTGGAAACGGTTACAGGGGTGAAGCATGCAATCTAAAACTGAATTATGATCAATGTAATCTGAACTCACTGAATAATGGATATCCCTCAATATATAGATTATGTAGTGACAGACCCCATGAATAAATAGTGTGTCATGTTCAGCTGATGCATATTTATGATTCCAGACTAATCTGATCCTTTCACTCAACTGCTAAAGGAATAAAAAATGCTTTCATATATTGGACACATTTCACTAACAAATCTAAAAGTATAAAAGAAATTATTAAAGAAATTATAAAAACATATATTTTGCATAAAGAGATTGTCTGTTTTTAGACCAATTATATTTGTTTTTAGATCAATTATATGCAGTACTGCAATGAAAAATAATAATAATGGCACAGCAGTATTCATTTGTTGCTGTTGTTGTAGCATTAAATGAAAATGAAGAAGAGTCAGTACAACTGAGATGGAAATAATGTCACAATGCAACCGTCTTAAAAATAAGCTTCATTTTCTTTATGCAAAATATCATTTCTATTTTCTTTTTGAGGTGACATATAACAGGAAAATTCTTTATGAGATTTAACCTCTAAAATGTATATGATTAATGTTAATTAAGATGCCGCTAAAACCTCTTAAAAACACTATAACCATGTACGCTTTATATATTTCTTCCTAAGTAGCACAAACTCACCGGCAGGTTTGTATTGTAAATCATTCTCAGTGATACACACATAACAGATGCCATGAGCATTGGTGTTAGTATGCAGAGAAGAATTAGGAAATGAACAATCACTTGGACAGAGATGCAAGAATTGATGGGAGTGTAGACCAATCACAGGCACAGATGCAGGGACTAGCTCAGCAACAAGCTGCTCTGATAGGAGAGGGGAAAGGTAAAGCTTACAGAGTCCACCAATCACAAGCACTGATACGAGCACTACGTTACAAAATGTGCACAGATCAGAAATTACAATTCACAAACTTAAAGGCACTAATCACAGATCTACTACACACAAAGGAGAGCAACAAAACAGGCAATACATAAACAATTTTTATAACACATGCAGGCAAAAAAGGGTTACCTATTATCGCACTTAAATTTAATAAATAAATATCACTTATGTTATTTCTAAGTCACCAGCTTCGCACAGCTCTAGATTATTTATTGAATTAACAGTACAAGTTAACACAATTAAATGATACACTTTTTAGCCTGAATGGTTTACTCATATACCCAAAAGAAGAAATCTGATAAGGCTGCACCATTAAGAGTAATATACATACTATACATCCAAGCGGTTTACAAAGAGTTAATAATTTGTGACATCATTAGGGACACACAAAACAAGCACAATATCACTAAATCACAGCATGTGCTGGCAGGAAGTGCCCAGATTAGCTCAGAGGCTGGAAGGGGGTCATGCTAGAGAATATTGAGCAGGAGATTGAGAGTAAAGCAGGAGAGCAGATATACGCAGTAGGCGAGGAGGAAAGGAGAATCTAAGGGGTTGTGCGCCACCTGGTGGCGGGTCCAAGACATCGCTCGTCGCAATGAGCGCATGGTGCCCCATACTCCTCGAGAGAGGCACAGGATGGGGCCTAAAGAAGAAAGGCGGGTACCTGAGGGGCGGAGTTCCACAGGGGCCTGAGAAGTTATGGCTTGGCCTGGGGCGTCCACTGTGTTGGGGGTAACCGCCAACACCTGGGGCTCCTATGACCGCAATAAAAACATATGAAAGTGTATTGTAGTTACATCAAAAATGATGTTAAAATAGACTACGGAAGGTGGGAATACAGTGCCAAAAAAAATCTCTCCGATACAAACATTGATTTTTCCCAAACACAGAGATTAAAAGACATCAGTACCTTGGGGTTTGAGGGAGCAGCGGCAGGTGCAGGCCGTTTTCTCTGTGCCAGACCAGAAAGTCGGTAGCAGTAGTGCGGTTTACAGTAAAACTTCCCTACAAGAACAAAAAGACACAAATTCACAGCATTAGCATCCATTTCAGGACATAGATCAAAGAAAACCCACAAATGAAATGATGCAAAATGCAGCCAATGCGTTTGTCGAGGTTGATTTCCTCCTAACGTGCATATCTGTAACTACGCCATGTGGGAGGTTATGAAAAGGCTCATAGTTAATAAAGAATCGTTGATTGTGCAGAGAAACGGTCCCTCTGTCTCAAAACAACAATATCCCACTGTGTTGGTCACAAAGTTCATCTCATGACAGCAAACTATGAGCAAGCATTTATTACAGGAAATTAAAGCGACTGCTTACATTCATCAAAAAAGCTTTAAAGGATATTCAAATTAAGCTCATAGACACAAGAAAAATATAGTTTTATATGCAAAAATGATGGTAACTTATAAGTAGCTATGAATAACATAATCAGGAGGGACATTCAATAAGTTGGATTTAATTTCATACCGTCCTCAACGTCGAAGGCGTACGAGGACAGGCGGAGGGTGGTGCCGCAGTAGTCGCACTTGAAGCAGCTGCGATGGAAAAACTTTCCTTCCGCGCTGAGACGCTCCATCACGTAGACGCGCTTCCGACAGAAGAAACACACGTCACTGCCACCGATGTTCTGAGGGAACTCCTTTCGCAAGGAACCCTGCGGAGAGAAAGACAGAAAGGTGAGACATGCTGGTTCAGGTCTTTTTAAGTGAGAGCAAGGAGTAGCACCTAAAAGCATAGACATCTACCAAAAGAGACAGACATGCACCAAAACACTTCGAGGAGTTGAAAATCAAAACACAACTGAATGTTCAGATTACACAATATTGACATAAAAACAAGTTATACAAATTTAAGAGATTTATAGATTATAAATAAAAAATCCTTTAAAAAATTTAAAATGAGAGAAATATTTTAGAAATTAAAAAAAAAAAGTTTTTTTGAAATTATAAAAATGATTTACAAAGTAAATTAAATTTTAGTAAAAGCTCAGCAATGATACAGTTAACCTTTCTCACAGGTCCTTTTTTCTTGGAACAAAAACTGTTGCAGTAAGAAAACATGGATTTATATACCCGAAACAACTTTTTACCCTTATGAAACCTTAAATCATCTTTGTTCTTGTAGGTGTTATTCCTGTAAGTTGCTGTAGATCCAATTTTCAGTGTACTGAATCATCTTGATCACAAGTAGTTGGTGATACCCAGTGCTACAAGTAGGCCATGTACCAGGGTAAAATGTTCTATAGAGTCTCAGTGATGTAAACCAATACTACAACACCCATTCCTCTTACCAAATCCCTTTTCTCAAGCAAGGGCCCGGGGTCATCCTTAGCCTGAAGCTGATTGGCTATTTGCTCAGCCAGTGAGCTCACATCCCCTGTGTACATCTTTGCATAGTGATACATGTAATGAACAGAACAAAAGAAAAATTGAGGGGGAACATTTGTATAGTTTTTTTATACTGAAGAAATGATATGCGTTTCAAGACAGTGAAGGATTAGAAATACAAAAACAAAAGTTAAATGCAAATGTTCTTGCATGGTTATATTTGTGTAGATGAGAGAAGGCACGAGTTGTAAAGCAATTCAAAGTGCTAAAACAGAACGAGACAAGTTGTGAGAAAATGGTAAAAAGGAAAATGGTTAGCTGAAATAAAAACCTTCAAAATTACACTTTTACAACACAACATACTTGATGCAAATAATACACTTCCTTTTAGTAGTTTCAGAAGGTCAGTAAGATTTTTTTAAAATAAATTAATGCTTTTTTTTAGCAAGTGACAGTAAAGACAGTTATGTAACAAAATGATTTATATTTTAAATATAAATGCTGTTCTTTTGAACGTTCTATTCATTAAAAAAATACTAAGCAGCACAACTGTTTTTGACATAATAATAAGAAATGCTTCTTGAGCAGCATATTAGAATGATTTCTGAAGGATCTATATGACACTGAAGACTGGAGTAATGATGCTGAAAATTCAGCTTTGTCATCACAGGAATAAATTTCACAAAAATCTATTAAATTAAATTGTAATATCATCTCAGAATATGACTAATTTTCAAAAACATTTAAAAAATCTTACCAACCCAAAACTTTTGAATGGTAGTGCGTCAAGACAATGAAGACTTAAAAATAAACAAATAAAAGTTAAATTCAGATAATAAATATATAAATGTATAAATAAAGCAATTCAGAATGAGGCAGTCAAGTTGTACAAAGGAAAACGGTTAACATTCGACCTATAATTACACTTTTACACAACAGCACACGCACTTCAAGATGCAAACTTCATTTTTCAGTATCTCCTGAAATACTCAGAGTGTGTTGTAAGTTCTATATAATCATCATGTTTGAAGCATGTTCAATTCAAATTTAAATGAATTTCAATGTGGCATGAAAATCCAGGGCTGTGTTTCCCAAAAGCATCGCAAACTAAGTTGGTGGCGATTAGTCTCAGCCTCACATCACACCCACAGACCGTTGGCTGAACATCTGATGCATATGGCACATAAAATAAAAAATAAATTTAAAAAAACGTCAAAGTCATCATCTGATTGGTTGAATTCTACAGGATTTCCAGGAGACGTGTGTCGCGTTCTTTAACGGTCCACAAAGGTGATGCCAAACCCCCTTATGGAAGAAGCAAGACTTTGTGTTTACAACTGTGACAATGAGCGCTTATCAGGATCAACTAAATGCTGGATTTTCAAAAGTATGTGTAGGTAAAGTTTGCTGCATAGACCCTTTAAAATATGTCCAAGAGTTTTACACACCAGTCTGTTATTATAGGGACAACAGCGTTACATTTTCACACCCCTAAACAGGGAACAAAACGAACTGTGATTGGTTGCCCTGGGCCAATGAAAACTGCTATGTCCAGACCTTCAGCCATCAGTTGGAAGGTCTGGCTATGTGAGACTAGGTGGAAATGGACTTCAAGATCAACTTGGGCTCACAATGCTTTTGGGAAACACAGCACAGATTAGTTCCCGAAAATAGATTTCATGCAGCTCATGATGAATATAGGTCACATCCAGCTTATAGCTGTGTAAAAATGTATGGCAACATACAGTACTTGTCCATTTTTTGTTGTATTTCAATATTCTTTGCTTCACACATCTGGTTATATATACAGGTGAAGACTGGAGTGAGATGCCTTTAGGGAAAAGGTTCACAGAGTGGCACCAACACATCCATGCACACAAATGACTCCAGAACACAGCAGTCATTCGATGCATCATTGCTACCTGCCGGAAAGAGCCGGGGGAAAGCAGAGGGCTATCAGAGCTCACATCACACGCTCTGTACCACTGCTCTGTGAAGAAGTGTGATGGCTTTTTCTTAGACTTTGAAAGACGCAGAGACAGAAAGAGAGATGAGGGGAAAGTAAAGTTAAGATGACAGAAAGACTACAAATCGACAGTCTTAAAATGAATATTGCAGGTTAAATACAAGCTAACCTCCATCAACAGCATCTGTGACATGATAGAAAATAACAGTAATTATTATAATAATATTATATACACTTATTTGTGTATTTCTTTTTTGATTTAACATACGATTTAACAATATTATTTTCCATTTAAATCAACAGCATCTCTACATGAAGCTTAACTTTAATTATAAAACAAACATGTCTGGTAAATTCTGACTAAACGAGCCACACATTCATTTCAATTTAAAACGCACCAGTCACTACTTGCAGTAAGGTTAATGAATTATATTACTTGGTGGAAGAACTGTATATTCCGATTATTATTAATAGAAATAATGCAAAAAGTGATTGAACATTGCTGCAATTTATAACACTACTGTTCAAAATTTTGAGGTCAGATATTTTTATAACATTAATAATTTTGGTAACTTTGTTTCGCTTCTTTCAAAAACATTAAAAGATTTACTGACCTCAAACTTTTGAACTGTAGTGTAAGTTGCTGCTGCCACCATTTATAAAAGAGACAAGCCACAAGAAGTCATGTTACAGTGATTTTACCACACTTAAGGAGTGTTTTAACTGTGAACATGACATGAATATTAGCTTTATTTAACCGAGAACATTTCCACTCCATCTTTGCTAAATTTCTTGTGATAATGACAGAGTGCTTAACTGCTCAAATGCAAAGTTTAGGGCTGAATATGAAATTACATATATGTATATATATATAAATGTTTTTTTTTTTTTTTATGTGTGAAAAAGGGTGTGTTTTCAAGGACACCCAGTGCTGAAAGTTCACCTTTGGCTTTGCTGGTTTGTCTTTAAACTGAGAGGTTAACCTTTCAGCTCGCTCTTGAATGCTGGGAATGTGTATAGGTACGTGATCATCAGAACACAAAATCTGCCTCTGCTGTGAGAGAGATGCAGTCTTAAAGTCATGGAGTTAGGACAAGGAATATCACCGTTTTCAGCAACACTGTGAAACCTTTTGAGTCATAGAGTTACATATAAAGCATTCAAACCATCATACTGTAGGTTAGAGGAACTTTGTGTTTAAGATGCAGATGAGATGTCCATGCATGTCTCTCCATGCTCAGGCAGAGCTACCTGATGCTGGAGGTCAGAAGGAAAGAGGGATTGCTCAGGGCGGAGGCCTCGGGTCAAAAGCCACTGGTCAATAAAGAACCGTGATGGCTTTTTCATAACCTTCACAAAGAAGATGTGAGGAAAAAAATAACTATTAACTTCAATACACATAGAAAAAAGAAGGGCGCAAATGTTCAAGATAACTCAAGGCCACAACTCAACAACCCTCTACAATGCGAGTAAATCACTCGGATATCCAAACAAATTTCATACTAGTTTACTAAAAAAAAAAAAAAAAAAAAAAAAAAAATCTTTAATTAGCCTATGCAAGTACATCGCACGATTTCACTCGCCTGCGACTGAGTTAGACTAGAAGCAAAATATATATAATTGCACTGCCTGCTGAGCTTTACGCACTGTCGCTTGGCTAAGCGCCCTCTGTGTCGCCCCATCACACACACACTGAGAGAAAGAGAGGCTTACACATGCCACGTAAAGAGAATTGACGCGCTAGATCTAAATGCAGGGCTCGACAATAAGGGCTGCCGATGGCCAAAAGTTGATGGAACTGTCATTGTCCCGTGCTGCATCGTCATGAAAGTGTATTATTTGCATGTGTTTTTAAGCCTTGCCAATTTAAACATACAAGCACATTCGAGGTATGCAAATACTGAACTGAGTTCTCTTTCACGTCTTCTTGCGCTTGAACGGACAATTTCACACAAAATTATTTTAAAATGCCTGTCGTAGCGAGTATCCTAGTAAACAGTCGGTTATGTCTTAAGTGAACGTAAACAGTCAAGAAAGAGAATGCTTGTGTAACAGTATCCGTGCATTATGCCTAAAGTGACAGCAGCCTAATATTATTGCTGCTGTTTGTGTTTTTAATGTTAACAAAAGATTCACTGCAAAAATCACTCACTGCTCTTCAATGACCTGTTGTAATTTTATTAAAGATTCATCTATATTTACTTTATACAGTGAAGACTATGCAGTGTTATTTTACATTTGATTACTTTCTGTACCTAATCTAATTAATCTGTATCTAACTACTGTTAGATCTACCCGAAAAACCTGAAAAGCACTAAATCGTAGGTCTATTGTGTTTAGTTTGATTATTTGTTCTTGTTTTATTTAAGACTGTTTACTTGTACTTAATAATGTTTGAAAAGTATATTTTATATTATATTTATATATCATTTTTTTTTTTTCATTTGCATTGTTCTTGCATTCCGTGTAAAAAGTCTGGCGAGTGAAATAAAAAAAAATACTAGCCAATGGTGACTCAAACTTCACTGTGTCCGTAGAGGGTTGCTCAAAAAGAAAGCATTCAAAACAGAGTGTCATTCTTGTCTTTAACCTGGTGGTGCTCTTGACCAAAGCTGTCTGATATTGTTTATCATCATGCATTAGTTAAAAGCATGCTGTTTTCTCTTGAATTGCTCTACCTGTGGCTTGTCCTTCCTGTCAGGCTTGCCTTTAAACCTAGCAACTAAAGTCTCCGCTCGCTCTTGAATGCTAGGGATATGTACCGGTATGCACTCTGGCTTGTCCACATTAGGCAGGTTATCTTCCTGTAAATGGAGAGGCTGATGAAAGCACAAACTATATTGCTTGAGTTTGATATCTCATTGCAATTGTAAATCTGTGTAGTTTTAAAACTGAAAGCTAACAAATTAATCTCTTGAAATAAAGCACAAAATTAGTTAAGTTAAGAGTAGTTCTCCACACACAAATGCATGCAAGTTATCAAAGATGTAACAGAAGTTCAAAATCTTAAAACGTTTTTTTTGACAATGTTTTTAGAAAAGCCCCATGCAGTTGTCAAGGTTACCCTGTAACAGACTGAAAGGTCCTGGATCGCATTCGTTTCATCACTACCGCCATTACACTTATATATCTCTGAATGGTGAACATTATGCTGCAGAGAACAAGCAGAAATCAGTTCCACCATCAATAGCTAGAGTATCTCAGACTAAACTATCAAAAGGATAAAATTACAAAAATTAAACAAATGCATGGTGATCCATTCCACCATTGGAAAAGCTGCATGACATGGAGGAGCTGACGCGATCACTTGCATTTTCTCCTGATAACAGCGAAAACAACTTCAAATACTCCGTCATTTTTGGTCATACAGATTAATGAGTAATGTATCAATTGAAACTGTAAGGGGTCTACTTTAATTTGTGTAAACTCACAATAATAACAAAACGTGCTTTTGTAAAATAAAGAAAACAAGCAGGATGCACTTTCTACCATCTTGGTCTCTTGGACTACAAGTCGACTAGAAAAATCTTTGGTTGGGGCAGCCCCAATAATAATAAAAAATGTGAAAATAGTCTACTTATTTCCACTGTAAACTATTTTCACTGTACTGTTTTCATTGCCATTTGCATGAATATGCCTGGGGGGTTAATTAATTCAGACAGATAGCTCTGGCAGCATGAAGTCTTAAAACCTACAAAAAGCTCATCTCAAGAGACTGCAAAAGGTGAAAACCAGCCCCTGTGAGAGACGCTGAGGTTAGTACCGGATGACAGGAGTGTGTCACCTGTGTGTGTGGAAGAAACGATGAAGAGGAGGAGGAAGATGAGGGTGAGGAAGAAGAAAGGAGAATGGTTTTCTTAGGGCAGCTCCTCAAGACCTCAGTCCCGCTGCTGGCCTTCAGAGAGACGAGAGGAGAAACCCGTTCACATAATATTCCACAAATGCAAAACCTCTCACACATTCCTCAGGCAGAAAAAAACAAAACCCTGAAAATACCATCCAAACATCCAATCACCTACTACACACAAACACAACCAAAGTGACGAGTGACAGGAATGTTGTGTTAGAAAACAAACAGTGAGCCATTAAAGCAGAAAAACACAGCTGATAATCAAACCAGACTTTAGTAACATTTAACAAACACATAGACCTCCCATGCACATGGAATGTCTGACAAAGCTATCAAAACCACATCTAAACCTTGACAATCTGAGAATGAGGAATATCAAAGCGTATGGCTCATTCGTCTCAATCAAACTGGAAAACGAAAACAAAGAACACCAAAGTACAGTGTGGAAAGATATGTCTCTAGGTCTCCAATACATGAGCACACCTAGTCAAACAGGAAACTAACAACAACAGACAAGTACACAGAGAGATGAATGATCACCTCATGGGTCTATCATCTTGGTTACTACATTTGGAGACACAAGGAAGGACACAGGAGACACTATATTGTAATCTTAAAAGCAGGGTGTCTTTTCTACAGCTTTGTACCTGCTCCTGTTTGAAGAGGAGAGTTTGACACTTCAGCCTTTCCTTATAGCGGAAACTCATTTGCTCCTGTAACTGTGTGCGCCTCTGAATACACATAAACATGAATTCAAGGTACATATCATGCTTTCCTCTCATACACACACACGCTTTCAGTTTGGAAACCGTTCTCTCATTAAAACATGAAAATCCCAAACCAAAAAAGCTACATTACCGTTCAAAAGTTTGGGGTCAGTAAGATTTGTTTTTTTAATTAGTACTTTTATTTAGCAAGGATTGCTAAAATGATCAAAAGTTACAGTAAAGACAGTTATCATGTTAGAATTGTATTTCAAATAGATGTTGTTCTTTTGAACTTTCTATTGATAAAAGAATCCTAAAAAAAATGCATCATGGTTTCTACAAAAATATTAACCAGCACAACCATTTTAAACACTGATAATATTAAGAAATGTTTCTTGAGCACCAAATCAGCATATTAGAATGCTATATGACGGATCAAATTTCAGCTTTACAGTCATAGGAATAAATGAGTTATAGGATGGATGGACGGACAGAGCAAGCTTTGGTCAGCATTAGAGACTTAAAAAAAAACTAAAATCATACCGACCCCAAACTTTTGAACAGTGTAAATATATTTTTACTCCAATGAAAAAAACGAAGCTATGAGGGAAGGAAGGATGATATATTTTCGATGACTGAATGACTGATACCAAGGCACAACAATAATTCATGAAACTCGAGCAGAATGAATTTCTTCTGTCATATTAATTTGGTATATGTAAAGAGTTTTACAAATGATTTACAATTTGCACAAGATTGGTCACATCTTTTTGACCAAATTTTTTTCATGTCAAATATAAGATCTATAAGGCTACATCAACTCAAAAAGACAAGAAACGTGCTTTTGAAAAAGCATTTAGATTAAATGAGGAAAAAATGGACAATGGACATGCAAGACACATTTCAACAAAACTGACTAACAATACAAGCATTGTTAGAGTGTTAATGGGAATCTGGGAATGCACTACACTCTTTACCTTCCTCCATGCAGGGACTGAAGCCAGCAGCACTGACTCTGTCAGAGAGGGTGCGGGCAGAGAGGGGGTCAGCAGGAGCCCCAGATTAGGCATAGAGTCCCCCTGTGACCATCAGCACGTACATGATGGGTGAAGTGACCAATGAAAAGTGGGAATGTGCCAAAGCCATTAACATCCATACGATTGAGGAAAGAGAATGGAAAAGAACAGAAATGAGAAATAAAGATAGGAATGCACATATAAGCTGAAAGTAAATGACTGAATTTACTGCAGAAAAAACACCTGTAATGTGCCATGCATGAATAAAATGTAAAGAAAAAAACTGAAAACATGCAACCAGGTTGCGTTTCAAACTAACAGTTTTCATGCAGGAAGTAGAAGGAAACGGATGATTGAGCAGATATACAAATGAACCAGTCCATGCATGCGACCATAGACACATGAAAAAAACATTGCTGTTTAAAAGTTTGTGATCAATAAGATTGTTTTGCTAAAAAGAAGTCGCATATTCTCAACAAGGCTGTATTTATTTAATCAGAAAACATGTTTGTGTATGTATATATATATATATATATATATATATATATATATAAACCTTTACTGTCACGTTTGATCAATGGAATGCAATCTTGCTAAATAAAAGTATTAATTTCTTTTAAAAAAAAATCTTACACTGAGCCCAAAACTTTTGAACAGTAGTGTACAGATAACACTTATCTTGCAAAGCTCCAGGAGATAACAGAGTTATCAACCCCACACGGATCCAGAGCACAAAGGGTTTAGCTTCCTATAAAAAGCTCCCAAATCCTCTCTCATGCCAGTAATTCCTGCTGGTTACTCCATCAGAATGAACCAGAGCATGAATCCTATCAATTCTACTCTATAAACCTGATCATTTTAAACAAATCTCTGCATGCAGAGAACTTCTAGCAGTAAGTGACAGCGGTTTAGGACAAAATTATTTCCTTTGTTTAAAACAAACCTCATAACAACATGGGTTTTTAAGAGTTTCGTGCTTCCCATAAAAATAAATCGCTCAAATAGCATTGCAAAAGCAATGCTGATCTACAATGGGATATTCCATGGGGGGATTTTTGGATTGTCTCCTGAGGCCACAGGAGGGCGCAATGAGCAAAATATGAATTCAGCACATTAAATGATTTATTCAAACAATGAAATAGCATAACTGACTGTACAAAAAAAGTTTATAACTTTTAACTAACGTTTAAGTCAAATGTAATTTTGTAAATTGCACAAACAATTATGAACAAAAAAGCATCATGTATTTATGCATAGTTCAATACAAAGAGCCAAAGCGCTGATCACACAGAGTGCTTTTTACGTATAAAAACATGAGATGCAGTGGAATGGGGAAAAAACCCACAGTTTGAAGACATGTTTTTTAAAAGTCGAACTTCTTTTAACTTTACATGGCTTTCTAAAAATGCGTCTCTCTGTTGCGAGATGAGAGTGCAACGGTGTCCATCTAGCGCTTGTTTACATAGAAAACAGGAAAGAACAGTGCAGAAGATGTGTTCTGTGTGAACGGCTTGGTTGCGGTGTTGACAAAGATCTCCGCATTCAGCTTCTCTATTTCTGCAATGTTTTGAATGAAAAACTCATCAGTGCCACATCAAGTGTGCTCAACTGGATAGGCAAAAAAAAAAAAAAAAGCATTCAAACGCAACGGCTCTTACATCATCTCGTGCACCACTGATAATGTGGCCTTACACACACCTAAAATTCGAATGCACCTTTTTTTGCTTTAGAATGTGTTTTTTTATTTTAAATATAATCAGCGAATATTCGAAATTCTAATTTTATTTTGACAGCCCAACTTGTTAAATCCACAAATGTTTGAAAAGTTTCCAGTCATTTTAGGCAGCAGCTCCAACCCACCTGTCTTTTGAGTCCAGTAGACTGCGTTGGTGCGTTCTCCTCAAACTTCGCTAGCAGCTGTGTGGCCATTGACTTCACTTTGTTGTTGTTGTTTGCTGCTGCAGCAGAGTCAATTTTACGTTCTGCCAGAGCTGTAGCTATAGAGGGCCTTTCGTCTCGATTGACCCTCTGCAGCTCTTCCTGAGATGTTGGAGAAATGGAATGAAACGATTTAGATAAGTACATACACAAGGCAATATGTTGCAAATCCATTGCTCCAGTAAGTTATGGCCTTACATCCTCTGACTGTCCAGTCTGGCTGGTCTTTCGTCTTTTCCCCAGTACATCCAGTTCCTTTTCTTTTTTATCCTATGTAAGATTTGAGAGGACACGTTGAATGCTGAGATTACAATAACAAACCAGCAAACTCACAAGTGGTGAGAAAGGAGACATGTTTACAAATTAAATCCTTGTAGGAGAACATTTTTGTGATTTTAACATGTAAATGAAGCATCCTGGTGCACTCTGACAAGAAAATAAAGGGAAAAGACATTTGCAAAAAATTTTTTAAATTTGACACTAGGGTTGGGCATTGACACGATTTCAATTCATTTTGATTCGATATAGTTAATTTGGGGCCGATCATGTACAGTACATAGCAAATTTCCTCAAATAATAATAACAAAAAAAATCTCTCAACTAATGCTGTGTAAACTATACAGAAAACCTCAGTTGGTACATCAATATAATATTAAAGGTTCAAAAATTAATTGATTTGTAAGCTACTTAAATTACACAGAAGGAACTTTTTATATTAACGTTATAATAGATTTTTAACTAAATAATATGTTTGACCTGTTTTTTACATAAACATTAAAATGGTGGACTTATTCAAACATTAAATATTGAAGAACCGGTTTAAGTAAAAATACAATGAATATGCAATATAGTGGAAATATTTAGCATAATGCTCCTCTCGAAGTTAATTTTTCTAGCTGACTAACGAGAGTTTTTGTACACTGAATGGCTTTTCTGAGGCAAATGTGACGTACATTGTTTACATGCAGTGACGTTGTTCTGCAGTTGAAAAACTGAGAGATTACATGTGACATGATACAGATTTCGGTAAGCTGTACCATATCTTTCAGCATACCTTTTGATGTACATTCATATTTATTTCGTGCTGTAAAGCGGAAGAGATGATTGGTTCACGTAAGCTCCACGCTGCTTGAACTGAGGCACAGCACACCACATTAAAGAGCACCAAAAAAGATTGCGAAAGCTGGCGAGACATCTATGGTCTCACTCCGGTCTATGGGAAATTAGCCCATTTCTAATTATTATTGAGGTTTATTGTGCTTGCAATTTCAGTCCCACTGCCCAACCCCGAAAAAAAAAAACCCTCATCAGATCTACATGATTCACATAAATTACAAACTTTGATTTCAAAACGGCAAATTTCGCCGAAAAGCAACTAGTTTGCAGGTATGCAATAATCAAATTCTGCAGTATTAAAAAGAAACTTGACTACCTTGGGGTTTCGTTTCCGGGAGATGGCAATGCTTTGACCCAGTTTACTGAGGAATGAGATGGGTGATTTAGTGCTGGCAATTAACGCAGCCTTCTCCTCAGGGCTCAGATTGTGGTTTTCTGAAAAAAAAAAAAAATATATATATATATATATATATATATATATATATATATATATATATATATATATATATATATATATGATTAATAAACTACAACAATATATCAAGGAATTGCATGCTAGGAAGAAGCATAATTACTAGCATAATGTCTCAACATTCCTTTTTGTTTTTACAATTTTCTCTGGATGCAATATTGTAGAACAACAACTCACCACCAGGTGGCACAGTGTCCTTGAACATTTCATAGAACTGGCTGAGGTACATCACCATGGAGAGCTTGTCAGGCTCCACCACACCAGACATCTCCTTCCCGGTCATGATGGGAGAAATTCCAAACTCCTTTTCGGCCACGTCAAAAGCCATCTGGTTGTTCTTCTCCACGTCTTTCTCATCCAGCGAGTCAAAGTCACTATAATTATAAAACATCACAACTGAGAAACATCTCCATATACCATAATCATGTTCATAAGCAAGTAAGACTGTAAAAAAAGTGCTAAAAAGTTTTTTAAAACCACTGAAACAAGATAACAAAAAAAGAAGAGCAGAATCAGAAAGCAGATTTACAATTTTTTTTATCATACAGGTCACAAGAACATCTGCTAAATATTATTTTCAAGGGCTGTTCACACTGACAGTGAATCAGTTGCAGGAGATTGTCACTTGGCTGCTGCATCCAACACATGAGCTTCACTGTATGGAGTCCAACTTCTGTCGACAGCATTGTGTTAAATCAAAGACTTTAGATATGCAAAGACGGTGAACTCATTACTATGAATGGGAGAAAGTAAAACGCGTTATATGGCGGAATAAATATAAAAGCCAATCGGCAATAGGTAAAGTCATTGCGTCTTTCTATAGCAGCTACAAGTTTCTATAGATATTTGATGTTTCCCCATTTAAAGAGATAGGAGCTGTTCTTGCATGACTGGAATAGCTGCCTGAGAGGGATTTCAAAGATGGCCGCCAGGTGAAATGACTTGCCTAAAGGGACTTTGGTTAAAATGGCAAACGTCATTGAAACTGTTAGAATGAACGCTTTTATAACAGACACAGAAACTGCTTTTAGCTAAGAACTACTACTTGATTTAAAAGTGATCATTTTGAAAACATCCACATCAAACCATCAAACTGACTGACATATAAAGTTTGGGGTCAGTCAAACTTTAAGAAATTATTGCCTGCAAGGACACATTCAATTAAACAAAAGTGACAAAAGACATTCATAATGTTAAAAAAGATTTCCATTTCAAATAAATGTGGTTGAATATACTGTAAACAGAAGGGGAAAAAAGTGGTTTTCAAAAAATACTAGCCAGCAACTGTTTTCAAAATTGCTGATTTGGTGCTCAGGAAACTTTTCTTAATAGAATTATTTCTGAAGGATCATGTGACACTGAAGACTAGAGTAATGGGTGCTGAAAATTTAGCTTCAACACCACAGGAATAAAATTGCGTCAAAATTCACACAGTCTATTTTATTTGCATTATTAGATATACACTTCTTATAGTATAAACTGAACTAATACACTGCATAAGTGTCTGGAAACTGGATAGAGCTAGCGAGGAAGGCAATTGTTGGAGTACAGTATACTCCTCAGAGAATTCCACTAATGCTGCCTAAAAACAAAAATGCAGACTAGTTTAGCTGACTATAACAAACAGCTCATAAGCAAAAGCTTTTAAAGGTCACTCAGCATCTGCTCTAATGTAGAGAGTTATGATAATGCTAATGTACGTCTCAAAGGCTAATGAGGCTTTCAGCTGCTCTACATAACAGACCCCAGTGAAAGAATAACTACAGTTTTTGCCCTTCTGCAACAGAGCAACTTACCCAACTGTACTTTTATTTCAGTGTGCTGTACTCAACAGATGAATATGCCAAATAAATAAATACTACATGCCGGTGAACAAAGCTATATATAGCTCATTAAAAGTAATGAGGTGAAGACAAATGAACTGCCACAGGTGAAGAAACAAACATTTGAGTATTATTATCAAAGACCGTGTCACTGCTGACTCATATTCTGCAGCTTAACAGCAAAGCTGTTGAATCTTTGGCTCATTGAATCTTTTGTTTTGTTTCTAGTTTTTGACTGTTTTTCTCAGTCTCCTATTCTAAAACAGGGCTGGGTATCGATGCAGATTTTTTTTAAACTGATTTGATTCTGATTAACAAGTTCTCGATTTGATTCAATTCCAATTTTGATTCTTATTCATTTGAGTATACCTCAGAAGAAATGTCCATTTTGCTTATATATAGAAAAAATATTGGACAGGGTTTAAAATTGATTCAAATCGGTGAATTATCTTTATAAACTATTCATTTAAAAAAAAAAAACTACCCAAAGGAGTAATTCATTTGTGAGTCTGATTAAACTGGACTACATTAGTCTTTATAGTAATGTAGTATATTTGAATGTTTTCAGTTACACTCACCAAGGCTGAATTTTATTACAGTAGTACAAACAGTATTATTGTGAAATATAATAAAAATTTTAATATATCTTAAAATGTCATTTAATTATATGACGGTAAAACTGAATTTACTCCCGTCTTCATTGTCAAATGATAGAAAAATGTATAAAACATTATAAATGTATCTGTCACTTTTGTTCAATTTAATGCACCCTTGTTGAATAAAAGTACCAATCATTTTAAACATTTGTCACGGGTATTATTCAGTTATTTGTGTAAAACCTTTAAATAAGGAAAAAGCTACAGTAGAGAATGCATCTTTTATGATGATAGTCCAAAGCTCAATCATACAACAAAACCTCATAACTCTAAAAATGTCAAACATTTTTCTTTTTAACTTTGCCTTGATCTCCTGTCTTCTCACACTGCGGGGGCATATGACTTACACATCCTCTCAAAAACAAGTTATGTTATTTTTGTATGAACTGGGTCTCTGATTCTCTGCTGCAGTGTTTGTCCTCCAGTCCTGCATCTCTAAATATAGAACCATAATAACACAGGGCATTTTTTGGGATCAGCATGTGGCATACTGCACTTACATGAGGTCTGGTCTGTATCGGTGGATGAGCGCACACAACGCCAAGCCACTCTTCCAGGACGTGGTGAGATCAGACACACTGACACCTCGGTATCCCTCCGTCTGCCTCTGACACCAGTTCAGCAGCTTACTGGAGCGAACGATGGACTCTGATGGGAAGAAAGCAAAGTCAGTAGGCGCCTCTGATGCAAGAATATGCATATTCAATAACGGTGTGCGCCGACATCCAATCGGATCGGAGTTAGTCACATAACCAGAGCAGGGCCTGAAGAACTCTCATGGTGCATTTCATTCCCTTTTGAGTGGTTATGAAACATTCAAGACATCGACGACACTGGCAGTAGTTCTAAGTTTGTGAAATATGTTAGTGCATAGTTGTTTAATTCTGAAGCGCTCGAAAGACGCCTTTCCATTCCATGTCAGAGTTACTCTTTTCATACAATAAACTGCACAAAGCTTTTTGAAAAGCCTGTAGAATGTCATGCATTCAGATCAGAGTCGCCCGCAAAATTACCTTGCAATTGCTTCTCAAGCAGAATTTCTAGGAGGAGAATAAATCAAGTTATACATATTTACTTTTGACACCATCCAACATGAAGGGTGAAAAGGCTAAATAAATGTATGGAAAAACAATTTAACCACAGCTGATGTGCAATACTAATGTGACACTAAATCTACCCACCATTTCTTGTGAGCTTAGGAGTTGAAGAGTTAACCACATTCTCCATGTCAATGCGCAAATCCCTGGTTTCTCCGGTGTCCAACAGATGCCGTACCTACGGACAATTATAGTATTAGTGCTCATGTTTATTTCTTACGAGGGCCACCATTATCCAAGCGATCCAGTATCATATTTAATAATAATAAATAGTGGTCAACCTTTTTTTTGTTGCAATGGCGGATGCCAATACCTAGAGAGCAGGTTGGCCGATGGCTGATTTAATGCCAATATATACATAAAATAAATTTAAACACAATATTTACTCAAAAGTAGGGCTGCAACAACTAATGATAAAATAGATTATTAGTAGGGCTGTACTGGCCTAGTCGATTAGTCGATAAATTGGTCGATACGTTCTGGTTCGACCAAAATTCTGATTGGTCAATTTTTTGCCGCGTTCATTTCATCAGTTTTGCCGGGCTGAGGCGCACTCATTTCATCAGGTGGAAAGCACTAAATGCTAATGGGGTGTTTTCAGAGTACCCTTGTTTCACAGGTAACAGTCTGTCTTCAGAACACCCCCTTTGTTTTCACCTTTTTTGGATTAGCCCAACCCAAGAGAGAACGATAAGTAGGCTATAGAAAGTTTGATGCTGAATATTATTTATTTAATTGTGAGAGCGTTTAATAGTCAGTCCTCTTCTAACATGTCAACAACAAAGAAATCGACAGTGGGGCAGCATTTTGTTAAAATTGATAACAGGAAAAAGGTCGAATGCAAGTTTGCAAGCAACAGTTTTCCACAGCTCGACGACATGACATATCATCTAAAAGTGGTAAGCTCACTTGTCTGCGTTAGCTTGCCCTGTCTGTTTTGAGTAGGCTATATGAACATATCAGAATTTAGCATATTTCAACGTTTTAGTGTGATAACCTAACTTTTTTTTTATTTTATTTGGAGCCTAATGCGCAATGCCGACTGTTTGTGTTAGTTTTGAGCCTAAGATGCTTTATTTTTCAGTGATGCACTTTATTTCGTTTCTGCTCTTGATCTGGTTTGTTTAATAAATATTATTTTTTTATTAAAGTGGACCTTTTGTGTTTATTAAGAGTAAAAGCTTTAAGTTAATAGTCTATTAGTGTCTCAACCGCGAAGCTGAGCTTCAGCCTCGCTCGGTGCGAGGACATACACAGAGCGGTATAGTGTCTGACAGTTATAACTTATTATTATAACATATGACAAAAATAATTGTCTAAATTATGTTGCATATTCCTCAACAGTTCTTGTGATGATATCACTAGTTGACAACATAGTACTATTTACGGAAATCATAGGCTATGATATTGCGCAGGTGCTCGTGATGCAACGCTGTCAGAGCCGACAGACTCGTGTGTTAGACTCATTTCAGTGCAAAATAATTAGGTCAAAAACGATTTAATATACTGCAAATAGCCCACTAGTTTCTTATGTTTATTTATAATTCATTTAGGCAGACAACAAGGCTACCAAGTAACTGCGTACTGTGCGCAGCTAATTAATTTAACGTTTTTTTTTGTAACGTCATTTTTAATCGAAAATTTCAGGACTTCAGTCGACCAAGATTTTCTTTGGTTGAGTACAGCCCTAATTATTAGCGATAATGAAAATAATCAACAACGAATTTGATTATCGATTAGTCGCAAAAGTGAATAACACATTTCTTTGAACAAAACGCATATGGACAACAGCAGAGGACACAGAGCAAGCTGCTACAGCAAAGGTGCATGATCCAAGTTGTCCAAAACATGAGAATATATTTATATGCATTCAAACGCGTTCAAACACGTTAACCACGTCTTGCACTGTTGTTCTTTGACAGATGCGTGTGCGGTTTAAGCATCTGACAAGTGTTTTCTTCAGCGCATAACTTACATTTTATGGTTATATCCTTATCTGTAAATCAAATGTCAGAAAGTCCCACAAGCATTTCCATTTAGCATATTCTGACAACAAGTGTCTTGTTAAACTTCAGTGTTTAATTAACGAGAGTGGGTGGGCGCATACGCATCAAACAGATGGAGCGCAGTAGAATAGGAGCATAATAATTCTGACTAAAATACACATTTTGCTAAAAAACAAACAAAAAAAACCTATATTTTAAATTAAGTTGTAGGTTTAAAATTCTATATCTAACACAAGTAATCATATTTATGAGAGCAGTAACAGTAAATACACTTGTTGGAATAGCCCATTAATGTAATATAATTACTATGTTCAGACGAGTGAATGTGTTCCTCAAGTTGACATTTTGTGCTTTAATTTTTGCTTATTTTTAATTGTCATTTTAATTTATGCTTTAAAATAGTAACCAATCAATTGATTTTAGGTTTAGAATGTAATGTTTGTATTTGAACCCTTTTTGCTTATGCACAGCATAGCCTACATAGACACATTCACTGTATTTGTTCTCATAGGCTTTATATTACACATTGTTTGGAGAACAGCATTGTGCAGGATGTGGAATAACATTGTTTAAAATAACTGATTTAGGTTGTTAAAAATTAAAGAGGTTGTTAAGGTATAATAATTTTTAGATTTTTCATCTAAAATCTTTATCAACAGATTAATCGATTATCAAAATAATCGTTAGTAGCAACCCTACTCAAAAGCCAGTAAAATAATCTGAAAATAGAAGTTATTTTTGGGGATGCCCCACCTCTGGCCAATGCAAATAAGCCTTCATTTGTTTTTATGTTATAGCCAATAACTGATAAATGGCCAGTATTAAAATTCAATACTTTTTTGTCAAAACATTCAAATAATTATAAATCTACAAATCAATCATTTTAAATACAAGTCAATTTATAATGTAATCATTATTATGGGATTTTATAAATATTACATTTAAGTGTTAATTATTAAAATATATATTTAACACAAATTATAAACATATATAAATTAAAATCTGAAATTATTTTAAATATTAACTTTAAAAGAGTGGCAAATGTGAAATAAGTGGACAAATGATCATTCAAAACTAAGGGTGTGTTCACACTTGGCATGTTTGGCTCAATTAAAACGAACCCTGGTGCGATTGCTCAGTGCGGTTCATGTGTGAATGTTGCCATCCAAACCCTGGTGTGCACTAAATAAGACAAACTCTGGTGTGGTTCGATGGAAATATGAACGCAACACGGACCAAAGACAAGTAAATGAACCAAAAACAAAAAACAAAAATGCCAAGACCCTAAAAAGGAGAGAATCCTCATGCATATCGTGTGCGTTTTGACTCCTTTACACATTTAATAAGCTCTTCACGAGTTCTCAGCTGGTCAAAATACCATCATATGTAGGCTACGCACACACATAAATGCGACGAGCGCATTTATCCCAGCACACAGCATTGTTTTGAATGTTCGGTAAGTTCCGTCTCAAAATAGGCAATACGTCATAAAAGCCGACCAATCAGGTTGTGAACATATCCCTATGCCTTTATGTTCTGTGATAAAAATGCCAATCTAAAGGCTAATCGGACCAGGGCTAAATGCTTAATTTTTTGGTTCAGACCAAGCGAAGTGTGAACACACCCTAAATATCCAAAACCTATTATATTTATCCAATTACAACTGACACAAATAAAATAAAAAATAAAAAAAAACTAATACTGGACAATAAAAAATATGGTGCCAAATTTGCCAATATATTAAACAGCTCTATTAATTATCCATTGCCAAAACCTGTCAGCAAATTTTTTAAACTGACAATGTATGGGATCTTTGGATGATGGCGACCATCTTAAAATGGCCAAATATCGACTAGTACAGTATGACTGATGGATCAACTGTGCAAAAACCCACCTGGTTGGGTCTCACTTGGTGAAGGCTGATGTTGGGGTACCGTGTAGCTGGGTCAACGCTGTAGTGGCTAAAGTTCTTACTCACATTCTCTGGTGTCGTCTGTGGAAGCAGTCGATAGACACTTTCCCTGAAACACAAGGGGAGCAGTGGTCATGATTACTACACACCATGATATCAGACCCAAATTCCCTTAATCTTGGCATTAGTCCCATTAGTGATGATGTCTCAAGATGAGACCCTAGAGACATCATGCAGGCTACCCGCTCGCAAAACACTTTCGCTTCCCCACAAACATGCTGCTTATTGCATACAAGTAGAAAAGTGTTTTACCACTGTGACTTACCCTGCCGTATGCAACAAAATAACAGTGCAGGGAGAAAAGTAACAGTAAATGACAGCCTGTGAGGGCTTGAGCTGTTTACTGCTCAGTTTGAAGACACAATCCCTGTCAACCTCATCATAAGTGCTCTGCAGCAGCAGTATATCACTCTGAGTGTTTTTGGTATGGCATAACATCATATTACTCATACTATTTTTATAGTATGCAGTAAAGGCTTTTTTGATATTCAACATCTATTTGTGTATGTACTCTGAAATGGTGTAAAATGTGACTTTCTTTCAGAGGAATCATCATTTCAACCAAACAGTCACATTTTCACAATATTTTCCCTATAGGGCTGGAAAAACAACCATATACATTTTTGTAATTTTGTGTCACACAATTGTGTTCTCCACTTTTTTTAATCCATTTACAGCCCTAACTTTTTAATATATGAAAAGTGCCAAATGAGGACACCAGCACACTGCACGAGATTACAATACATGATTTCTCACAATGCAATAAATTGGCCTAGACCTTTCATTTCCAGAGTGAAAAATGTAGCTATATCAACAGCAAATTTTAATTTCTTCTCATTATTTGCACAGACTGTCAAAAGTAAAAGAATTCTGACACAAATCTAATTAATATGCAAAAAACAGCATGTATTCCCATTATTATAACTCAATGTGATTTGCTGAATAAAACAAGCAACATAGTGAGGTCATGTGACGACCAAAGAACTTCATGAACTCATGAAACCATGAATATGCAAATTGATCCCCGCCTCCACTCAATCACACCTGATCAGACTACCTGATCCACTCTGTCAACTTTAATGTAGTAAACCCTACACAATTGCAAGTGGAAATATTGGTTAAATTCAGCCATATATGTTTGAACCAGAAAATGATTCAGAAGAAGAAGAGGAGTGAATTATACAGGGTCGTTGAAAAGTCGATGTATCAGAATGGTAATACATTATGTATGTATCGCTCTCAACAACATCGGACACTAAACGGTAATTGATAGGATAAGCCTTTGGCTCGACTATATTATCTAACGGCTAACAATGTGTAGCTTATGTTACACAAACCATGTCCCCATTGGTCATCTCAGAGTCAGACTGCTGCCTTCAAATATCAGCATCCTTAGAAACGCTTTGAACATCATAGAAAGTCCATTGAGAAAGGCATATAGTTCATCATAACATTGTAATATACATCTAATTACATAATAAACCAGCTATATTGCATTATATACACAAATTTTCCTGTCCCTTCTTATAGGTGTTCTTGTGCTCACTGTGGAAAAGCCCCACCCCGCACGTTGACCGGATTGGTATTTGTGACGTAGAAATCAGGGGCGGTTTGAAACCACGTTTTTGAGACTGTCTTTGGTACACTGCAGTTTTGAGGAGAAAATACTCAGCAATGGTGTTGTTGACTGATGAATTTGCACATGGTTTGTCTTAAAGCATATTAAAACACCACATAGACATACAACACCATTAAAAACTTGATTTTCAGCACAGGAGGGTTTTATATGGTTGGAGTAGTATACACTGCACAGCATGCTGTAAGCAGACCACTAGCTTTCCGTTCTGAACATAAAATCTGTCTTACCGTTCAGCCAGGACCTCCAGGGGGGAGCTTCCATTAGCCCAACTACGCACCATCCACGCTGCATCCATGCCTGCCAAGAAACCTCTTGCTATTCCAGTGCCCATTGGCCAAAATGGCTATACACAAAAAAACACCACATTTCCATCAGTCAACTTGTTCCTCATACACTAAGAGTGATAAATGAGTGGCTGTAAAATTCATATTAGAAATCAGTCACCTTCTGTTTGGAATATAATGGAAAAACTACCCTCACAGCCGCAGTCTAGATAGTTTAACTGTGTGTGATGTTTTAAAGTAATGCTTTAATTACCAGAGATTCTAAATGAGAAAATGTCTCACAGATTTATGTGAGAAAAAGTATTTTCAGAATCAGAAGTTGAAATTTGTCAAAGGAAGCCATTGGAGAAGAGCAAAAGGCAATTTTGTGGAACTTCATGGAAAAACACCATCTGGTTCTATTAAAGTAGGTTATAACAAATAACAAACTACCTTACAAGAAGACTGTCTTATTTCTCTCCTCCACGTGGGTTTTCTACTCACCTCTAGAAGGCTGTCCCCCACCAGGGCTACTAGCAGCTTATGGCCGTTGCGCTGGCGGACGAGCGCTGCATTTTCAGAGGCATACATGCAGGTGAAGTCAAACATGGCGACATCAGGTTGGCCATAGTGGTTGATGGCAAAATCCAGTTTAGGAAGCTGCTGATTGGTAGAGAAATCTGCTGCCTCTCTAGCGTAGGAGAGCAAAGCCTTCTGGTCAACATTGGCCCTGGAGAGCAGCATTTCTGTGTCGGCATAGTCCTATACAGTTTAAATAAATAAAATAAATACATTTAATAAAAAAATAATATAATAATGATTTAAAATACTATGACCAGGGTGTTTTGTGTTCTGTGTGTGTGTGGTTCAAGAAATTCCAACATTAAGGGGACAAAATGTCCTCACAAAGATTGAAATATCTGAAATCCATACTAAGTGATGTTTTTTGAACATGTAAAAATGCTGAAAGTAATCATTATGTCTATGGAAAGTCCCCATAAAACATGAAAACCCAACAGTCAAACAATTTTCAGCACTGAGAACAATGTAATTATGAAATAGTCATAAGGTGGGTTTGATTTTTCAAAACTTCGCTCAGTTGTCTGCTACTGTAGAGCACCGCAAGGCATATAATTCAGTCATGAGTGGCTGTGGGTGTGGTAATGGGATATTTGAGAGGTCTTTTCCTCTCTGATTCATGTTGCTACGAGAGACTAGTATTTGTTTCTGCTAACAGCCAAGCTTTTTAAAACGGATGAGGACTCTCAGCGCTGACACTCATTTAAAATGGCTTTATTTTGAGCACCATTACAGTTAAGGCATAATCCTGACACATTAAATACGAGTGTTTTTCTCCCCAGTGGGATTCTGTAATTTATCCTGAAAAATGCAAAGTAAGCATGCCTCTCTTGCAACCTATTGAACTACATTAATTGGTGTCATTACTGTGCATCATTATATCAGTCGTATTGTGCAAGAGTTTATGTATGAGTGTGAGAGAGAGGGCTGGGATTGAGGTTCCTAGTTAATGATTCAACAAACTTGGCAGTACTTGGAACAGAGCAGAAGAGCTCATTGTGAATAAATGGGAACAGACTGTCCGCTCAAAGTAATGATTATTTACACTCCTATGCCCAAAAAGCCTTCTAAAGACATAATTAAACACCTAGAACTTTAGTAGGATACGTACACTAACATTCGAAACTTTTGGGTCTGTGTGTTTTTTTCTATTTTATCTATTTTTGATATCAATTTAAAATAACTGGTTTCTATTTTCATATATATTATTTTAATATGTAATGTATTCCTGTGATAGAATGCTGAATTTTCTTCAGTGTCACATGATCCTTCAGGAATCATTCTAATATGCTGATTTGGTGCTCAAGAAACATTTCTTATTATTACCAATGATTAAAACAGTTGTGCTGCTTTTGTGTGGAAAATGTGATACATTTTGTTCAGGATCCTTTGATGAATAGAAAGTTCGGTAACACTTTATTTTACAGTCTCATTGTTACATGTTACATGTAGTTACTATAGTAATAACTATATATTATGCAAACCCTAATCCTAACCCTATAGTGTACATTACTTAATATTACTATGTATAATTACAGTGTAACAACGACAACTTAAAATAAAGTGTAACCGAAAGTTCAAAAGAACAGCATTTATTTGGAACAGAAATCTTATGTAACATAAATGCCTTTACTGTCACATTCGATACATTGAATGTGTACTTGCTGAATAAAACGTAATTGCTTTTAAAAAAAAAACTTACTTCCCTAAACTTTTGAACAGTATATTCATTAATGGTTCTGGTTAAGGCAGTACTTTAGCATTCAACGCCCCCCAAAAAAAACATCTTAAACCATATGTTTTTTGCTGTTCTTAGATGATTTAAGCCTCACCGAGCTAATGTGTGTCTGGTTTAGCTGGTCAGTCAGCTGGTTTACCTGCCACACCAGACCAACTAAAACCAGCTTAAGCCGTTCAAGATTTTATGTTTGGATAATTTATGTTTGTGCTACATAAATCAAGTCATGTGCCTTGAGTAGAGGTGTGCTAGTACTTTTCTAAGGGACATAGAAAGGCAAACAGGAAGAGACTGAGATAAAGAGTAAGGGAAAATAGTGAGAATAAAAGAGTGAAGATTAGTATAAAAACTGGCAAAAGTCAAACTCTTTGATCACTCACATGTAGAATGACGCCCTTCTCCAGCAGACTCTGCTTTTTGGCAGTCATTACAAAGTAGTGTGTGTCATCCTTATAGTAGACAATGTTTTCCAGGTCAATTCCTGTGGAGGCAAACCAACAGAGAAAAGGACAAAATGTGAGAGGGAGCAAGAGGGAGGGAGAGATTAAAGAGGAGATGTGACAGACAGCATGTCAACGGGGGAAAAGGGGACAGAGAGAAAGAGGAAGTTGTTTGCATCCGTTCGCTGATGTAATTATGTTCCATCTGTGCAGCAGATAATGCGCCCACTCCCTCAATCAACAGGAGAAAGAGAGAGAGAGGGATGACATTGATTATACAACTCAGAAAACAGCAACAAAAACTGCCCTCAACACAAAGCACAGGGACAGATCATCAAAATATTTTCCCTGTATTTATTTCCTACACTGCTGGAACTTCAAGAAGTACCACAAAAGAGATTCATGCAGTGGTGTTCTGAAATGAGGAAGCAAAATCCTCAGTTTTTAATGTGTGTTATGTGTTGTATTTAAGGTTGTCACCTTTTCCTGGTTAAATAAACATTACTTAAAGTTTACATTACAAAAAAAAAGAAGCAAAACAATTCTATTTTGTATTTTTAAATCACATCCTAACAATATAATTTATTTTCTATTTATTAAAACCAAGTATAAATCTCATCAAGTTAGTGTTAAGCATTTTTACATTTACTCTAAAACAATAACTAAAGGCTATACCAATTTATACCATGTTATATTAACTGATGTTCAGCTATTCTTTTTAATAGTCAACTTATTCTCAGATCATCATCAGTCATCAAGCTCTGTAAAAACAGGTCAAAGACATGAAGATGTACCTTTAATTTCACCAAGCTGATTGCACACTAAAAAAAACAGTCATTATGTTTTCAGACCATCTCAAGTTTGACTTTGACGCGACTAAGCGGCAAAATCTAAGTGATTGAGTTGTTCACTTTTTAATTAGTCTTCCCATTAGTGGCATCATTTTGTTCATTCAAACTGATTCGCGAACGCACACACAAAAAAAAATCGCGAGGCGGGATCATCACACAAACAAATTGTATCCAATCATAACCAATCAAATCCAATCATAGCGTGATGTCACATTTTGTAAAATTTGTGTCGTTTTATTTTTGTAATATGGATTATTTTCTCATCCAATTTTTTGAGGCATTGCCTCCCTTGCCTCCTTGGAGGAAACGCCCCTGATATATCTTCAATAAGAGTGCTTGTTTTACCTGTGGCTTCTCTAAGGTCCTGAAAGAACTTCTGGTTGAAGATGAAGGCAACTCCACTGATCTCTTCCACCTTTGCCTCTGCAGTAGTGTTGCGGTTAATGAAGTTTGCTGTAATAGCGATAGCCAGTTTGCCCCTGAACTCCTTCCTCCTGAACCCTGGACAGACAGGATAAACATTTATAAGAATTCACTTTTATTAATGTCAGATTTTACAAGTGTTAAACGTATTAGATCATTTCTCCTAAATAAGCAGAATTATTTAAATGTATCATTCATACCCGCAGGATAAACCGAGTGGGGCGAGTTACACGCCGAGGTTTGTTCAAGTCCCTTAGCACACACCACTAATTATTTTTTTCATGTCAAGACAAGAACCAAAGATCTAGAGAGAACATTCTCAATTTTCAAATTACAGGAAGTGCTATTCTTACCTGACAGTGTGTTTCTCCTCCCATCAGCCCCAATTATGACATCAAACTCTAGCTCATTGACTGGATGCGTTCGGGGGTGGACCTCGGCTCTCCACCCAATTCCTGAAAAACCAACAGCATGTTCAGCGATGACAGACAAGTCCTTTCTCCAAAAGACTAAGTGTCCATTCAGGATATGCCTAGGCTCTTTAGAACGACCGGTATTTATATGGAAAAAGGAAACAAATGAACATAACAGCTAAATTTCAGCATGGAAAGGACACAAGAAAGTGATCTTACTCTCATTCTCTTGGTCTTCTGGTGGCTCAATGAGGCCTTTGAACTCCACGTTGACGTGGATCTCGATGCCAAGAAGCAGAGCTACCTTCAAGAGCATCAGCTGCAATTGGCGAATACCTGGAGTAAGACAATTCAAAAACATAGACCCCGTTTATCATCTGACTCAACAAGTGGACCAGACATTCTAGAGGAGTTTCTCTATTTAGATGCATCACTTCCGCAAGGCGGTCAATCCAACAACACACACATCCAAGTTGTTTTTCTACTTGGGCAAAACTGTTATATCTTGCTGGCAAAGTTTAAAGCCTTTGTTTTGGCAGGTTTTCCCCAACACATCCCACAATGGTTAAATGAGGAGGCGGCTATTGAATGTCTGGGATGCATCAGAACATATCAGCATTTACACCACACTTGATAGGAGTCCCTGAACACCAACGAAGATGGTTTGAGTCTCCAAGGTGCATCGTAGGGATGGGACGATTACCGGTTTCACTATAAACCACGATATAATGTACTGACGTTTAGTATTATCGTTTAAAATTTAATTATCATTAAAACCGTGTTTGATTATCGTGATTTTAATAACTCACTGTAAATCCTGTCCAGCTAGCAACAGTCTGACACAGGCACGCAACGCGCAATGTTGTTGTTTTTTTTATTCGAGAAGGAATGGCGGAAGGCAGTGACCGTGCTCGGGAGATTTTCCAGCCTTTTAAGAGGCTGAAAAAGTCCTGAGGGAAACTTAATCGAGGATGGTCACCCTGTCTGCAGAACATGCACAAAAACAGTCGCTGCAATACACTTCAAATCTGCTGAGTCGTCTTGTGTGACCATCACCCAGTGTTGTATAGCGAACCCAAGGCAAGTTAACTTTGACCTCAATACCAAAACTACGTCTGGGAAATAATTGGGCACAAAATGTTGTTTTGAGTTGAAATATTTTATCTCACTCACTTGAAATAGACGTGAAGCTTCCGCGAAGAAAAGTTTGCATTATAATGTTTTAAATCTTACCTGTTTATAAATCCATTTTGTACAGCGTACAAAACAATCGTCCAGACAAAATGATCACAACAATATTATCAAACTCTGTAAACAATAAATGAACTCTGATTTCATTTTCAATACAATCAAAACCGAGACGCAAGACGGCAAGTTGTATTTGAATGAAACAAGAGCGCGCGTCCGTTGTGATACATGGATGTGCGCTAGGGCTGGGCGATATCTAAAATGTATCGAGATATTTTTTAAACACGATATGGATTTTGACATATCGTATTAATCGATACATTGTTTAAATTTAATTCTGATTTCGCCACTTTGCCTTCTCTGCGCTGTGCTCGCCCCTGCCTCCTTGCTTTTGTCCCCCCTCCCCTCGCGTGTTGTCTCATGGCGGCGCCCGCAACTAGCCCGGAGGCTACAGAACTCGACTAAAAAAATCGTCTTAAATGCTGTCTTACATGCACTTCTTGAGGCACACACGCACACTAGCAAACACACGCAAGGTCTCTCGCTCTCTGTCCCTCTCTGCCGTGTGCGCGCTACACGGTGCTCTCTCCCTCTCTGCCGTGCGCGCGCTACACGGTTTGAACATACATATTCATGCAGCCTTTCGAAAACCAGGACATACTGTCCCGGGAGAGTGGATAAATTTCCCGGGACAGGTTATTAAAAAGAATGACAATCCCGGTAAAACGGGACAGGTGCCAACCCTGGCCATTGCCGTCGTTGAATTATTATTTTTGTATACAGGGATTTTTTTTTTTAAATGTTGCAGAAGCACTTTGGACTACATGAACTGCCTACCTCTTTGCACTCCAATAAAAAAAGTGGTATTTGGCATATTTGTTTTTGCAGTAGTTTTTGTTGGGTTATTTTTCCTGTAAAGATATCGAGATATATATCGTAAATCGATATATAGCTAAATATATCGAGATATATTTTTTGCTCCATATCGCCCAGCCCTAATTGCGTTGCTATTGACGATGGTCATTATAAGGAAGGAAATGGCACAGAATGGAATCTTGCTTTAAAAAGTGCATAGAGCTGCTTATTTATTTGTTGTTTATTGATTTTCAAATATAAAACTTGTTGAAATGTTTTCAGTGTGAGCATCAGTTCTTTTTGAACACTTTCATCTCGTTTTAACAAAACCGTGATAATATTGATAATCATGATAATTTTGGTCACTATAATCGTGATATGAAATTTTCATACCGTTCCATCCCTAGTGCATTGTAACACATTACATCTACAGATTCAGATTGTTTTATTTAGTGCCATGTGAGCATTCAAGGCTTTTTTGATGGCAAAAATTCAATTACCGGTACAAAAATACAAATATCATAATAAATACAACAAAAAACAAACAAACAAAAACAGCAAGTCATATTATACAAGATTTTTTAAATTAACATATGATAAAAAATCCCAAACCTTTTCAGGCATAGGCTAATCTTTCTAAATAAGTCCTTCAGAGATTTACATCTACATTTAGTGCTGTAATGGGATCATCTGTAATGGATGTCTGTACTGTAAAGGTTAATTTCTCTCTAAAAGAAAAAATTGTTTGATATACTACTCACTGATATGGTCGATGGCTCCAGCACAAAACTTGCCGTAGAACTTCTTGGCTCCAAGACCCCTCAGATCCTGAATGGTGTAAGGCCAAAGATGGAGCACATTGTTTCTGGAGAATGCATCTCTCTTCTCCAACAAAACCACCTTGGCTCCAAGGAAGCCCAGCTCTATGGCTGTACGTAAACCACATGGTCCAGCTCCAATGATCAGACACTGAGAAACACAATCCACAAAGAATAAAAAAACCAAATCATCAAGCCACATAAAAACTCAATCTATTTTGAACAAAATTAGAACATTGAAAGTTTGAGAACTAGTAACCAAAACACTCTCCCAGGGAAACTTCCATACCTTGGCGTTGGCACAGGCCCTTCCTTTTTTGTATTCTTTGTGGCTGGCGCGCTTGTCTAATTTGACCCAGAGGGCTTTGGCTTTCCAGTAGTTGAGCTTGGACTTGAGTTTGTGGTAGAACACACGGTATTCATTGGGCTTGAGTTCCAGGAAGTCACAAAGCTCTTGAAAAGCCTTGAGAGTGCCTTTGAAGGTGGTGGCCTGGACGAAGCGGTCAAAGAGCACATGGGACTGATTCACCCCTTCTCCCACCGCATTGACGCCTCCATCTCCCATGGTCTCTTGACCCGATAAGCAGGGATTATGGGACAAGCCCCGTCCAGCTCACTCAGAGTCTGTCTGTTTTCGATTCAACTTCCGCCATAGGCCATTTTCACCCTGAATGAAGAAAGAAGAAAAGATTTGTCAAACATTTTAAGTAGAGATTGCTATGGCACACATGGAAACGCACAGCACTTTGCAGAAGTAAAAATCTTTTTCATTGTCAATATTTTGGATCATTTTGATTGTGGCTTAAGTTATGAATAAGAGTGAATCACTTGGTTTAACAGCTTACCATTTTAAAACAATTGCAGAAAACTTTCCCTAAATATTAGTCCAGAAAATGAAATAAATCTGCAGATTGCATCTAGGCCTCCTTATTAGATGTTTTTGTCAACACAAGGCAGTCCTCTACTAATTTCTACAACTGTATTTTGAAATTTTCAACCTAGCAAGACAACACAGCATGGATTTAACAGAAAGGAAAAGATATGGAAGCTTCCTGGTATTTACAGAAACAGACATTACTATACTATGATATAGGCCTACATAAAGTAGCTATATCAGAGGAAAGAACTATCTAGACTAACATTTAGTGATAATTATCCTCTCTGCAAAAAAAGGAGAACTGCTTCATGATTAAGTTATATAAAAGTAAGCTCAAGTCATTAAGATATCACTTTATGTTTCTACAGAGCAAGAATATTATATAGGGCCTAGGCCTAATGCAGTTATGTAAAACATACTGTGTAAAACAAGTCTATGAAACAGGTTTTAAAAGTTAACACCTTTCACCAACAGAGTTGGCTGCCAAAAACCTTGCCTGGAAAATTTAACATAGCCTAAAGGACCAAGCAGCTCTAATAAACACTTGGCATTAAAGAGCTGAAAATGCCCCATGCCCTTATCTGAGAGTCAGTGACCACAGGAAGTCTGATGAAGGCACAGAAACCCAAACAGGAAATGCTGACCTTTTAGAAGTCTGTGCATTCTACTGTGACACCCCAGATATGATAAATAAACATACACCGCATTGCTGCATGATTATCAAAAACTATTGCTGACACCATGTCCTACTCAGGTGTCAAATAGTCTTGCATAGCCAAACTTTTATCAGTATGTTCCTCTTTAAAGATTATTCTGGTCAAGAACTGGCCATTCTTCAGATGGGAGGAGACCTCCTGATTCTGACCAACATGTAAAGCAACCAACCAAAGTTTATTTTGCACTTAAACGGTGAGAGTCTCACACAGAATGCCACACTCTTCTATTCAGACAGACAAAGACCAGATATCATTGCCATTTGCCAACAAAGAAAACCAGGCCTAGAAATGCTGACAACCAGAGATTTCGGCAATGTGCTAGTGTTCAGGAACGTTTTCTGAAAGAAGAATGAGGGGGGGGGGGGGGGGGGGGGGCACAATGTTAAAGTAAAACTTTCCAAGATGCTCTAAAGACATTAAGAGAAAAGAATGCTGAGCAATCAAAAAAGACTGAGATACATAATCCAGACCCATTTAAAGAATCACATTCAGACTGTATTTCAATTGGGCAACTGAAAGTGACCACACAGCTAGCTGTCATTAACTGAAATAGAACATCTAAAATATCACAAATTAGCAGTTTCTCATGGCCAAGGACATGTACATGCACACAGTCCCATTTAAACAAACTCAGACTCACACAGACTGCTAAGGTGTGGTCTGGATGAAGGAAATCTCCACCTCACAGAAAGACGATGAAAGGGAAGGTAGGTGAAGGGTTAGTGCGAGGGCCCTTTCACTCGGTTCCAGCTCTAGTCTGCTGTGAAAACACACTCCTGACCTCACTGCTCTGAAACTGCTGTGCCAGCGGTCACCACCAACACCACTGAAAGACTCCGTGTCACAAAGCCATGAGACGTGATGTAATGACATTGTCCTCATGTTTTCATAATCGTGAAACTTTAGCTGAAAATTGAATGTAATACAAAAAATAGCAATTAAAAATAAAACCGTACCTGCGCAGTGTTAGCTTAATATATTTAATAGTCATTTACTAACGACAAAATGTAGCCTAGCCTATGCTTTGTTAGGGTTTTATAATAAAATTTTGTATATTATATACATATTAAACAAATGGATTTCACAGTCATGCAGTGTTTCGTCCTTTCACTACACATGTCAGGCTGTTGCATTGACTTTGAAAATTGGAAAGTCGTGTGAATGCACTACTGAGGCAGATGGATCTGGTTACCCGTTTCCGCTCTCCATAACCCTCTGACACGACACTAATGCTTCAAATGGATACACTTTTTTGCACGGCAGCAGTCATGTAAACAAATACGATGCTGAAATACATTGACGTTCAAAGTACAGCTCATTTAACAAAGATTGCTGAATGAAAGAATAAATGTTTTCTTTTGAAGGTGTGCAGAAATTGAACCTCATAAGACAAAATATAGATTTTTTTTTTGTTGGTTGTCCTCATGCGGCTTTACTTCTGTCGGCCCCTGAAAGCCGAGAACCTCGGCACGTATATGATATCAGAAACCCTCAGTGGCAAAGCTTGGGTAACACTGACTAACCTGTTTAAAGCCCTCAAGTAGAACTGAGGAGACTGACTCCTGAAGAGCATGGGAAAGAAGCTGGTTTCACATATAGCCAACACGTGTACAAACACCACATGGTCACTCAGACATAAGACCCATAGAACCTGCATACTTTATTCACATTTTCTGTGTTGATGGTGGAGTGAAAACCTGCAGAAAATGGATTTAAATGAAGCTGAAACCATTATTTAAAAAATACAAGTGGCAAGGATGTGTAGAAATTTGAAAACAACAGTAGTTAAAATCATGAAGTAGTCCGCTGAGATTTTATGGAATTCTGTGGATTCCTAGCAGGACTACCCATAAGCCGAGAAGGAAGCATGACCATGTGCGTGTAACTACAACCATACAAGTATTGTGAAACATGGGTCTAATTCTATGGAGATCATTTAATAGAGGCAGCATATTTTTTTGGCACTAGCCTAATGTGAAAGCATTGTTAAAGGGGTCATATAATGCCATTTTTGTACAAGTTAAAGGTGCAATGTGTAACATTTTTGAGTATCTATTAACATAAATGCAATATGACATCCATAACTATGTGTTCAGTGGTGTATAAAGAACTTACTTAATAAACTGTAATGTTTTTATTACCGTAGAATGAGGCATTTATATCTACATAGGCGCGAGAATCCCCTTCTATGAAGGTCGCCATATTGTGACGTCATGTTTCTACCGTAGCCGACAACGAACAAACAGCGCTACAGAGCGCGTTTCGTCACTACCTTGAAAGAGAAGCCGCAGGAAGCTAGAAGAAGTTAGTCATAAACACCGTGAGTAGTGACTTTTCCCTTGTCAGTGGTGTAAATATGTAGTTGGATTGTTTCATGTAACTTAATTATTATCCCTCGCTGTGTTGGCTTTGCTATGTGGGGATAAATGAGCTGGTTAAGTTCGTGAGACAGCTGATTAGTAGGCTACTCTTGTCATTGACCGTAAAACAGTTACAGGAATCACCAACCCGTCAATCTTGAAAGCATTTTAAGTCGATCGAGTTTCCAAAATCAGAGAAAAAAAAGCCTATTGTGTCTTTGTGTGTAAGTGGTGTCTAGGGGATGCGGAGGCGCGCGCGCTGTTACAATCACGTCATTTTTGCCGCACGCACCTTTGGGCTCATGTGGACGCGTCGAGTTTAAACAAGGCTTTACGCTTTAACCAGCTCATATTAGCCAGCTAAACTTTTACTACCCTGTTAGAAAAAATATATAGTTGCATAGTTTCATGTGGTTCTTCTCCCTCGCTGTATTATGGGTTTGCTATGTGGGGAGAATGTGCTGGTTACGTTCGTGAGACAATCAGCTGATTACTATTATTATATTATGTATTAAGACCCTTGATCCTCACCTGAAACTTTATCCATGATGTGGTTTATAATGGACTGTGGTACAGAAACTTGGTTTACGCTGGCTATTCTCTACTGTCTCAGACTACGATGTTTGTCCCGTTTTAGCCACCGTAGCTTCTTCGAAAGGGAGGGGTGAGCGGTGGGCTGAGCCCTTAGTGTAAACTAAACTCGCAACCGAACCGCTAGATGTCGCTAAAAGTCACACACTGCACCTTTAATATGCATGTTTAGGGTCTAAATGAAAACTTTGTAATATACTTTTATTAAAAATTCTCATTAGTATTTTAAGAAAACACTAATTTTACCTGGTCAAAACCAGCTCTGTTTTCACCATGCGCCGTTTCAGTGCATTTGCCTTTAAATGATAATGAGCTTCGCTGACTCCGCCCCTCTGTTCTGCTGGCTTTTAGACACAACGCACGTGGAGTGTTGCCTTGACAACAGTTGAGGGTATATTTTGGAGAATGGCAGCGGGAGTCTCTGAGGACACATCTGTGCAATCGTATCAGTTTGAACCGGAGTCGGACCCGGAACAAGATGACGGCCCGAAGAAGTTCGACAATTAAGGCTCGAACAGGACGTTTCTGAATGGTTGGTTAAAGTAATGTCACTTTGATCTATTTTTGTATGCACTGGCAGGGTAGAGCAGTGAGATACGAACGCTATGTGTTTACTGATGTATACGTTAGTTCATTGACAGATTGACGTTACAACTAATGGTCATGAAAAACTTTTTTCGCGATTTGCAAAGATTAATATAAAGGTTAATGAAACTTTACACTAGGGGTGCACGATTCAGAAAATGTCACGATTCGATTCGATTCCGATTTTTTGTCTCAAGATTCGATTCAAAATCGATTTTTGATTCAAAAACGATTCTCGATTCAAAAAACGATTCGCAGTAGGCTATATAAATGTAGTTTACTTTTTCCTATGTGATTGATTGCAGTAGACACAATTTAAAAGAAAAAAACCCACAACAAATTAAATGTAGTTTGATATTACTTTATATGTCATCATACAAAATTAAAAACTTTTGCAACTAAAAAGTGCAAAGTGCCAAGCTTTGGCCAGCTTTTAAATACATTTAATTCAAGTTTAAAAATAAAACTTAAATAAAAAGCTTTTACATTTAGCTTTATTATTATTATTATTATTATTTATTTAATGACCACACAGCCA